CTACCACTGTTTTTCTTGAGGTTACAGGTTTTTTTTAGTGCTGGAAACATGATGATTCATAAAATAATTTCAGTATAGTAAGGTCATTCTGGCCTGGCTCATAGGCCCTTTATAAGCTAATTTATGTCCAAAATACACTAATATACAATGACTGTATAGGTATCAGAGGTCAAAATAACATTCACGTTAAAACATTTTAACCTAATTGTGGGTTGATTCTCAATTTCCTTTGTCTCCTAGCCCTAATTTTTCATGAATTAGGGCTACGAGAAAAAGGAATTTCCTTTTGACCTGTAACATAGGCACAATGACACTGCCTCAGTGATGCTCAGTTATTCATACCCCGTTTCATAGTCAAGATGAAGAATTTACATGTAAACACTGTGAGACTACAAGTAGGCTTCTGCTAAAAACTCCCTTGCCATTCCAATAAAAATGCAACTGCTGTTCTTCTGTTTATATCACAGTTTAAGTAGTTCAATCAATCATGTGGTTTTACAAATAAACTAACATACATCTTTTGCCAGCCGAATCAGCAGTGTTCCACAATGCATATACAGCTGTGCTTTCATTTCAGTAAGTATCACATCCCACTCAGTGGGTCCACTGGAGCGGCCTGGTGTTTGACGAATTTTATGCTTATGTGCCATGAACACACAATGATCCAGCCTGAAAAATATTAAAAGCATTTAAACTAAGGAGATGACAAGCCTGATCACAGCTGTCACTAGGGGCCGGGGGCTGGGGATTTCCCTCGGCTACTAAGAGTATGAAAATCAATTTCCGGCTACATGTACTTTCATGGGAAACAAAAAAATATAATGTAAATACCAAAAGAATATCTTAGCTCTTAAATTTTCCACCTACATAATTCTGTACTAACGGCATATACCTGGCAACTTAAAATCTTATTTAGAACAATAATAAATTTCATTTCTCAACCCTTACCTATAGAGAACATTGATGACCTCTCGTGTATTTCCTTCAGCTAGTTGAAGCTCCAAGAAGTGACAAAGAGCAATCAAAAGAAATGAGTGTACATCCAAGACAGCATTGCCGCTTCCAATGACCTCACCTTTAATTGCTAAAAGAAGACAAACAACTTGACTCATAAACCCTTTAAATGCCAATGGTGACCAACATCAATTTTCTCCTAACGATATCCATACAATGTCAAGAGATTAGGTTATGAGAACTATTAAAATGATCACCAACAGGGTTGTCACTAAGATTTCAAGTTGCCGGGTAAATACAAGAAGTAGGCAGGGAATCAAACGGCTAGGGATTTCTTTTGGTTCTATTTTTCTTCTATTTTCCAATAAAAGTAGCCGGGCACCACTCTCTTAGTAGCCGGAGAAAATCCCCGGCCCCCGGCTCTTAATGACAACCCTGACCAAGGAGAAAATGCCTTGATCTTTTATCAAATTCTCTCAACTCATTCTTTAAGGAAATGTATAGAGATCAGTTTGGATAATTTGTATGTAGATATTGGGGCTTAACGGGTTAAAAAGGCAATTTCTGAGTTGCCTCAAACCTCCGTTTCAAAGCAAAGCTTAGTGAAAAGCTTATATTCATATGAAAATTAGTTTTTTTTCTTATGGAAATAACACTCTTTTTCATAAAGAAGGTTTTGAACTTGGCCTCATTTTGAAAATGAGAGTTTTTGGAACTTGGAAATGGTCTATTTTATGGTCATAGTTTTTATTAACTGGAGACTTGCAGTCTGACTGTCTGACGCACTAGATACATGTAAATGTACATGATGCAGGTTAAAATTATATTCATGTTAAAACTTTTTTAACCTAGGTTGATTCTCAATTTCCTTTGTTCTCCTAGCCCTGATTCATGAATAATTTGGGTTAGGAGAAAAAGGAAATTGCAGATCAACCTTGGTTAAAAAATTTTAACCAGAATGTGATCTTGACCTGTAACATACACCTAGAAACAGACATTCAGAAGAGAATCCATGATATTCAGTCATCAGAACTACTAGGGTTACCGGTAGTTACAGTAGTCATACTATGTATATAGTCAAGCCATCAAAAAAACCAGCATGAGTAAGTGCACTTACCCTTGTCAAGAAAGGCAAGGTGTTTCTACAAAGAAAAATAATGACTTGTGTTAGTGATGCAGTACAACTGAAGAATGTACATGTACATACTTCCAAGGCAAGAAGGGCATGTTTCATGAAACATTGAGCAAAAATGGAGCTGGCAACATAGTTTTAAACTGACAGAATATTTTTGTCTCATTCTTCCATCTTTAAAAAATATCATGAACTGTAATGGTGCTAAACTCCACTACGTTCTCTGTAGAAAAGAACAATCTCTATATGAAATAATTAATTATTCCTTTTCCGTTTTTCTATTTAAAACATTGACAAAAGTCCACATCTGACAAGATGACAAACCTCAAATATTTCCACGCAGCAAGCCACCCATTCAAAGCTGTCCTTAAAAGCTTTTGTCTTCCATACAGCCACACAGTGAGAAAACGCCTCATCAAGACGCCCTGGAAAGTCAGTATGATAAGAATTAAGCAGTTTACAGTATTAAAAAAACTGGAGCATTCACCAAGTTTTACATCCTTGGAGCCAGAAAAATGTCCATTTAGGAGAGATGTCCACTTATGTGATATTAGAAATTATTGTTTGTATGTTGCAGTTGGTAGGACCATGACTACGGTGTAAGCCTCTCCTTACAGGCAATGTCTGTTAGCAGAGGTCTTTGTGTATCTCAAACAACAACTTACGAGAGAACTTTTGAATTCACATTCCCTTGTTCCAGATCATAATTATGTATGTTCAAATGTTATTAGTATTATAAATTTGTTTTCAGTAGGAATAAAGCATTCTTTTGACAAAGATTATGCTGTGGATGCCACTTGACAAAGTTTTTCATATAAAATGCAGAACCAATTCAAGACAAATTGTGGATTTGAAAAGGTATCACTTCCACCAGGAAAGCTGCAAGACTCTGTCTCCAATACATCATAGATTTTGACCAATACTATTATTGTTATACATAATATGGAACCTAACAAAGTTGTAGAAAAAATGTCACAAACTTTGTCAAGTGACAATGCTTGCACTGTCTATTAAAGCTCAATTTGTTAATAACTACCTTACCTTGTACAGAGTAAAGCTTTACCAGCCTAATATGCAAGTTGGCATCTCTTGGTCGTTTACTCTAAAAACAAAAATATGTCAACAAAAAATGTTATAATCCACAAGTCAAGTAAACAAAGCTAGATGCTGATATTAGTTAAACTGCTGAGATATATTTTAATTTATTACTCTGGAAAGGGACGGCATAGAAGAAAGTGTAACAATTAAACTCAAAGGTATGAACCTTCATGTACATTTGTATGAAATCCAGGGTGTTGGCACTATGTTTAATGAAAAAAGGTACATTTTCCTTATCACCCAATGGCAAAAGTTACATGTAGTTAGTCACCAGCATCTTTCTAGGTGCTGCTTAAGACAGCCTTGATTACCCCTGATCCTTGACCTTCAATTTTTTATTACACAAGCCATTTTATTGTGGTTTTTTCACAGCTGCGAAAGAAATAACTAGATCTTTCTTGTCATGTTTATTTAATGTCACCTCCTGAAATCAAGAGTTCCACACAGTTCACCAGTGTTTTTTTAACGCTCTATCAGAAGGCCAGAATTCTGCAGAGTGAAATTGCAGGATTTCAGAAAACAGGGCTGTCACGGTGTCCAACAAGAAAGCTCTTGCTACTTTGGACACTGTTAATGAACTTAATGTCTTTTAGTTAATTATTATTTGTCAGCTACTTTATTTTCCTACCTACGTACACTTATGTACATATCTTACATAGTGTAAATAAAGAATTGAATTGAATTGAATTCTGAGTTGCCGAGTATGTACAATAAATTAGTAAGCGAAGAATTGTTCAGTTGGAAAGATTTTTTGGTTCAATGACTTTTACTTTCTTTATGGCTTGGGGGTCATGCCCATTGCAGCTGAGAAACTTTCTGACCCCTGGCCTTAAAAAAAGCTCATAGAAAACCACACTTGTCTGGCACATTCCACTGTGCTATTTTGTTACATGTAGGTCACAGTAATGTTATTATTATTTTGGACCTTCCAGTACTGCTGGAATTGAATAATATTAATCAGAATTTTATCCTTGATAAAAGGGAACTCACAAGTTCTTCAGATATCAGGTCTTCTAGGGCTTCATAGTCCACCACCTCAGCTGACTCTAAAAGGTGAATCTACATGTACAAACAAAAGGGCATTCAATTACAATAAAAAAAGAAAAATACAAGAGAGAATTACTACAGAGAAATGTTCTTCAACACCAACAATTCCTTGGTTATGCTAAGCTTATGGAAGCCATCTAGACCCTTTAATCAGCAATGTTTGCTGTTATTCGCAGCCTCTTTTTGATAAGGAGAGGGAATTACAATGGTTTGTAGCACTGAAAAAAAAATGACAAAATGCTGTCCCTCTTTATGAGGTCTCATTTTAATTCAACACAAAAATTAACAACCCAATTGAACACAAACACTAAGCTGTACCAAAAGTCTCAGGCTTTAGAAATCACCCTCTTTCAACTTATTTCTTGATATATTTTGGGCAGCCAAGGACTAAATCAGCTGTCACAATCAAATGATGACAATGTGAAAAAGCCAAGAGTTATAAGTTATGCCTACCCTGAGTTGAAACACATCTGGATGGCCAGGGAATAGACGAGCTCCTCTATCTGCCCAAGCCTACAAAATACATGGTGCAACACACATTATATAAGGAATAAATAACTAATATTATTATAATTAATATATTAAATTAAGGACTTCGTTGGCTTCTGAATAAGACAGTACTTGTAATCTAATCTGCAATTTAGAGTACTTTGTTCATGTACTGGTAATCACAAATTCGTATCACCAGAACGGGGAAAAGTTTGAACTTTTCTAATGAGAGGGTCCAGGATTGCAGTGCAATGAGTTATGACATTATTATATCAGGAATGAGCATATACAATGTAAACATACACTACAGTAACAGATTAAAACATAGAGACATACAGCTTTACTCACCCTGGCACGATCAGGATGAACAGGAACACTGCAGTACAATCTGACAACTAAGAAAAAATACAACATAGACGTCAATACTAGAAACTGATTGTAAATAAATTAAAATAATGTCTCTATTAATTTCTGTCAGAAACAGAACAAGGGTCCACCCTCTAGGCATAATACTGTAGTAACACAATAATTGTTATTAAGAGCTAGTTTTCTTGAATCACTCAAAATGCAAAGTGCATGGATCTTGACCATGTGATGCAAGTTTTCAGAAATTTGCTTTTCAGTTAAAATTACATACTTTTGCCGATCTGGTCAGCTTATCAGGGCTGAGTTGCTCAAAGCATGGTTAGCTTTAACCATTGGTTAAGCAGTATCAAAACCAATACGTTGTCAAGGTATTTAACGCTGGTTAACGCTAACCATGCTTCGAGCAACTGGGCCCAGATCTACTTCTTGGCTTTACTTTTAGTACAGTATATTGTCAAGGATGTTTAATCCATTTTTTTACCATTTCCACACGTATTAACACAGCAAAGAACTGACTAAAATGAAAAAAGGAGTGAAATGAAAAAGTAGCAATAAGCTAACCAGGAGCTTGACAATTTCTTGTGATGTCACTGTATTATGTTTCCACCATTAGTAGCCACGTGCAGGGCTCCATTTTGTAATATGGGGTAGCTACAAAAAATCTATAGCCCTTAATGACATCCCACCTGAAAGAACGACCCTTCAGGATACAAACCTTTTAGAACCAACTCCTTCTGAGTGTTGTTCAATTCCAAGGACCTAAAAAATATCGCATTAACCATTTAATTACAAGAATAATAATAATAGCAAGAAAACGAGGAGGCAATGAAGACACAATGTAACTGCATGAACAGCAGCAGACTAGCTGATACCTTCTATATGAAGCAACTGCCTTTTCCAACTCTCCCAATGATTCATACAACTGCCCCATTAGGCAATGACCCCTGTAATTAAGAACATACATTCAATCAAACACAGTTTTGAAACTTGTTTCAACATAATGCCTCGTTAGAACATTGAAGAACTTTTAAAATTTATTTTATAGAAATAGTATAGCTTTTTCGTTTTTCACTCTTTCTAATGTGGCTTTTTAAAATTTAGGCTACGTTAAACTCGAGACATTGCTGGCCAGCTGTTTCTCGTCGGGGATATGCGGGGTACCCTAATTGCACGGCACAGGTTGTGGGTTTTTTACAGCCATTCTCTCTTGGGGTCTGGTCATTACGAGAGTACAATGTATGTTATTGCCTGTCGCAGCTACTGCTTGCAGAGTGGTTTTTTCTGCTCCATACCCTTCCTCCCTATAGTAAGTATTATGGTAAGTATGTTAAGTTTCACTGGTTTGCAGTGCATTGGTGCTGGGGGCAGTGATTGTGTTACAAATAGTAGGTTCGTCACCGCCATGACCCATTGAACTTAATGGTGAGTCCTGTAACTCATCTTGAGAAAAATCATAAGTCCCTGTCCATAACCAATAAGTTCCCGTTGAAAAAAAAAAGCAAGGAGTCCTAAACTGAAAATACTTGAGCCTTTTGGTAAACAGACAGTTAAACAGGAGACAGACACCAAAACTCTTTAATACAGTTTACTGAACTTCTGTATATTTAAAGCAAAAAAGACTAAAATGAATTTAATAAAATTATGCATCTTTAAACAACAGCCACAAAAAACACATGAACAGGATATTATACATGTACCAAAAAGTCTTCAATTTATTTATCATTCTTTGTATCCTATAGGACGCATTTCATTTATTATTTTGGGAATGTTAATGCATCAGGGACACAGGACGCGGAGGTAACAAAATCACGGCCTGAGTGGATACCACTCTGAAGGGTTGTCAAGGTTAAGCATTGCACTTGGCAGCAGTTCAGGGCACCACAACCTCACAGGTACATGTACCTCCCCCATATTCATCTCTGTTTTACAACAAACGAGTTTAATTTGCAGCTGTTGTCTTCGTGTAGAGGACCATAATGAAAACCACCGGCTAACTGGAAATTAAATAAAGTTTTTTCTTCAAATTTTCAGTTAACACTATCAACATCAAGGTAAGATAATGTATGTAAATGAAAATAGTTCTTACCTAAAATCTCCTTCACTCTCGCTAATGTAAGCTTCCAGGTACCTACAGGGTATTTTTTATAACAGATAATATAAATATAAATTTAAAATCTTAAAATGATTACTAGTGCGTGTTAATATTAAGTTTTACGGAATAAACAGTAAGCAGCATACAACCGGTGAGCTGATTTCTCACTGCCCTCTAACCTCACTTTAGACTTCATGTATACCGGTACTCATCTCAGAGGATCAATAAAGTCATAGCAGTTTACGTAGGAAAAAGCTGTTTTCTTTCACCGGTGAACAATAATCTGTATAGCTGGACATGGAAAGCTACAAATAGTAAATGTAGTGTGATATTCTGGGGCTAACCACTTAGATCAGGGATGACTTGTTTAAGCCTGGTTTTAATACATAGGGAAAAACTCGGCTGATCAGGATTACATTATAGTATACTGTATCTTAACCGTTCGAGATTTTGCTGACTAATTAAACTTAAAACTGTATAGTAAATATCCCAGACAGTCTAGGGTGGCTGAGGACAAATCTAGAGAATGAGGAGCATTTCTATTTTTCTGACACCTTTCAGATTTCTGCAATGGGTTGGAGGTGATTATTTCTGACAAAAGAAGACTCAAATTAATTTTGTCTCGCAGGGGATCAATGCGCAATCATCTTTTCTCTGTTGCTTTGCTTCAGTCTGTCCTTAGTTTATAAATAAAAATGGCATCTGGGACAGATCCTAGAATTTTCCGGACGTCATGTATTGGTAGAATCTGGGATGATCAGAAAACAGTAAAATTTCCCTGGGATTTTCCCACCATATGAAAACCAGGCTTTTAGGAATGATAATAGCAGATCTAGGGTTGGATTACTGTTAGACCGAGATTCCTCTCTGCAATTAGACAGATCACTGTGGAAAGTTCACATACAGTACTTTGCCCTGATTTTGGGAGCCTTAAGAATATTTTAGCAGCCTACATTGTATAACAGGCCATCCTAGAATTATAGTTACCAGCACAATGAAAAATAGAATGAAATCGGTGTCATATATTATTTCAGTTAGGAAAAATAACACTCTATGAACGTTTTGATTAATTTGTAATGTCTTACGTTATGTACATGTACATGAAAAGAATCGGAAGTTAAATTATAAACTGTAGTCCGACCAGAAGAACTTTGACAACTTTAAAAATCCTCCAACATCGAGGGCCAAGCTCGATAGTAAACACGTGAGAATAGGTAAAATAGCACTTTAAAAGTTTAAACTCGCCTTCATTTCGATTACATCAAACACAAGTCTTATAAACGAAGAAACTGCAACGGACAATGTGTGATGTCGAACGAACAGGAAATGGCACGCAAAATGCAACGTTAACAATTACAAGAATAAACTTACCGTTTTGCACTCTCATTGTCAGATGCTTCTCGGTACAGTCTTGCAAAGGCAAACCCTTTCAGGTTACGCTGCAATTCAGGAAAGGTGATCGTCAATATAGAAATGAATGCAAAGAGATTTCTCCGATGAGCAATGAATCAAATATGCTTAACTAAGCTCACCTCGTGCGCACTTTTACAATTTCGTTCCACCTGAACCACGTACTTATCGACTTCGTCCTTGGTCCAAACCATTTCAAAGGTTTGTGGAGAATGGAAAGCTTGAAGCCAAAACGAAGGGATCTCAATTCAACAGGCAATGTACTTCAATTTTACTAGCATTTCATATTTCGAAAACTCTCAAAACGAAGACCGCAAGACCGCGAAAGATAATTTTGACTTGACGCATGATTTTGAATAAAAAACCGCTGTACGGTGACATTTTTTGCTTTTCTCTGACTTCCGGTTTTTCGCAGAAAAAAGCTGCAGCGTTCGTGCCTGTTCATGCAAAGTTGACGATGCCAATTTTCAGTAGGGTAAGAATTATCTTTCTTTATATGTATTATACTGTGTTCAAGCTTAGTTTTTGTTTACTGTCGATAAAATTTGTGTCTTTGAATACTGTGTTCTGTAAGCCTCAACCCCGCTAGCTGCCGAGACAGGTTCTATCATGTTGCAGCTGATTTTGATGTTCTCTTATCTTGTAAGAGGCTTCCTTCCTGCTTCTCGCTCTCCCTTTTTGGTAGATTAAATATTTATAGCACAGTGTCTTTATAGGGCAGGGAGCTGAGCCATCCTGAGTGTTGTCGGAACTGATATTTTTCTAATGTGTCTTCCTGTTGTCATTTGATTATATTTTAGTATATCTGCACTCGAGTAGGAGCCAGCGGAACGGGCAGCTTTGACGAAATAGGGACTTTAAGATCCAACGACGCGACGACAATGAGGATGTCGCTTAAAAAGTGAATTTGCGTTCTTTCAGTCTTTATCGCAATTATTCCTACCCAGCCGACTTTGTCAAATGTAGGCGAACCCTCCTGGCCCCAGTTGTTCAAACGTTGGATAGCGCTATCCACCGGATAAATCACTATCCAGCGGATAGCGTAATTGGTTTCCCTAATACTTATCCGCTGGATAGTGATTTATCCGGAGGATAGCGCTATCCAACGTTTGAACAACTGGGACCTGGAGTTGAATTCCTAGGGACCATATCCAAGTGCAGAAATAGAAACTGAATTTCGTCGTCGCTTGTTTACTTACTCCATAAAACGCGGAATTAGGCGTTTTCACGTCCTGGTCCTGCAAAAACGGGCAAAGAAATGTACAAAAAAGCGTAGTGCACGTGCATTTGACGTTCTCGTTGCCGTCCGCGTCGTTGGAGCTTAAAGTCCCTAATCTGATCTGAGCGAAAGCCCCCGGACCAGCAAAGCGCGGAGGGGAGGGGCGCTTATTCAAAGGACGCGGTGATTTCACACCAAAGGATAGCCAAGAGCGCGTAAGGGAACACTAGCTATAAGGGGAGAGGAGGCATCGGTTGTTTACCCTTTACAAAAAAAAATCTGGAAATTTTCGGTCGGTAAGAACGGTACGTGTCGTTTACCATTTTCCTAAAATTTCCGAATTGTCGCGCCGCGCTAGACTGGATTCTAGTTACAGCAGACTTAAAAGATAGAACTACTTTACACCTGTAACATTATCTAGTCAAGAGGTGAATGGTAAACGAATTTCCATTCGGAACGTCCCAATACGGAAAACGAGACTACCTTTTCAGAATTTCCGTTTGTCGAGGGAATTTTCCAGTGGGACGAACCAAAAAATCGTTTACCATTTACATCCCAAGCGGAATTTCTGGGAATTTGTGGTAAATGGTGAACAACCGATCCTCTCCTTTTCTCGCCTCCTGCGCGCGCGTCCTTAAACTTTCTCCCTTCGACAGGCTAACCAAGTGAAAGCGGTCATTCGAGGGGTGGGTATCATTCGAGGGTATACAGTGACTCAATTTCCGGCTGTTTTGGTTTTCCAATAAAAGTCCTAGCAACTACGACGGCGACTGCAACGAAAACGTCAAAGAAGAAATTTTTTTTTTACTCTTTCCCCAAACAGAGAGCCTGTGTTGACAGGCTAGCTTTTTTGTACATTTATTTGCCGTCACCTCACGATTTCGAGGCGAAAGTTCCTAATTTTACGTTTTTGGGGGGGAGAGGAGGCACAAGACAACGACTTTCTTTTTCTTTTCCTCAACTTCGATACAGTCTTTTAGTATTCAACCCCACAAGATTTGCTAACATGTCACGAATTAAACGAGATGCATTAAGCGTGATAATTAAGTGACGTTTTCGTAGCCGTCACCGTGGTTGTCGCGTAAGCCCCAATTTGACAGGCATTGGGAAAAAACGTTAAAGATAAGGAGGTCTGTTCAGTATGCTAAGCCTTTTACCGGATTTTGTCGATATAGATACGTTTGTTGACAACATGAGTGGGCACCAAAACATCTCAGAACACTTTCTTTCCGCAAGAGAAAAATCACTTGAGAAGAAAGTCGTTCATTTGGAGACCCAGTTACAGGTGTACAAGTCCCAAATAGGTAAGCCAGTTTATAATTATAGATACTGCTTAGGAGCAAAGAATGAATTCCAAGGAGTTTGACTAAAATCAGGGTCCGGTGGCGCGCTACCGGTAGTCTTGATAAACCGGCCTGATAAACGGGAAGAAAAAAATACGAGAGATGAGCAGACGGCCCTGTGGCTCGCCAATCACGACAAGTGTTGGAGTAACAACAGAATACCCCTCCACTTCGAAGCAGTATCCTTGAAAGAGCTGGATATGTGGATCGGATACGCGGATACGGAGTGACTGAGTATCCACGTATCCACCTATTTTTAAGGAGTTGCTTTAAACTGGCACGGTATTTTTCAGTTAAGCCCAAATGTTTATAGCCGCCCAGGCCAAGCATAGGATTAGTAGAGCAGACAAGAAACATTTTTTTTCTTCTTTGAATGGCCTGATTAGCGTGAATAATTCATATTATGCGAACATGGAATCTAATGCCTAGGAACTTGCCAACATAGTCTTTTCTTGTTTGATTTAATTCTAGAAAATCCGGCGTAAGTTGATGGAATTTAACGTTAATACCACGTACAGCAGAACGTGTCAAAAAAAGGGTGTTACTGAGCTAACCTTTCGTCCAGCTTAGCCCCTATCCAAAGTTAGACGTTCTTATAACGGATCATGAGGTTATGTTCACGCTATTCCCAGCTGTATTCCGGATAGCGATCCGGTACAATGTGAACACATATCCGATACGTGACTCTCCATTTTAGAGATTGGCGCAGTGCAGCTTACCCTGGGTACCAGAGGTTTTTTCTCGCGTGCGACAGGGGTCTTCGTTTCGTCGGCCGAAGGCCGAAGACACGAGCGGTGAAACCGCGGGTCACTTTTTAAGACTTGACCGAAACCGAAAACCGCCGAAATCACCGTTCTTATGTGAACAGAAGCCCTATCCGGGATGGTTTTCGCGCCGGCGCAAAAGCAATCTGGCAAGGTATGGTGTGAACTGTCTTAGCCATGAGTAATTAATTGTACGAGCTGGGGCCATTAACCAATATTTTTGTAATTATTAACTGTAATGTCCTACATGATTTAGATATTCTTCATGAGGAACATAAGAAACTTGAAGAAAGAGTGCTTACTATGGAGAGTGCCTTGCCAGAAACGAAGAAGGAGCTATTAGAGACGAAAAAAGAGGTAGCCATTCTTTTATTGTTTGGAGAAGTTGGTAGAAGTACAAAGCATGTTAGTCATAAAAGTCCAAGGACTGAAACCCCGTGACGAGACAATCGGGTTCTTTTTTTCCGGCTTACAATTCCTCGGTTTTTTCAACTATTGACATGTACCAGTTTGAAAGTGATACGTCGTAAGAGAGCAAAAATACAGCTGCGAAGCTGCAAAGTTGCGAATATTTTGTAAGTTTGTAGGGCGGGGGCAAGTTTGTGCCCCCACCATACTAACGTCTGTAACATTTCACGACTTTCAGGAACTGTACCTTCTTTATGTGTTAATGATATATGAAATAAATCATATATGAACTGCGGAAATGAAATGAAAATGAAGAAGTGATCGTCGCGGTGAACGCAATTTATGCAATTGCGTAAAGAAGCCTGAAAAAAATTCAGGACTTCAACGGGGTTTGAACCCGTGACCTCGCGATACCGGTGCCTGCTCCCAACGTCAGTGGCTTCATAGCTCAGTTGGTAGAGCATCGCACCGGTATCGCGAGGTCACGGGTTCAAACCCCGTTGAAGTATTGAATTTTTTTCAGGCTTCTTTACGCAATTGCATGAATTGGGTTCAATGCGACGATCATTTCTTCATTTTCATAATATCTTCTTTAGTTGTCAACAGAGCACGTTTAAACTTGGCAATTTTATTTATTTAAAGGCGCTCTTTTCAGGGGAGTTGACATTTTCCCAAACTTTTCCATGTCACAAGTTAAAAAAAACGGTGGAAAGGTCTATTGTAGAAATAGGCACCAATACTAGACGCGCACGACGGCGACGGCAAACCGAACTTCAAAAATTTATAGGTTAACAAGCAAACAACAATTTTGTACGTGCAGCGCACTTTTTGGTACATATAATAAAATTAGTAAAACCAGCGTCTCATTGCCGGTCAGAGCAACCTTGTACTTCAACCGGTGGTGTTTTAGATCTAAGTATAAAACCTGGGTATTTGTTGCTTTAAAACCATTACAGGTGCTTGACAAAGAGCTGGCCGAGATTCAGTTATCCGAGGAACTAAAGTCCATGACTCTTCAAGCAGAGGAGTATAAGGTATTACGCTAATTGAGGCGGAAGCCCTCGTGAACACACTCTTACTGAACAAATATATCTCGAATGCAGGCATCAGAAATTTATCTTTTAATGTGTGCCCAGCTTTAACCTTTTTCTGCTACTGGGCACTCTTAACACACACAATTAAGACCAATTAACTTCACGGACAGTGGACAAGTCGGGCTATCAAGGCTGAAAATAAAATTTCAACATTGTGGCAGGTCAGTACTTGCTTAGTGCCCCCAATGAGATTTTGAAATCCGCGAAAAAGCTCTGCGCAAGTCTGCTGTAAGGCAGAAGTGGCTTTAAGTGGCTGGGGCCATGGCTGTGGCTAAGATTTTATATACTTTAATCAATTAGCTATGACAGACGTCCTAAGATGAAATTCAGTCTTCTGTTATACGTGTTGAACAGCACCCTCATAACGCTTCAACCTTTGAAGAGGAATTGCTCTGATGGTTATCCTTTCAACCATAGCGTCTTTTTGTGGCGGAGAGAAACAAGAACATATGCGGCTTAGAAAGACTGGAGGCACTGATTTCAAACGCGGATGCTGAAATGCACAACGAGGACATGCCCAACCGGTTTGAAAGTTTTAAGGTAAATCTTTAATTGTTGATTACTTTCTCTTCCTTAACTGTCTGTCAAACTAACGCTCTAGTAATCTACAGTAGTCACTTATTCAGGCGGCCACTGTCACTTACCTTTTTTTCGTCAGGCTGTCGGATTTAATTTTTATCCCGGTATAACGTGACGAATGGGTAAGACAGTAAGGTTACTAAGAATGAATCCAACCAGCTGTTGGAGCACTAATAAGTAGGCTGCAAAACTTCAGTCAGTGGTCTCTGTCTGGGCTTTCTATCGAAACCACTTTTCAACATTTAATGCGTGTAGGTGTTGTAAGCGTGTTCGAGTTCAAAGTTTAGTGAAGTGCGAACAAGCAGCAGTCGTAGATCAGCGGTTTATTTAGAGACGAAAGTACGCTTCCAGTTTCATTTTCAGTCCTATATACTAATGCCCGCTAGCCCCTGAATTAAGGCTTTGCTCTGATAGGAACTTTATTCTCTCATATAACTGTTTTCTCTTTGGACATGAAATTGTAGGATTTAATCAGAGTGATACAAGAGGGTTTTCAGGCCCAAATAAAGATGATTCTTGATAAGCTTTCCGACGCCGAAGATATGCTTTACCGTTCATCGCCTTACACAGAAGGGAAAGTACAACAGACGAAGATCAACAAAGAAACACCCTCAAATGGTTCGATGTTCGAGTTAGCAAATCTGAGCGACAAAGTCAAGGGAGAAGTTGATGACGAACCAAGGGTAAAAGCAGCCAACCCTCTTCCTGAGAAAATCCAAGCTGTAACGGATAGCTCGGAAGCGTGCAAACACGAGCAATTTAGCTGCAACTCTACAAACGGTGAGGATTCCGTGGACTCTGAACCAACTCCAGTTTTTCAACAAACACAGCAATCATTTGTACAAGCTCAGGCGAATTTCAAACATGCCCATCCAAATGATACGATTGATTTGCATCCATTTATGAGCAAAAGTCCTATAAAGGGAGCAACGAAACAAGGCCAAGATTGCATTTTGACCTATGAAAGTCGTACCCCAATAGCAGACCGAGAAATGGCGAGTCGACTTTTCCTTCCACCGAATTTCTACAATTATACCAAACGTGACCCTTGCCCTGGGTGTATTGGTTGTCGTGGTATACCAAAAAGAGCAGCCGATACCATTAAACAGGAGGTTAAGGACATTAAACAAGTCAGTACGTCCGGTACTTCAGCGGTTTTCACAAGCACAGCGACGAGTCACTTATTTGGACAGTCAGCTAACTTTGGCCAACTTGCGCTATCATCGTTTAAAGCTCAAGATGGAATTGCATTTTCTCAGTCACAAACGAAGACAAGCCATAAACCGTGTCAAGGAGCAGGTCAGCAGCTTTTTGCTGAACCTGCTGAAGAGGTCGAGGGACAAGATAGTGATAAGTTGCATTTCGAACCAGTTATTCCTCTTCCTGAAGGAATCCAAGTTGTCACAGGAGAAGAAGGTCTGGAGGTGATGTTTTCCGAGAGGGCAAAGCTGTATCGGTTTGATGGTGACCCGTCGGAGTGGAAAGAAAGGGGGATTGGAGAAGTGAAGCTATTACGTCATCCAACTTCAGGACGAGGAAGAGTTCTCATAAGGAGAGAGCAAATCAAGAAACTGTATGCTAACCATAATATTACTGCTGAAATGGAGCTTAAACCTAATGTTGGATCAGATCGTTCTTGGGTCTGGTATACTTCTGCGGATTATGCTGAAGGTGAAAGAAAGCCGGAAAAACTAGCCATCAAGTTTAAGACTGAGGAAACGGCTGGAAATTTTAAACAGGTATTTGATGAACTGAAAGAGTTATTTTCGTCGGGACATCTCCAAGAAAAGGTGACAGGTTGCGAACTTTCTAAACAGTTTCTTTCAAATTTTGCTCCTGCACCTGGTACATGGTCTTGTGAGGCGTATTGTGTTGAAAATAAGGCTGGGAATTCGGCATGCGTGGCATGTAACTCCGCAAAATCAAACGACGGAGAAACTGAACCACCTTCCAAACATGGAGAAGAAACAGCTACTGCAACAAATGTGTCTTTTGTTGAGTCGGTGAAACCAAACACATTCCACAACTTGAATAAAGACGCTCCGACTTCCTTCTTCTTCAAGTCTCTGGGAGGGAAGGGCCTGTATACTTCAAAGCTTTTCACCATTGGGCGAGGAGAATCAAGTGTAGATAAAGATACTAGAGACGATGAGACTGATCTCTCTCCGTGTAAGATGTCCTTTCTAAGCAGCAAGGGTATAATAACACCACAACTCTCAACCCAAGACCCGCAAGGTAATCTGTTTACAGGTCTTCCGTTTGGCACTGGTGCGCCACGCGATTTCACATTTAGGATGACAGTTTGGCCTGGATCTCCGCCAGAAAAGCCAAGATCTCCATTGTCACACACGTCTCCAACGCGTCCTGTTCTTGGGGACACTGATGGTAAATCTAAATTTGAACCAGTTATTCCTCTCCCTCAAGAAATACAAGTTGTCACAGGAGAAGAAGGTCTGGAGGTGATGTTTGCCGAGAGGGCAAAGCTGTATCGGTTTGATGTTGGCTCCTCGCAGTGGAAAGAAAGGGGCATTGGAGAAGTGAAGCTATTACGTCATCCAACTTCAGGACGAGGAAGAGTTCTCATGAGGAGAGAGCAAATCAAGAAATTGTGTGCTAACCATAACATTACTGCTGAAATGGAGCTTAAACCTAATGTTGGATCAGATCGTTGTTGGGTCTGGTATACTTCTGCGGATTATGCTGAAGGTGAGGGAAAGCCGGAAAAACTAGCCATAAAGTTTAAGACTGCGGAAACGGCTGGAAAGTTTAAACAGGTGTTTGATGAACTGAAAGAGCCACTTTCGTCAGGTCATCCCCCGGAAAAGGCGCCTGCTGAACATCAAAAGGCGACAGGTTGCGAACTTTATAAACAGTTTCTTTCAAATTTTGCTCCTGCTCCTGGCACATGGTCTTGTGAGGCGTGCTATGCTGTAAATAATGCTGGTGATTCGATATGCGTGGCATGTAACTCCCTAAAAACAAACGACGGAGAAACTAAACCACCTTCCAAACATGGCGAAGAAACAGCTATAACAAATGTGTCTTTTGTGGAGTCGGTGGAACCAAACACATTCCAAAACTTGAAAAAAGACGCTCCAACTTCCTTCTTCTTCCAGTCTGTGGGAGGGAAGGGCCTGAATACTTCAAAGCTTTTCACCATTGGGCGAGGAGAGTCAAGTGTAGATAGAGATACTAGAGACGATGAGATTGACCTGTCTCCAAGTAAGATGTCTTCACCGAGCAAGAAGGGTATAATAACACCACAACCCTCAACCCAAGATTCCCAAGATACTCTGTTTACAGGTCTTCCGTTTGGCACAGGTGCTTCATGCGACTTCACATTTAGGATGACAGTTTCGCCTGGATCTCCGCCACAAAAGCCAAGATCTCCATTGTCACACAGTACTCCAACGAGTCCTGTTTGTGGGGACGATGATGGACCATATTTTGAGCCTCTCATACCACTCCCTGACAAAGTTGAATGTCGCACGGGGGAGGAGGGGCAGGAGGTACTGTTTTGTGACCGTTGTAAACTGTTTCGATACGACAGTGACACGTCTCAATGGAAAGAACGAGGAGTTGGTGACATCAAAATACTTCTTAACCCAAGTTCTAAAAGGCATCGAATCTTAATGAGACGTGAGCATGTGTTCAAAATTTGTGCAAATCATGTGATAACTTCAGAAATGCAACTCAAACCGTTTCCAAACTCTGAGAGAGCCTGGGTGTGGACAACACTTGGGGATTTCTCAGAAGAAACAACTACAGCGGAAACTTTGGCCGTAAGGTTTAAATGCAACGAAATTGCCAATAATTTTAAGGAGGTCTTTGACAAGGCTCTACAGACTCTTTCGCGTAAAAGTGACCATTGGGTATCTTCATCAAATGCAAAGGACAATCATCTTGACAAAGCAATAGTTAAAAAAGATCAAAAGGAGAGAGACGTCTTTGGCTATGAGGAGGAGGCATTTGCTCAACCAGGGATATCAGCAAGGTGGGTAGTGACGAAGCAGTTGATAATAATAATAATAATAATAATAATAATAATAATAATAATGATAATAATAATAATAATAATAATAATAATAATAATAATTATAACAATAATAATAATATTATAATAATATCTATAGTAAAAAAACTCATAGTAGGCATTCGTCTATCTCCTGAGGTAATGGTAACGATTACATTGGTTAAAGTCAGTCTTGTTGCGAAGAGCGGCCAATATCTCTCAACAGGCCGATCTTTGAATGACAGTCTCTTCGGTACATGTTACAAGCGAAAAAAAGTTGGAGTTACTTAGGACAGGGGGTCAATGGCTTGTCTGAGTAACCTGTAACGTGATATCACCTTCGTTGTTATTGTTACTTTGAAATGATGTTTTAAATAATTTATCAGTCTAGTCAGCTATTGACCATGATTCTCGCTTCTATCCCCATGTAAGGCAACTGTAACTCGTACAATGTACCTTAAACCGCGTTCACCTTGTTTCTATAGAATTTGACCCACCATATAAAATATATTGAGCGTGTTATAATGTAACAAAGGATGGAATTCTGTTTGAAGGGTTGAGCTGAAAATGGCTTCCAAGCTGTATAGTATGGTGGCCGATATAAACATAAGACGAATAATAGATGGGAAAACGTATACAAACTTAACAAAAAACACCCCAACTTAATTAACATCATGTCAACTTAATGATACCCAGGCAAACTTAATAAAACACATGCAAACTTAATAATACGCAGGCAAACTTAGTAAAGAGCAAGCAAACTTAATGATACGCGTGCAAACTTAGTAAAGAGCATTCAAAGTTAATAATACGCATGCAAACTTAATAAAACGCACGCAAACTTAGTAAAGAGCATTCAAAGTTAATAATACGCATGCAAACTTAATAAAACGCACGCAAACTTAGTAAAGAGCATTCAAAGTTAATAATACACATGCAAACTTAATAAAACGCATGCAAACTTAGTAAAGAACATTCAAAGTTAATAATACGCATGCAAACTTAGTAAAGAGCATGCAAACTTAATAATACGCATGCAAACTTAGTAAAGAGCAAGCAAACTTAATGATACGCAAGCAAACGTAATAATATGCATGCAAACTTAGTAAAGAGCATTCAAACTTAATAATACGCATTCAAACTTAATAAAGCGCGTGTAAACTTAATAATACGCTTTCATACTTAACGGAACATGCGCCACCTTAACAAAGAGCATACAAACTTAATTTTGTGCAAACGTACTAAAACGTGCGCTAATTTAACAAATCACTAAGTTTGCATGCTCTTTACTAAGTTTGCACGCGTATTATTAAGTTTGCATGCTCTTTACTAAGTTTGCACGCGTATTATTAAGTTTGCATGCTCTTTACTAAGTTTGCACGCGTATCATTAAGTTTGCTTGCTCTTTACTAAGTTTGCATGCGTTTTATTACGTTTGCTTGCGTATCATTAAGTTTGCATGCTCTTTACTAAGTTTGCATGCGTATTATTAAGTTTGCATGCTCTTTACTACGTTTGCATGCGTTTTATTAAGTTTGCATACTCTTTACTAAGTTTGCATGCTTTTTATTACGTTTGCTTGCGTATCATTAAGTTTGCTTGCTCTTTACTAAGTTTGCATGCGTATTATTAAGTTTGTGTACTCTTTACTAAGTTTGCATGCGTATTATTACGTTTGCTTGCGTATTATTAAGTTTGCATGCATTTTATTAAGTTTGCATGCTCTTTACTAAGTTTGCATGCTCTTTACTAAGTTTGCATGCGTTTTATTAAGTTTGCATGTTTTTTTCTAAGTTTGTGTACGTTTTGCCATCTATTATTTTTGTGTAGTGCCTATATCGGCCACCATAGTATAGCGCCCCTCAACGGCACGCCCCCCTCAACATGATTAATTTCATCTTAATGTTTGTTCTCAGTGAGCAAGAACAGTCGATGCATAAGGAGGTCACAGAAGTGGCAACATCTAACAAACTAAGCCAATCAGGTCTTCTGTTTGGCTCTGCCAGTGTGGGTTCGTTGCCCTTTCAGTCTGTAGCCCCTTCCTCTTTGACTAGCAGGAGGCAAACAGCTGAGGAACCAACCTCTTTATTTAATGTTATTGCTTTTAACGTTATAATTGTTCTTTTTTTAAGGTGAGGCGGGGGGAGGGGGGGCGGTGATGATGTTGAACATTTTTATTCTTGCAAAATCTGGTGTGTTACTACTTTGATCACTTTCGCTTCTAGCCATTCTCGAGGCTATTGCAACTTGCCTGTGCCTTAGGACTCGCCTTTCGTGTCCACATAGAACTTTACCCACCATATTTTTATTGTGGAGCATGTGATGCCTAAACTAAGGCAACAGAACTTTCTGAAAGGTCGCCTTTATGACATCTACAACCTGCAATTCGTTTCTGCGTTGATGAGTTGTAAAGTTCAGTTTAGCATGATTAATAAGGAGAATGGTTTTCTTTTTCAGTGTCGAAGGACAGACGACAGAAATCCCAGAAGTGACAACATCGGCACCAAGCATACCAAGCCAATCAGGTTTTCTGTTTGGCTCTGCCAGTGTGGCTTCATTGTCCTTTCAGTCTGTAGCCGCTTCCTCTTTAACTGCCAGCCCATTTGGCAAGAAGACGCCTGACAAGTCTCTAGGGTTAAAAGGTGCTGGGTCCCAATTGTTTGCCACCCCTAAAACGGAGGATGATAGCGGAGGAGTTGAAGCAGACGGTAATCACACTGATGGACCACATTTTGAGCCCATTATACCTCTTCCAGATAAGATTGACGTAAAAACTGGAGAAGAAGACGAGGAGGTTATGTTTTCACATCGAGCTAAGTTGTATCGCTTTATCGCAGAGGAGAAGCAGTGGAAAGAGCGAGGCATTGGAGATATCAAGTTGTTGAGAAATGCAAGATCTGGGAAAATGCGAGTGCTGATGCGGCGGGATCAGGTGTTGAAACTGTGTGCGAATCATCAGATAACCACTGACATGAGTTTACAACCAAATGCAGGTTCAGACCGATCATGGGTTTGGAGTACACATGCAGACTTCTCAGAGGGGGAATGTAAAGCAGAGGTACTAGCTGTCAGGTTTAAGAACGAAGACATTGCCAGGAAATTCAAAGAAAAGTTTGAAGAATGCCAGGAAATGCTGAAGACCCAGGCATCACTGAAACCGCCACTCCAAAAGGAGACTGTCAATACAGAGGGCGTGAAAGAAGATCTTCTTGCGAAGTTTAAAGCTGAAGAAGGATCATGGGAGTGTGATACCTGTATGGTGAGAAACGGCAGTGATAAGTTAGTATGTGCAGCGTGCACAAGCCCGAAACCAGGAATAAAGGATAGTCAGGAGAAACAGTCAGAAGGAAAGCCAATTTTTGGATCTGGAACCACGTCGTCTGGGACAGGTTTTACATTTGGATCAGGTGCATCATCTTCTGGTACAGGGTTTTCATTTGGATCAGGTGCAACTCTCTATCCAAAAGGATTTGTATTGGGTTCCACTGGAACAAATGAAGGAGGTGCAAAACCGTTTTTCTCCTTTGGATCATCGAACCTGACTGCAAGTTCAAGCTCAGAAACTGCAACCACATTTGGTTCAATGACGCAACTAGAAACGACTATTCAAGAGCAAGCTTCTGGAGACTACATCGATGTTTCTCAGACGGATCAGCAAACACCTGATGTAGACAATAAGCAGCTGGGAAATGGAGAGAAGAATAATGTGCTTACTGCTGACACGGGTGCTGGAGAGAGAGAAAAGGTTGAGATGACATCATTTGGAGAAAGGTAATGCGTAATGTGCTCAAACGACACGTAAATGAATGTAGAGATTTTCATTTGATTTGCCAGACTACCGAGTCAGTCTGATTGGACGCACGAGCCGAAAAAGCGCTCCGAAGGCATTAACTCATAGCACAACCGTCCAGTATGGTATACACAGTATCTAGCGTGTAGAACTTTCGAAATATTTCACTGTCCTTCCGGTGAAGAAGTGACTGCTTGTTTCCATGTTATGTTGTAGATAGATGCATTTCAAGAAGTAAAGTTATACACCTGTTAGTTTACGAACAAATTAGTAGTTCAAAGTGTAGGTCAATATTTTTAGTGGGTCTATTATCATCCAGCAATTATTTAACTGAATCGTTTGGTCCCTTTGAATAAATGAGGTGATCATTGTTCTCGTTAATAATATTCTCCTTGGGAAGGCACTATTAATGTTTCTTTGTCGTAATTATTCTACACTCTAACTTTTGCAGTGAGGCTCCCCAAAAAAACAAAAGTGAAGAGTCGAGTGAGGAAAAAGCATTTCTCTTTGGGTCTCCAAGTATCTCTGCAATGTCCTTTCAGTCAGTAGCTGCTGCTTCGATCGAAAAAAGCCCATTTGGACAGAACGCAAAAACAAAATCCAAGGGGTTTGCTGGAGCTGGATCGACGCTTTTTGCTTCTCAGTCTCCTGGAGGGGAGACACACGAAGAGGAAGAACAAGGGGGTGATCATGATGGACCACACTTTGAACCAATCATTGCTCTACCGGAGAAAATTGACGTAAAAACAGGGGAAGAAGACGAGGAGGTCATGTTTACTCACCGATCCAAGTTATATCGCTTTGTAGCAGAGGAAAAACAGTGGAAAGAGCGCGGCATTGGAGATATCAAGTTGTTGAGAAATGTAACATCGGGAAAAATGCGAGTGCTGATGCGGCGGGATCAGGTGTTGAAACTTTGTGCGAATCATCAGATAACCACTGAGATGAGTTTACAGCCAAATGCAGGTTCAGGTAGATCGTGGGTTTGGAGTACAAATGCAGACTTCTCTGAGGGGGAATGCAAAGCAGAGCGACTAGCTGTCAGGTTTAAGAACGAAGACATTGCCAGGCAATTCAAAGAAAAGTTTGAAGAATGTCAGGAAATGCTGAAGAACCAGGCATCATTGAAACCGCCACTCCAAAAGGAGACTGTCAATACCGAGGGCGTTAAAGGCGATCTTCTTGCGAAGTTTAAAGCTCAAGAAGGAACGTGGGAGTGTGATACCTGTATGGTGAGAAACGGCAGTGACAGGTTAGTGTGTGCAGCGTGCACAACCCCAAAACCTGGAGCTCAAACATCACAAATGCCAGCCAATAGAGGGACACCATCTTTTTCGTTTGGGACAGCTGGTGCTCCATCGAATTCAGGATTTTCTTTTGGATATCCTTCATCTAGTGTTGATGCTGGAAGTGGATTTGCTTCAGCTTCTAGTCAAGGATTTTCATTTGGTTCAGATTCTTCATCTTCTCGAACTGGTTTCGTATTTAGTCGGCAAAAGGAAGGCCTCCGTACTGGTTTTCTGGAAGGATGGAAACCCGAAGAGGGATCCTGGAAATGTAATACCTGTTTGGTGAGAAACAAAAGTGAGAAGTTGGAATGTGTAGCGTGTACAAGTCCAATGCCAGGACTTGTTGTAAACGGCAAGAAAACGACAGAAGGAAAGCCATTGTTTGGATTTGGTTCTGGTTCATCGTTTTCCAATGCGGGGTTTTCGTTTGGAACAGGTGCCTCCTCTTCTGGTGCTGGATTTTCTTTTGGATCTCGCCCGACATCGACTGGGACAGGGTTTTCATTTAGATTTAATAGACAAGGTGGTGGTGATGGGGAAGAAGGAGACGAAAGGCAGGAAGGCGTCGGCAAGAGTCTTTTGACAGGATGGAAACCTGAAATGGATTCCTGGGAGTGTACTATCTGTTTGGTGGGGAACAAACGTGAGAATTTGGAATGTGTAGCATGTGCAAGCCCTAAGCCAGGAGTTGACGTAAACCGCAAGAAAACGACAGAAGGAAAGCCATTGTTTGGGTTTGGTTCTGGTTCATCGTTTCCCAGTGCGGGGTTTTCGTTTGGAGCAAGTGCCTCCTCTTCTGGAGCTGGATTTTCTTTTGGATCTGACCCGACATCGACTGGGGCAGGGTTCTCATTTGAATTCAATGGACAGGGTGATGGTGATGGGGAAGAAGAGTAGAAAGGCTTCCGTAAAGATGGCAACCTGAATGAGTCATTGGGAGTGTGATACACCTGTACCGACTTAGAAAGAAACAAAAGTAGGAATTTGTAATGTGTTGCGTGTGCAAGGCTAAGTCCAGTGCTGGCAAAGTGTAAAACGTAAAATCCACTTCTGCCATGACACATTAGAGGTTTTGAGGTCAAAACTTCGTGTACCAGAGACAGATGACGCAAAACAAGACTTCTTTATTTTCTGTTCACGGTAAATGTTCTCTGTATTGTTTCATGGTTTTTGTTCTTGTTTTACGTCATCTGTGTCCGGTACACGAAGTAAACGTCTGTTTCCATTCCATTCGATTTAAAGAGAAAGTCACATTTCCGCATTTTGCAATTAATTAGGGGCCTCTAAAACAGCCAAGAGAACGGGGTTTTAAAAAACAAATTTATTCATGAATAGGTGTGCCTGCGGCCTTACCAATGCGTAAACATGACAAAATGACTTGTCTAGTTATTTTAAAGTTTATTACATAGAAACAGACGGGTACAAAATATTAAGTGAAAAATATTTACAGAGATCAAAGGACGTAAATTTAATACACGTGTAAGCAAAATATCTTCTCATTTAATAAAACACTATTAGTGAATGAAAGAAAGCACTGCTCTCCCTTTGTTTCTCAAACCTTCTTAAGGAAACCGAGGGTTTTATCCTCCTCTCACCTAATCAGCAAAAGCGAGAACATTCATAAGCTACGAAAACGATAAGCTGTTACACTGACAAGGAAACGTCAAGTATCAAAGCGTCAATTCAAAGGAAAAATATTGCGGGCTTTGCCAGTTTCCTGAGACAAAATTCTGCAAAAAAACCGGCTTATTTTCCCCAACGTTTTGTTTTAAGAAACATTTTTACGTCCTTTTTTGCACTTGTGGATCGCTAATCTGCAGAGAGAAGTTAAAGTTGCAGATGAACTGTTGAGGTTCACTGCACAAAAGTGATTCTTGTCCTGTTCGAGTTGATTTGCCACACGTTCAGTTCTTCATACTCAGACATGCACGCTTCAAACTGGTCTGGAGTGAAACCCTTTGTCATACAGCGCTGCTGTGCCTCTTGAAATCTGTAAAAAGAATTGTTCTGAGTTATTTTAATTAATTCGCAGTGTTAGGTGAGACGAATACCGTATGCTCTGAAGAACACATTGCGGGGCTACTTTTGGACTACAATTCGACATCAAATTCAGTCTTTGGTTTAGTAAAACAAAGCGCGCCCTTTCATAGCCCCTCAGCCTTGAAACCAAAACCATTAGCGTCTATCGCTCCTCACCTTATTAAGGCGAAAAAAAAGTACACAGCCAGGTACCTTATAGTCATTTGCCACAGTAACCCGAAACCGCCTGAAATGCGGACAGCGCAACACACTCCGCCCCGCCCCCCCCCGCCCACCCCGTCACTCCAGTGATCAGTGGTAGCCGAGAGAAAATGAGCTTACAAGTACCAATGGTCCATCACCGTCGGAGAATTTGCTTTAGCTACACCACAGTCACTGCTAAAATTAAATGATGTAAATAAAGAATGGGTAAAGAAGATCATCGCAATTGAAGACGCAACTTACGCGCAGGCTTCCCTTGCCTTGTGTCTAAACTGCGATGATCTTCTTTGCGTTTATTCCGTCATCCGCAGCTCAAATATTAGAAATTCACATTACAGAGTGACTTACTTTACATTGCTTGCATCGCCTGCCATTTCCTTTATTATTCCATAAATAGCATCAACTGGGTTTACAGTCCTGAGAGTGAACACAGCTTGGTGAGTAACGACTTAATTTAAACGTTTTGTCTTATTTTACTTCTACTGTAAACTATGCCACTGACAAACTTGATACAGTACGAAGAGACAAAAGACGACAACTTCTCTCACCTTGTTGAAGTTTCATCGTCGACCAAGGAAGCCTTTGACATCTCCATTAATCGCATAGCTTCATTCACGTCTTCCTTCTCTACCACATCAGCTAAACGAAGACGAGCCTGCAAAGTTATTATCCATCACGCCATTTTAGATTGAGAACACATTTTGCGGAACGAAAATGACTTTAATCGACAAACACGTGCATGGAGTGTTAGAAATAACGCCCTGCGCCAGGTTGTTCAAAGCTGGGTTTAGTTAACCCCGGGTTAATGCAAAATTTTAACTCGGATATAAAAGGGCAAAAAGCAAATTCGGTTCAATTCTTCCGCCTACAATTTGATAATTGAACGCTCTAAATATAATAGAGAAAATTATTGGAGAAAATGCTTTTGAAAAAGAAAACACAAAAAGAGACGGATTAAAATTTAACCCCGGCTTCGCACTAACCAGCCTTTGAGCAACTGAGACCCAGGGCTGTATTCGTTGTCCCCCATCCCCTACAAAATGACAGGCTGGCAGTGGTCTAACAACAGCGCTTAAAAAACGACCTTAAAAACATCAACTTGAGGTTTTACTGATGGAGGACTCCATAACACATATTAACATTAAACATGAGGACAAATGAAAACAAAAACAAGTAAATTAGAGCGTGAAAAAACGCCGTTTTTTCATAACGCCATTATCAAGACTACATAAAGTAACAAATTAGAGAATTTCCTTTTCTTCGTATGCTAATTATTTAATTAGTTACTTTATATAGCCTTGATTTTGCATTATGATGATGCCAAAACGTTTCACTGTCACTGTTGACAAATAAGAATGTTCATGTAACTACAACATTCAACTCACCAAAGCAGTTGCAAGCCGTAGCACGGCCAATAAAGTTCTTGCAGACGTAAAAGTTGTGTCTCTGTTAGTCCTGGCTTCTTTTCTCATCTCTACGTATGCACTGACAATGTAGTCTGTAAGTGCCTCTGGAATCACAGGCTGCTTCTCTTTACATGCAGCAATGTAGCGTCTAAAGCAACACAGTCAATAAATGACAATAAGTAATCACTGACACTGCGACAGTGGAAGAAATATAGTGATATGAAGAAATCCCTAAAACCGAAAAACTCATTGGTCACATAATATCGGCAGAATTATCTAACAAAGTCCCAAGAGTGACTAACACCAATTTTCTTTTAACAAATTTATCAATACATACAGGTGTAAGTGAAAAAGCTCAGGTACAAGGAGTTGGAGTTGACGTTGTCGGTGGTACAGATGCACCATGCATGTGGGTCTCTGACTGAGTCTGACTACATATTTGTGACTTAGCCAGATGCATCTCATTTCAAAAAAAAATCAAAATTATTTGTGGCTTCGCTTTCTTGGCTCTTTTGGTTTATAACTGTACCTCATAAGATTCATGTCCAATGCTGTGTACTGTGTTGGAGGATGACAACTGTGTTGATGAACATAGGTGATGTGTTGTGCCAACCTGCAAACAAGCCAAATGAAGAGATCTCAACAAAGAATGACAAAAAACCCTGTCGACCCATTCACCCCTAGAAATTTCGCCCCCCAAAGAACCATTGTAAGCTGATTGAGCCATTTTCCAGTCACCATCTACCCAAAAAGAAACAAACCTGCCTAGAACATTAGGGCCGTTTATACGAGGAAAAATAGGACCCGTCTTACGTAAGACGCGTCCTAAATAAGAGGCAAACTATCCCGTACAAACGACACATTTCGTTTGAAATTTACACAATGTAGCTAAGGTGCGTCTTATCTAAGAACAGCCCCTAACACCTGTTCTTCGATAAGACGCATCTTGGCTAAGTCGCATCTTAATGTGCCGTTTATACAAGATAGTTTGCGTCTTATGTAGGAAATGAAAGACGCGTCTTATCTTTCCTCGTATAAATAGCCCTATTGTTTCCAAGTGAAGAACTACACTGCCTTCTGGTCCTGATGCTGAGTTGCACCTTCCGAAGTTTGTGCAGAAGGGAAGATCTCTCCTTCCCGCACAAGTTTCTATGAACACTAGAACTGATGACCTCACAAGTAGTACAAGGGGTGAGGATCTGCGTGGGCAGTTAAGGTGTGGATGAGGTTAGATTATGCTGAGAGCATGCCCTACGGAATCTAGGCACCTTAAAAATTTTGTGCTTACTACAATGAATGAACGGTCTGAAATACAGGGTTTTCGCCAATCAACCCTCATAAACTGGAAAAAAGCCTTACACCCTGCAGAACAACCAAACATTTCCTCCCCACTAGGTCTTTTTGTGCCAACCAATTAATCTCACCTTAAGTCATTGTCCCTGTCTGGCTTGTCTTGTATCAGCCACAGTATATCAAATCTTGATAGCAAAGCTGCTGGAAGCTGTATGTTCTGTTCAGCTGATTTCTTAGGGTTGTAACGTCCATATGCAGGATTAGCAGCTGCTAAGATGGACACTCTAGCATTCAAGGTCGTCATAATTCCAGCCTGAAGACATCAAGTCGTAAAATGGAATTTAAAGTTTCTGTGGATTGCATAAATCAGCTTTTGTTGGAGGGGGAGACGGGAGGGATGAGTTGCTGGCAAATGGGCCTGGGGGGGGGGGTACTTTAGGAATTTCTGCGTGGGAATGTGCCGCTGGGACCCTGGAACCCTGGAACCCTTAACCTATACTAGAGCTAGTTCAGCTGAATTTTGCTACCCCATACTAGAGTAAACTCCCCAAATCCCCCCTATCCCAGAGTAGCTGTTTTCCAGAAACTACTGAGGTCATTAGCACAGTCTAGCCAAAACAAAACCTTATACCACAATCCCTAGTTGAGATAAAATCTTCAACCAACTGATCAGTCTCCTGAAAAATGATACCCTATTCTAGACCCAAACGCTCTGATTTACATACCCTATCCTAGAGTAAACTGCCTGAAAACCATAACCTTCACAGCGGCACATACCTACATAGCCCATATATGGCAGTACCCCCGGGTAAATGGGCCACCATCACTGCCCCCCTCCCTAGGGAGGGAGGCAGGTAAGATCTTAATAAAGAAAATGATCAGCCTACAGTCTCAGACAAAAATGGTTTTTTGTGCTTTTGGCTGTCTCCTTGTCCTCCTAAATGTTGTTTATCCCAGTTAACTCACCAAATTTTGTACACCAACATTGCAAAAGCAAGAGGATAGAAAAGTGTCCCAACAATTTTGACTGAGACTGTAGATACATATTTTAAAGATTTTTTGGGGGGAGTTTTTTACATAAGGCCAACCTCTTAAACTCCCTTTTCAAAGCATTCTTTGTATATATTTATTTTTGTTTTTAAATGCTTTGAATAAATGTATGCATGTATACATGTACATCTAACCTCTTTAGCACTATGAGAAATGAGGATATTGTGTGAAAACGTGAGTGATCCAAATAAAACCATTATGAGGGTAAACCGTAGTTCTGCTGCTTCAAAACTTGTTGTGGCCTTACCTTGGCAATGGACACAGTCTGTTGTTCCATAACTTCATGAATTGAAGTTCTGTCACTGTCCATCATCTTGTCAAACTCGTCAATACAACAAACTCCTTTGTCAGCCAGCACAAGGGCACCACCCTCTGAAAGGACAATGAAAGGTAATACAGAATAAATACTCAGATTCATGATGAATACAGAAGTCATCGAAAAAACAACACTTTAGAAAACCAGTAACCTTCACTGTAAATGCCACAAATTAATACTTTACCTAGGATCATTTCACCCGTGAGAGGATCTTTCATAACTGCTGCTGTTAGACCAACACCCGAACTTCCTCTTCCTGTGGTATACTGACCTATGTGGCAAAGAAGAGAAAAATTAACTTCCCTATTTAAGCATATAATATTATAAGTGCAACTCAGGTGCACAGGGCTGTCATTAACATTTCAAGTTGCTGGGACAAACAATAGTCAGGCAATTAAACAACCAGGAGGTTGTTATGGTTCTAGTTCACTTCCAACGAGAGTAATTCAGGGTAATGCTTATAGTAACAAGGGGAAATTGCCAGCCCTGGGTACATCATCAAGCTCTTAAAATCCCCCAACCCAGGGAACACTCTTTAAACAGGGACATGCTGCTGAACAATGGATCAGAGGGTCTTCACTCCAAGGGTAATTAGTGTTATGGAGACATGACCAGCTGGACTTCTAACTTCTAAGGCCATGATCAAAATGGGAAGGTGTGACTAATTGAGTGAATCCTCTCGACCCTTTACATGTAAAAAGTCCCAAGAGTGACCAGCATCAATTTTCTCCTCACAATATCCATACATTATCAAAAGAAATGGTTACAAGATTTAATAAAATGATCACCTCTGGGAAAATGCTTTGATCTTCTATCAAATTCTCCCAACTAATTCTTTAAGGAAATGTATGGAGGTCAGTTTGGAGACTTTGTAAGTGGATATTGGGGGTAAAGGGTTAAGCAGTATGCAGTATGTTTGAGTGTCGTCTAAATTTTCCCAGTGATTTTCAAGACATGTAAAAGAGTTGAAGAATTTGTCCAAGCTTTATTTTGCACAGATCTGTCTTTGTCAGTAACATAACAAAGTTATTTTGGAACCAGAACTGAGGCCAAACAATATTACAATAAGAAGCCTACATGTTCTATAATAATAAATATATGACTTACTTCGAGGTGCAAGTCTGTCAATGTAGCCAAGCATTTGACTTTTTGCAACACCAGGGTCACCCATCAATAAAATATTGATATTTCCTGAAGTTAAAAACAAAAACAAGCAATTAAAACATATTGTACAAATTATAGGCAAATCCTATATTTGATCTTGTAATAAATAACTTATTATTGAAGATGTAAAATAATTACCTCTAATTTTCATTCCCTGCGGGGTGCAGTCCACACCACCCACTAAAAGCAGCAACAGTGCTTTCTTGATGTCTTCATGGCCATAGATTTCAGGAGCAAGTGAAGATGATAGTTTGTCATAGAAGTCTGGTTCTGTAATTTAATACATAATTACCACAAAGGTGAGGTCTATACAAATCTAAAATAGGTAACTGGCAAAGAAGTTAAACAGACTTGTACTTTGTCATTATAACAGTTTAAAAAGTTTTGGTAACAATTGTAATATTAATGCATTTTTAACAATAGTGCGACTTTTAGTATTTGGCATATTTAAATATCTCAAAAGAGAGAAAAGTTTAGAAAAGACCAACAAATAGGGAGTTCACATTATTTGGAAGAGAAAAAACTAATGACCGGTCTCTAGCTGACTACCCATTAGTATCTTGCTGTCATTCACTCCAAAAAATAAAACTAACTAACAAAGGATTTATGAGGACAAACCCTCAGACAGAGCTCTAATTTCCTCATCAGTAAGTTCTTCATCTCCCATCTCATCATCCTCTGTTTTGTTCATTTCTACTATTCTCTACAGGAAAAAAAGCAAGCAAACAATCACGAACAGTCAAAAACACTATCAATAAATCTCATTCACTTATACAATGTACATAATTATACTACACTTGAATATTCAGAGCTCGAAAGAAGGTTTTCAGTAGGCAGCTGCATTGAGAATACAAAATAAAGACATTCTTCTTTTGCTTAATATCATATTTTCACTTCTTTAGTAATACTGAGCTGAGTTTTTAAAGACTTAAGCACTGATAGCTTGTATACATGGGGGAAAAAGCGAATACTAAATGCTCCTAAGTGAGTGAGTAAACCATTAAACAATGTGGTCTTAAATGGAGACCAAATTTGTACAAATGATTGCATACTTTTATGGGTGTACAGGCTTCCAATTTCGTCTTAATCAATGTCTATAATCCTTGACAACTTTCAGACAGACAGACAACTCTCTCTAAAACAAACACCTTTGGGATTGGCATTTAGTGTCCGTCAAAGAGTGATACATGTTGTCCCTCATAATATAGACAGAGTCAAACAAAGGGAGTGAAGAAAGGCAGGAACCAAATCTACGTGTCTGTTTTTAATTACCAAGGAGTTCGTCTACATTGTAATAGAGGTGTCCATTAAAAGAGAGTTAACTCTATTTATTAATTTTCGTTTAAGAGAGTCTCTCATAGGGATTTTGTAACTTGCTTACATGGGCCTCCAAGAATGTCTCTGACAATAATCCCTGAGTAAGTTGCCTGAATCCAGTTTTCATCATTGGCAGGAACACACCTGTGACCGCCACATGATCACCTGGAACCGCCAGTCTTGTGGTTTCACCTTTAGCAATCACTGTCATTGACCGGGGAATATTTCCTACAGGCACTTGATCACTGTGTTCTTGTATTTTTAGTTCCTGGAATTTAATGAACTTGGAACCTCTGGTTTGAAGATATAGACGACCACCAGCCCTGGATAATGAATTGAAGGCCAACATTGTTAGTATAAAAATCAACTGGTTAAGCTTTTTTGCAGGGTGCAATAACTTATAACTCAGTGCTAACAAAGTTAACCCTTTGTTATAGCCCTGAGAGTGATTAGCATCAAATATCTCTTTGTAATACAACCCTCCAAGTTGCAACCATTTTGGTTGCCATGGCACCTAAAATTTTGGAGCTGGCGACTTGATTTGTAAAAAAGTCTCCCTAAACCAAAAGATTTGGTTGCCAAATGGCGACCAAGCGAAAACTTTAACTTTTGTAATATCAATGCTTGTAAAATGGAGTGATAGGATATTTAAGGCCCTCACAAGATGAATATTTTATTAACTTCTCCTCACTTCTTCAACAGGACATGAATGGGGCAAACACATGAGAATCTACATTTTGATCGTATGCCTTTAGGTATTAAATATGACTTACTTGTTTACTTTGCACTCTTCACTTGGGCACATTAATAGCGGCATAAAAGTCTGTGAGGTAATCTAAAATTGATGGACAAACTTTAATACTAGTGAACATGAAGTCACTTCAGCATGGATAAGTTACAGGAAATTTTTTAAGCCAGGTTGATTCTCTAATGTTTGGCGTACAAACTGCTGGCAGCCAAAATTCACACATTTTGGTGCGAACAAAATGTTTTCATTGGGCAATTCCAGAAAATATCCATACCCAACCACGGACGGCTTCCATGTTTTAACCCCTCCTTGCCTTCGGGAATTCCAAAATGCGCTACCCCCCCATGCCCTCAGAATTCCATAGTCGTGAACCCCCCCTCCCCTTCAGAATTTCCGATTTTTTTGGAAGTACATTTTCGACTTAGCAACGCCTATAAGAACAAACGAACATGAATTTATGCCTCCTCAAGGCTGTGATCTAGCGGCGCCAGGTGACAAGCTTTACTCTTCAGTGACAAGAAAAACCTACGCTAGTTGCCAGGCTGTGCAAACTCCTTTTTAAGTCTGAATTTGGCTATAAAAATAAACACCACTTAAGGTAATTTTACTCCTCTTTGTTTTCTTGTGCTGTTTTGACATTTACAAAGGAAAATAGCTCAAACAGACTGTTAAAATCTTTTGGCTGTCAAATATACTGTCGAGTCGTGTTGCGTCCTTTTATACGTCATGTAATGTGCACGACAAGCGTTCTAATCTGACAGGCGTTCCTTGGAAGTGAGGGACTGGTGCGAGTTTTTTACTGTTTATCGGACGGTTTCGGACGGGAGTAACAAGAAATTTGCAAGCGGTATTAAAAGATACATTTTCAGTTTTTATTCACGTGACAAGAAATTCATCAAGGTAAATGTGAAACCAACGTTTTACTGTTCACTTCTATAAGTTATGAGCGTAAACACGTGTCTGATCTATTGATGCTTGTCTTCTGCTTCCGCGGTCATACGTTCGTGGTTTATTTACGAACTACAAAAGTCCACAACAATAGCGTTTTCCAGGAACTTACTCTACACTTTCTACTCCAGAAATCCCACCTGTGGAATTCCCCCAAACCTTCGGATTTCAAATCGTAAATACCCCGCCATGCCTTCAGAATTCCATAATCGTGAATCCCCCCTCCCCTTCGGAAATCCTTAAAGCCGTCCGTGGTATGGTATGGATATTTTCTGGAATCGCCCATTGAACAAACACAATGTATGTGCTGACAAAAAATTCTCAACAGTCTCCCTTCTCAATAAAAGTAAGAGACAAAGTTGTGTACGTACCGGCTGATAGGACTCGGCACCACACACATCACAAGTGTATGTGGCAACTTCCACAACTGGTTTAACCTCTGTGCATCTTGTAACAATTCCCCTCACAACAGCAAGTTTACCAATACTATCAGCTTTCACTTCACGGACTGCACTAGCTCTATGGTTGCTAAGATGTTTGAAGTACACCTCACTGAAAATGAATGTACAAATTTGCGTCTCCTTCTAAAAATGTTTTGGGTGCGGAATTACAATAATGGAAGTGGATGACAGTTTATCCAATCCATGCAATATTTTGCATTCTGTAGCATGTGATGGTTAAACTTGAGATTTTTAGTGACAATTCTATTTGCTTAGTTTATGCACTTTTTTTCTCAATAAAAAAGGAAAAAATTACACCACGTGGCCCTTAATGAATAAAATAGTTTCTGACCTTACTCGATTTCAGAGCTTGCAAAATGTGACCTTCTTTGGGAAAACGTACACTAACGATATTTAGTTATCGTTAGAAAACTAACGGATAGCTAATGGATAGCTAACGGCTTTTCTAACGTTCTAACGGTTTGTCCAAACGTTCTAACGGTTTGTTCTGACGTTCTAACGATTTGTCCAAACGCTCTAACGATTTGTTCTAACGCTCTAACGGTTCGTTCTAACGCTCTAACGATTTGTTCTAACGCTCTAACAGTTGAATTGGTGGAAGTAATCGAGCGCTATTCCCTATTAAGCAATCTGTTAACGGCTGGTTAGTTCATCTTGTTGTTATCAATGTATTGAGCGAAAGTTTTAAGTACAGCTGTCGATCGATAAACGGCTGAAAATTGAAAGCATCAAAATCACTAGTGATGTGATCAACGAGTAAAATAATAATGGAAATCGACTTGCTCTCGAAACGACTGCGCTTCAAAACAGGCCGTCCAATTTCTCCTGGAATGAAACTTCTACTGCATCGTATTGACAAGAACTACTGTTTGCAAACACGTATCTTGACTTGGGACTGTAATGTTTCCAAAAACTATATCAAGCAAGCCCCTCGATGTCTGATGAAAGTTTTTCAACAAGATGCCAGACGGTTTCAGAAACAACTTTATGCAAATTTCGGTTGAAATTTGACTCCCGGAATTTGAATACGCAGTGAAGCGTTGTGTGACGGACAACACATGAATAAAAGGTGTATTGAATGATTGTAGACTTTTTTAATTACTAGACTTTTATACCGAAGGTTTTCCTGCAACCATTCAATTCATTCGAGATCAATTAGCGGAAGTCTGCAGAGAAGCGGATTTCAAGACGTGTGCTTGTTTGTTTACTTCTTATCGTCGGTATCTTTTGCCTACAGCCGACGACCAAGCATTTTGATATTAATTTTTCGCTTCAAAAGCGTAGAACGGGTAGGGAATTGTGTCGCTCGCTCAATGGACGTTGGGAAACGGGTTTGGCAAGAATCACTAGTTTCAGGTGCCCGGCGCGGGCTCCTTGTTTATAATTTCGTCGCCCACGGGCGAATAAAATTAATCGTAGAAACCTCTGACGACAGGGCGCCCATAAGGCAGCGGCCTTGATCAGCAAAGCAATAGAATCGTCCAGTTAACGCTTTAGTTTCCTGACTAACGCCTAACGGATACAACTAACGCCTAACGGATATACATGAGTTGCTAACGAATTGACTAACACCTCTAACGGATACAACTAACGCTCTAACGGCTACGGATGAGTTGCTAACGAATTGCCTAACGCCTCTAACGATTTTCATTGAATCATCTAACGGATGACTAACGGACAGCTAACGGTCTAACCGTTTAACGAAATATCGTTAGTGTACGTTTTCCCAAAGAAGGTCACAAATATTAAAAGAAAGGATGGCCAATAACCTGTCTTAAAAATTATCAAGGCTTCTTTGCATTTCTTTGTATTCATGGTACACTAAACAGAGCAAAATCAAAGATTCCACTTGGACCTTTCACCTGCCCTGTGATATCTCTGCTGCTCAAAAAGGTGCCTTGTAGTGACAGCACAGAGGATAAAAACTCAGTGGGATCCACAGGTGTACATCATAACATTTTGGGAACTGCTTTGAGTTACATCACCTCCATTACCATCATCTAAACCTACATGAACATTATGAAGAAACTAATTAAGTGTGGAGAATACGCACTTTGATACTCGTGAATTTAAAACAGATGGCACATTATTACCTGGGTGCAGCTTCCTTTTTAAAAACCTCATCAATGACAACTGGTTATAAGTGATAACACATGCAATCACACAGCTTTACTTACTATCGCCGAAGAAGTTCTGGTGGATACTTGTTTCTAGGGTCTCTTGTTTCTGTATCATTTCTGTTTCGTTGCTCCAACAAGAGGCGATGCTCAATGTAAACATCTAAGGCATCCTTCACTTGAACCTTTTGAGGAACAACACAAATCAACATTCAACATGTACTTGTTAAAAGCTGGAGAGCTATTCATCAGTCTAGCAAGCTCTTCTACTGAACTGCACCTTACAAATTACCCATTTCTTTCTTTTCCAGTACAATTTGAGCTGATTGTTACACAAGTACCTCAATTGATGCCAGGCGTCTCTCAGCTGAATCCTTGATGGCCAATTAACAAAAGCAGCCATAAACTTAGTAGTTATGATAGTAACCCTTACTTTGTGCTTTTCACATAAAATTGAGATAATAAATTTCAAGTAAACATAAACTACTGGTATACTATACATGGCTCATACCTCTCTTTCTTTATAATCTGGTAACATTTCAAAAATGGCATCCTCAAACAGCTGCTTGTAGCGTCGCGCATTTTGTTCAATGTTTTCTGCCAACTCAGGGTCAACCTGGTCAAAAATAAGACAAAAACAAGAAACTGAAGTTTGATCATATTATCACAAGAATCTACACTTATGATAATATTAACGCACACTCCCATAAGCAGACAACTCTACTTACAGCCTCCTTCACAAAACCCCATTCCAACTCCCATACAAACTCTGTATTTTCACATTCCTATAAGCTGACACTTCCATAAGTGGCTGTGGATACTTTCAGGGTTTATGAGTCATGGACACCTTTTCCACACCCAATGATGTCCACTTTCTAGAGCTTCCACTGTATCACGGTTTTAAAAAGTGCCAGAGCAAATTTGATTGTTTAGTATTTGAAATGCTCTTCATCAAGAAGCTTAAGCCCAATTTAAATATTCAGACGGACTCCATACGTGCGAAACTCTTTGTTTAATATTTTCTCACGTTACAATTTTTTAATCAGCTATTGTTGTTTTTTTTTAGTATTTATAGACCAAAAATCACTAACTTGTTTTGACTTGATAATGACGTTCAGCTACCGTCGAAACGTCGTCGCTTTTTAGCAATTTTTTAATCTTAAAATGATTTTAAGAAATGTTTTATCGCAATTTTTTATAGTTAAATGCTTTTCAAAATCACTTCTTGTTCCACTGTATTACTATGTTTTTGGAGGCTCATTTCACCACCCATCATTTTTCAAGCACAAAGGCAAAAGCATTTTAATTGGCCAGACATGACCAAGGCTGCCACTTTTGAGGAAGGCACAGTAGGCTCCAGTTTTATTATAGGGCTGACTTCCACATGATGAGCCTCTGTATGGGTATTTCTAAGGAAATCTAAGTCGAGATGATCACCATTGATGAAGTGATGATCTTCAAGATTAAAGCAACAATTATATTACCATTTCAATCAAGTTTGACATGGTTAGTCATGATCATGCAATGATGGTAAAGAAACCTGCCAAAAAGTGTGCTGTGTGCACGTTCAGGGTTTTTTGTTTTCATTTCTATTGCCGTTGTGGTTGTGCTGAGCTCACAAGAAGCACTACCATGCAAAACAGTTCTTAATATGCAATGATTTTGCCAGAAAAACTGATGATTTGATGGAAAACGTCTGACAAAATCGACATCCAGAGATACAGATACACGAGGCTCACATGATTAATGTGAAGGGTGAGGTTGCTCCAATTGCTGGACTTTCATCAGTGATGGCACAGATCAAGTGGAAACCAGCCTTGAATTTACATATCAGCAAAATGTCCATCCCTACTAAGGGGCCATCAACATTTCACTTTTTCCAACTGGACTTTTAGGTCAGAACTCCCTCCATCCTCCTCAATGTCCACTTGAAATTTTGCTTCCCCAACAGTCACTACATTCAAGAAGGAATTGCTGGTTTTCAGTGTCACGCCATTCAAAATAAATCGAAATAAAAATCAAAACCGTTCAACAGATAAAGTCCAGAATCTGGGAAATGAAAGGAGGTATATATACAAAGACCCTCGCCAAGATTCAGGTCAGAGGAATATTTCGTATACGAGATATCCGAAGAAACGTTTTACTCAAATTTATAGAGATTTGTATGGAGACGCCATGCTGGAGCTCACCTGGATGAGCTCCAACATGGCGGACGGAAACCAACAGAAACATCTGTTACCGAGTTTTGCTACAAAAGCATGAATTTATTCTTCGAGAAACTCATAAACATTAAAGTAATATTTTTTCTAATACATGAACTGTTTAGATAGCAAAATTTCCTGAAATAAGTCATTTTTTCAACCTACATGACAGCCCTCTTGGCCGTCATGTAAATGGCGCGTCACGCAAAAGCTTAGAAATTCAAGCGCACTCTGTCACAAAACCAAGAACCCTTTTGAAGCAAGAATTTGTATGAAAATTAGTTTTCAGCTGCTCTGATGCATCGTGAAAGTAAAATCCCGGTAGGATCGATAGTTTTTTAGTTTGGTTTTTATTGACATCGTGTGAAAACAAGCAATGCTGACAAAAAGAAGGCTGACGTTGAAAGAATGTATTGAAAAAAGACACCCCTTGTGTTCAGAAATGAATCTACAATATCAGCAAACTAACCATAATTTTGGGTGTTGTAAAAATTCATTGGTGATTTAGGAAATATATAGAGTTCAAAAGATCACAAAGTAAAATGTACAATTTGCTATAGTAGTTAAGAGAGGAGTTTAAAACAATTTACACTCACTTCTTTAATTGGTCTTGCTTTCTCTTAAATAATGTCACATGTGCCGTTTACACACAAGACACAAAATTTATCAACGTGCATCAGTTCGCAATTTCCCGCACTAACGTCCACTGTCTTACCGCTCACCGTCCCCCTTCCACCCGCCCCCACCCCCGCTAAGTTGATACCGGCGCAACAAATTGTAAATTGCGTTAATATTAAGGTTGATGATGTTTGCATGAAAACCTGTTCTTTACCTCCGCGATATCATCAAGTTCTAGCAACAGCTCAACTTGCTCGCGATGGGCGATTTTGACCTACAAGAATGAACAAATATGCTTAGTAATAAACTGTTAAGATCAACAACACATGCAAATCCTTCGAGTTGATGCCTCGTGAGTGAACTTAAAAAGACATTTTTGCACGCAAAGGAAAAGAGGGCAACATAATTTGAAGAATTACAACTAAAACCACTCACAAATTTGCAACTCACCAACTGCTCTCCATATTTGAAGATTTTTCCTTCGTCGCCATCGACGTAAAATTCGGCGAGAAACCGCTTGGCTTTGTCTGTAGAAGATCACCGCATTTAGAGGGAATAAATTTGGAAAATGGCATCTTTACTTGCTACACCTGTACTTTAAACAATATTTCAAAATTGAAACGCATACAAACCTTTTTCGGCTTGATAATCAGGCATGTTTTGCGAAGATTTCTACTAAGCTTGCATCAAACAGCCAGTGAAGCTTCTTGAAATAGTATCATGTGACAAATTTGGCGGGAAAAAAAAGTACTACCGTGTTGCATTGTGGGTATATTGGAATTACATCATACAGTCAGCTCCGTTTATGGTTATAGCGGTTAGCGGTTAGTGTCCTCACTAGCGAGTGCCCGTAATTTGCGGGAATTATATTTCAGTCAAAGACCTGTAATTTAGTTTTTGCCCGGGATTTAGCTGCTGTCCGTTATAGCGAGGTGTCTGCAAGGCAAGAGTTGACTGTATATACCCCCATCGAAATTGGCACGTGGAAGGTAAGATTTCTTTATACTTCTTTACAACTTTAGAGAATCATTTAATGTTCAAATTATCTAGTGAGGAGGTTTTGGGAAAGCAATGTGATCCTCCACATGATTTTGATGCCAAAGGTGAAAGCACACTCACGACAGTACAGGCGAACGATCGGTAGAAGTGCTTCTTAAAACACAGAATTGTGCCGTTTTTGATCCCAAATGTTAAGTGAATCAAGATCACTATCGTATGTTTTTAGTGTCGTGTTCTGCGTTTTCAGTCGCTTGAACTGACACCCCCGACTAATACATAAACATAGGCGTGAAGGCGTGAACTATTTTGAATGCTTCAGTGTAACCAAGAGATGATAAATCTACCTTTTCTATCCAAAATACATTGTATAGACCGTTTTTTTTGGTGCGAAATTGGGTATTGCTGCACATGAATGAGAACGCGAAACGCTCAGCTGAGTCGTTCCTTATTCTATATATTCACTTTCCTTTGCCTTTCCCTGATATATCTAGTGCAAGTTAAACAAATTGTTAAAGTTACACAATAACTATCAACTCACCAAACGTTGATTAGAAGGAAAACTCGAAGGTTTCTTCGGAGATTCTTAAGATGTGGCTATGTATAATCGAATACCGAATAATTAAGAAATATCAAGATTTTTATCAGTGTAGTAGAGGTGACAAGGGCTAATTGTCATTAATTGGAATTTGATACGACCGTTATGATGCCTGGGGGGGCACTTGGGTATTTCTTGGGTGGGTATGTGCCGCCCGGGGCTCCAATTTGGCACCCCGTTCTAAAAAGAATTTCCCCTAAAATTGATACCCCGTTCTAGAAATGGGCCAATTTTTTATACTCCGTTCTAGAAAGTTTGTAAATTGAAATAGCCCTGTTTTTTTAAAAAGATATTTCTTTATTTGTTTGACTTATACATCAAATAAATGCTTCTTCTTAATCATCCGAAGTACATTTCCTGTGCATGTGGATACATTGTGGTTAATTATGACACAAAATCTCTCACCAAGCACAGAACTACGCTCGTAAGCTAACGATTTTCCTTCTCCTCCCCCGTCCCTTTCTTTTGAGCCCGTCTCCATCTCCCTCAGGTACATTATGGACTCGTTCTAGACTTCCACGTGCCTATTTATCCAAGATGGCAGAGTCAGCGCTCGCAGCTCGAGCCAATATACGCCCGTCCTGCGCGCTAAAACACAGGGTGCAACAAAAGTACAACAGTTTGCTTGTTAATGCATTGAACCATATTTTTAAAAGCAATCTGTCCTTGAATAATTTCAAATGGCTGCTTACAAAACTGAAGCTTTCGTGCGTTCGAAATATTATACCCCATTCTAGTAAACGCCTCTGAAATGGATAACCCATTCTAAATCAGGAGCTTCAAAATCACGACCCCGTTGGGTGGCACATACCCCTATAGGTAATGAATGGGAGTACCCCCCACCGGGTTATGATCAACCACTTTGGTCCACATCCAGCGTTATTGGTGTAGCCAGGGGAGGGTTCCAGGGGTTCCGGACCCCCCTTTGAGCTATTGCACTGGTTATAATTTCAAGAAGAATGAGACTTTTGCTGTTAAAGGAACTGAAAAGAACACAATCAATTGAAACAGCGTCACATTCTATTTTGAGGGTTACAAATGAATATTATGAGGAAGATCACCCAAGGCCCCTGTGTATATGTTGTGGTTCAATTTTATCTTTGGTTTAAATTTTATTTCCCTCGTTTTGGGGTATGGCAATGTATATTATGAGTTTAAAACAAAGGGAAATAAAATTTAAACCAAGGATAAAATTGAACTAGAACATATACAACCTGCAATGTGGGATTCAGTGCCCTTGTTAGTCTTGATAGCTTTAAAATGCTTGTTGTAATGGTTTGACTATGAGAGAGTTTAATACAAACTCAGTAGAGGCAGAAGACAGTATTAATGGTCATGAAAGTCAGAGGATATAATGAAACTAGCGTTGATGTTTGCAAATCAGTGTGAGGAAATTGTCTGAAACTAGGACACTAATAGTAACAGCACGGCAAACTGCCTAAAACATGCAGTATTCAAAATGCTAGCTTCATTTGTCACTGAAATTATGGGAAGTTTGTGCTCAGAATCACAAAACAGAATTTCTGAGGACCTTAAATATTAAAATTTTCCGTTGGAGAATGCCTTATACCCCATGCCCTCCGAAGCTCGATTGTCAATCTAGACAAAAATACCACATTTGGAACCCCTCTATCACGCAAAAATGCTGGCAACGCCCCTGAGCATGCAAAGAAAGTAGTGTCCAATAGCCCGGGGCTTGTGGATTTTGCTATCAGGCTAGTGAATTTTGTTCTTAACTTGCCCAATGGGCAAGTGAAGTTTTTTGAGGAAATCAAATTACAGAAGAACCGCAAAATCAATTCTGCTCATGAAATGTTTTTGGGGCTAGTTGAAATGACATTTGGGCTGGTATATGCTAGCTTCATTTCAGCTTGCCCGAATAGCAAGCTTTGAAAATGACTTTCTTTGCACCCTGACATCCCATGATGATGGCAATTTTGGGACGCATGTGAAAATGTGCAGGTTTAGGTCATTAGAGGCAAGCAATTTTGACCATTTGTGGCATCAACCTTCGCAAACTATCTGGCTTTCATTTTCTGGAGGCTGGGTGGTGTGGGACGCATGGAAGTGAGAGAAAATGGGGGAAAATTTAGAAGGCATTGTGCTGCAGCCGGCCGCCAAATTTGCAAGCCTTGCCGTTTTATTGTGTATTAGTCAGGGGTGTCAGTTTCAGGCAACTGAAAACACCACAAAATCACAGAACATAAAGTAATCTTTATTCATTTTTCTTACATTATATCACCATTTGAGATCAAAAGGTGCAAAATTCTGTGTTTTATGAAGCATTTCTACCGATCACTTGAATCAAGCCGGGTGGGGGCATTACGAAATACGTACAGTAAATATATGGGATCACATGTCGCGCGTGACATAATAATCCCTCGAACAGTTTGGATGGTCCACCTGTGGTTATAGCAAAATACTTTAGCATGATTTGTAGAAATACTTGGCATAAATTCCACAAGTGATATTTCAAAATTCACTAACCATTGACCAAGTGAAATTTGAGACAATTTTGAAATAATTATGTGTGGTACGCCAAAAATCACTTACAACTCATGCTATTATTTGTGTATACTACTACCCACAACAAGTTTGTAATTTTTACATTTTGCCTTAGGTATTTTTGAATTAAACTGAAATACCACTGCTCTATACTGAGGGTAGGTAAGTTATTTTTCTTGGGGGTGGGGGAAGGGCTGGGGTCCAAGAGGGGGGTCATCAGTGAAAGTGAGCACCACGTACCTCTTTGTGAGCTATTCAAGGGGAGAATCACACAACTTTTCCAGAATTTTTTTAACAAGGATTTTTTTGATGTCACTTTCCATTTTTCTTTTGACCCTCTTTGATTTAATTTGGTGATTATTTATTATTATAGGTACTTTCATACTCAAACTTCTGCTATAAAACGTAAATATCCCATGCAGATTGTTTGCATTTTATTGTTTTGACAGAGCGCGAGGTATATTCATATTCAAACATTCTGCATTCCCAAGTGAAATAGTCTGGGTTTTTATGGCATGGAACATACACTGTATGTAGCAGTGAGGTGAGGGTTGCACTTTTGTCAGTCACCTAAAGCTGGGGGGTGGGGGGGGGGGGTCAGGAATTTTGTAAAATAAACTCATGGGAGGGCCAACACTTTTTGTTGGAAAAAAAATACCAAAATCCCCCAGTCCTTCTCCCGCCCCCCCAAGAAAAAACATACCTTCCCTAAGCCAATCAAATTGCAGAAATTTCTGTTGTAGTAGTATAAAAAATGTTACAGTGTGACTATTGTAGCAGGGGCCACTTAGAATAAGGTTGACCAATCGGATTACAGGGAAATAACAATACATTCAAAGAGAGTTAGTTGTCGGCCAAACAGCAGCTCATAAAAGAACAAAAAGTACCTCGAAGCCCAAAATATAATATTGATACCAAACGTTTTTCCGGAAAGCAAAATGTTTAACCAGACAATGTTTTTCCATTCGAAACTTTGCATGCAACACGGTACACCCAGGAGACAATTATTTCTTTGACACAAGCTGTTATTTTGTTTTCTACCAGCAATTTGCTCCTATTGCCACAATTTGCAATAACCTGTGACTGCAGTCAAAAATATATCTACGGTTTATGTTTTTCACCTCCATCACTCACTCTAATGGACCTCTCCAGAAACACATGCTTTCTTCAGCAGGTTCAAAAGTTCATGTCTGTAGGTTGTAATATTTTTGGTTGATTTCGATCCATGTTGTTCGTTTCTTTTCATGATAATTATGATTGACAACCAACTTTCTGAGGATGTATTGTATGATAGTGTTGCAGGAACACACGGTGTAGACAACAATGAGACATGAATACTGAGAGGTATTTATTGACTCTACAATGTAGCCATACAGAATGAAGGTTACAAACATAACCAGACAGTTTTGCAACATTTGCTCATAACAATGACAATCCCTGGGAGCTCTGGCACATCGTGTTCCATTAACTGCGGTTTACTGTTTCACTGTAAATCTTTATTTATCAGTTGAAAGGATTTCTTCACATCTACAGGATTTCACATCACCCATCAGTCTGATTGCTTTCTGTAACATTGTGGCTTTGTACAGCAACAAAAGGGTTCTTGCAAACATAAACAAACGATAATTTTAATCCATGAGTCGGTTCATTGAAGACTCCTGTACAAGATCGTGAGCACATGTAAAATCTGGCATCCTATTAGATAACAACTGTCACGTGACATTACACTTTCATCACTTACACCGCTTATTTTGTCATCTACTCTCCATTTCTTCGCTACCATTGCCGTGCTTTGCAATACCGTGCAATCTGAAGTAGCTGTAATAATGATCCTAGACGTTGATAGGAATAGGACTGTTATCTTACTTTTATTAGATCTATCGGTCGCTTTCGATACGGTTGATCACACTATACTGATTGAGAGATTAGCAAACCGCTTCGGTCTTGGCGATCTAGCTCTGGCCTGGTTTAAATCTTACCAAAGTGACAGAACTCATTTTGTGAGCATTCGTGGTGCGCGGTCTGTCGCGCGTTCGCTGTCGTGCGGAGTACCACAGGGCTCCGTGCTTGGAGCGATTTTATATCTGCTCTATACCTCCCCATTGGGGGATATTGTCAGACAATACAACATGGGCTATCATTTCTAAGCTGATGATACTCAGTTGTATCTGTCTTTCAATTCTCTTAGTGGGGATGATCAAGCTTATTCTGTCTCTCAGGTTGAATCTTGTGTTAGAGGTATCGACCGTTGGATGTCTTGTAACAAACTTAAGTTGAATAGGGACAAGACAGAACTGCTCATTATCAGTTCAAAATTTCGGCCACGCCCATCTTTAGATAGTATCCTGGTTGGTGATCATCGTGTAGAGTGGTCTGAAAAATCTAGGAACATAGGAGTTGTTTTTGATGAGACCTTGTCACTGGATAAGCATGTGAGTTCCGTTTGTAAATCTGCTTTATTTCATCTTCGTAATATCGTAGAGATTAGAATGTATCTGACTTCTGAGAGCACAAAGACCCTCGTCCATGCTTATGTTACTTGTCGACTGGACAATTGTAACTCATTGCTCCTCGGGTCACCGGAGTATATTATTCAGAAGCTCCAGCGCTTTCAAAACTGCGCTGCACGCCTTGTAGCTGGGCAACCTAGGGCTGCGCACATTCGCCCCGTCCTTAAGGAGCTACACTGGTTACCTGTGGAGCAGCGAATTACCTTTAAAGTATTACTGTTAACTTTTAAAGCTCTCAATAATCTGGCGCCTCCGTATTTAAGTCAACTTATAGTCCCATATAACCCTACAAGAAATCTTAGGTCAGCTAGCAAACATTTATTAGAAGTACCGAATGTGCGCCTGAAGAGCTATGGGGACAGGGCCTTTTCGGTCGCTGCCCCAAAGCACTGGAATGATATTCCCTTAGACATTAAATTAAGTGGATCAGTTGATGTTTTTAAATCTACATTGAAAACTTATCTTTTTAGACTCGCTTTCAATTGACTTTTTGTTTTAGTGCTATTGTTAGTTAGTTATTTTCTTTTTTGATTGTAAAGCGATATAGAGCTTTTGTATATACCGCTATACAAATAAAGTTATTATTATTATTACGTTTTACCCCTCCATCTGGGACCACGACTGTCCATTTGGGAAGGGCATGAAAAAAAAAAGAGAGAGAAAAAAACACTTTTATTTTCTTGCACATAAAGATCTATTTTCAACATGATTCCAATATTTTTTGATATTTGATTTGTAATCTAATTGATGTGAGGTTTCTAATGTATATGTAAGGTTTTCATCTGACAGTTATTGTACCCAAAAACTTGCATTCATTAACTCTGCTAACAATGCTTTCATCTATCTTAAGATATCTATGGTCTTGTTTTTAATTTTTTTTTTCTGTTTGAGAATAACAATATAATTTGTTTTAGAAATATTCAAGTGAGCAAGCTCTGCTTTCAACCATAATGAAAGCTTTGTTAATTCATTATTAGTTATTGTGAGCAACTGATTTGGACTTGTATTTTTATAGAATATGTTTGTGTCATCAGCAAATAATGTGAAAGAGAACATTATGGTTGAAGCAGTTATATTAGTTAGAAAAGTGGACCAAGGACAGACCCCTGTGGGACCCTACATGTTAATTATGTTCATCAATTTTCAGTCTATCACATTGTATTGTACGTATTGTTTCCTGTTGGATATAATTCGTAAACCATAATGGTGGTATTCCTCATATATTTCTTACAGTAGCTTCTTAGAGATTACCAAATATTTACAGCTACAAACATCTGACTTAAGCTTTGGTTGATTTTTGCTTCATCAGAAGTCTGGCCAGCAGAATGATGTCTACACTCTTTGAGGTTACTTTTTCTGTCCGAGACAGTTCAGGCAAGACAGGAGATGTACTTCTTTCTGAGATTACGAACAAATTCGCCAAAATGTGTGCCAGAGAAGGCTGGATCTTAGATGGCATAGGAATAAAAAAGGCTGCAGTAGAGAACACAGAGAAAACTTTGGATTTAACCCAGTCAAGTTCCTCATCGTGCAAGAGGAAACCACTTACCAATCAATCCATTACTGTCAAAAAATCAGTAGCCCTATTGAAAAAGGCAGGCCCTATGTCACTCCTCCCTGCAGTTCGTCAGCCAAGCACGAACTATTGTAAAAAGTCGGTACAGCGTCCGCATATCCCCTACATTTATACGGAACCGGAAAATTGTGAGCCGCCCTCATCAATAAGTAAAATTTCAGAGAAACTGAAAAATTGTGAAGATAGGTTAAGGGCAATTGAAGAAATGCTGGTATGCAGTTTCTGTAGGGAAGTCGTAAAAAGGCCACATACTCTGGTTTGTGGCCATTCCTTTTGCACACTCTGCATAAGCGAATGGAAACAGAAACAAAAAGAGGCTAGAAGAAAGCCATTTTGCCCAGATTGTTCTGTGGAATTTCCTTCAACCAGGCGACAACTAGAAAATCCAAAGGGGGCCACAGGTATTAGTAAGCTGCAACCCTATCCAAAAAATTGGATGTTAGGAAAAGTAGTTGCACAACTTTTTATTGTCGATAAAGTCTGCACTGATGAAGAAAAGAACCTGTCTGAATTATTGGAGAGAGAGAGACAGATGGACTCATCCTCTAGTGATGTCGAAGACGACACTGGTGAGATGGAGCAAAGTCAAAGTATAGACTTCCCTTTACTGACTTCCATTGTTGCAATTTGTATATTTATGTTAATGTGTTACTGTTGCTTACCTAAGAAGCAGGGGCCAGGGACTTCCCCCAGCTAGTAAGAATGTGGCCCTTGGCTACTGAACTGTCAATTCAAAGGAAAATAGAAGAAAAATAGAACCAGAAGAAACCCCTAGCTGTTTGATTCTCTGTCTACTTGTTGTATTTACGTGGAAACTTGAAATCTTAGTGACAGCCCTGTGTTAGAGGTCAAAATTCTTTTTAGGATTTTTAACGTAGCGTATTTTTCAACGTAGTTTATTTTTTTAAACCTAGTTTATTTTCCCCTTTTGTTAAAACTAGTTTATTTTAAACCTAAATCAATTTTTTAATGTCAATGTTTTTGGAAAAAAGATTTTAGAATCAATTCATTATTTCAAATGTTAACCTTTTATGTAAGGTTAGGGCTTTGGCTTATATATAAATTATTAGGGTTAAGCAATTGGGTTTAGTTGTTAGGGTTAAGCACTTGTTTCAAATGGTCAGCTTTCATGTAAGGTTAGGGGCACTGCACACATTTGAGGATGGCTAAATCGCATGGGTAGATGGGTCGTGGGTAGTGGGTCATGGGTCGTGAGTCATGCGCAAGTCCTGTGTCTTACGTGTTTTAACACTTAAACGTCCACATGTAATTTTTGAAATAAAGTGAGACCGGTGGATCTCTTTTCTTCCGAATATCAAAACAGTTTGATGTCTGTGAAAAGTAAGTCAGAGAGTATCCAGAATGTAAAGATGTTTAATATTTTTTGTTGGAAAGTCTTGATGCATCGTGCAAAGATTATCTAATCAGTAGCGTGGGAACACTCTCATATGATTGGCCGAAAACTAATTTTGCCCCTAGAGTGCAAGCAGAAATCGATGAAATAGTTCCATCATTTGTTAGTCGGCGCGGCCTGCATTTTTTATCACAACTTTTGTTTGACTTATACATCAAATAAATGCTTCTTCTTAATCATCCAGAGTACATTTCCTGTGCATGTGGATACATTGTGGTTAATTATGACGCAAAATCTCTCACCAAGCACAGAACCATGCTCGTAAGCTAACGATTTTCCTTTTCCTCCCCCGTCCCTTTCTTTTGAGCCCGTCTCCATCTCCCTCAGGTACATTATGGACTCGTTCTAGACTTCCACGTGCCTATTTATCCAAGATGGCAGAGTCAGCGCTCGCGGCTCGAGCCAATATATGCCCGTCCTGCACGCTAGAACACAGGGTGTAACAAAAGTACAACAGTTTGCTTGTTAATGCATTGAACCATATTTTTAAAAGCAATCTGTCCTTGAATAATTTCAAATGGCTGCTTACAAAACTGAAGCTTTCGTGTGTTCGAAATATTATACCCCATTCTAGAAAACGCCTCTGAAATGGATACCCCATTCTAAATCAGGAACTTCAAAATCACGACACCGTTGGGTGGCACATACCCCTATAGGTAATGAATGGGAGTACCCCCCACCGGGTTATGATCAACCACTTTGGTCCACATCCAGCATCATTGGCGTAGCCAGGGGAGGGTTCCAGGGGTTCCGGACCCCCCTTTGAGCTGTTGCACTGGCTATAATTTCAAGAAGAATGAGATTTTTGCTGTTAAAGGAACTGAAAAGAACACAATCAATTGAAAAAGCGTCACATTCTATTTTGAGGGTTACAAATGAATATTATGAAGAAGATCATACGAGGCCCCTGTGTATGTGTTGTGGTTCAATTTTATCTTTGGTTTAAATTTTATTTCCCTTGTTTTGGGGTATGGTAATGTATATTATGAGTTTAAAACAAAGGGAAATAAAATTTAAACCAAGGATAAAATTGAACTACAACATATACAACCTGCAGTGTGGGATTCAGCGCCCTTGCTAGTCTTGATAGCTTTAAAATGCTCGTTGTAATGGTTTGACTATGAGAGGGTTTAATACAAACTCAGTAGAGGCAGAAGACAGTATTAATGGTCATGAAAGTCAGAGGATATAATGAAACTAGCGTTGATGTTTGCAAATCAGTGTGAGGAAATTGTCTGAAACTAGGACCCTAATAGTAACAGCACAGCAAACTGCCTAAAACATGCAGTATTCAAAATGCTAGCTTCATTTGTCACTGAAATTATGGGAAGTTTGTGCTCAGAATCACAAAACAGAATTTCTGAGGACCTTAAGTATTAAAATTTTCCATTGGAGAATGCCTTATACCCCATGCCCTCCGAAGCTCGATATTCAATCTAGACAAAAATACCACATTTGGAACCCCTCTATCATGCAAAAATGCTGGCAACGCCCCTGAGCATGCAAAGAAAGTAGTGTCCGATAGCCCGGGGCTGGTGGATTTTGCTATCAGGCTAGTGAATTTTGTTCTTAACTTGCCCAATGGGTAAGTGAAGTTTTTTGAGGAAATCAAATTACAGAAGAACTGCAAAATCAATTCTGCTCATGAAATGTTTTTGGGGCTAGTTGAAATGACATTTGGGCTAGTATATGCTAGCTTCATTCAGCTTGCCCGACTAGCAAGCTTTAAAAATGACTTTCTTTGCACCCTGACATCCCATGATGATGGCAATTTTGGGACACATGTGAAAATGTGCAGGTTTAGGTCATTAGAGGCAAGCAATTTTGACCATTTTTGGCATCAACCTTCGCAAACTATCTGGCTTTCATTTTCTGGAGGCTGGGTGGTGTGGGACGCATGGAAGTGAGAGAAAATGGGGAAAATTTAGAAGGCATTGTGCTGCAGCCGGCCGCCAAATTTGCAAGCCTTGTCGTTTTATTGTGTATTAGTCAGGGGTGTCAGTTTCAAGCAACTGAAAACACCACAAAATCGCAGAACATAAAGTAATCTTTATTCATTTTTCTTACATTATATCACCATTTGAGACCAAAAGGTGCAAAATTCTGTGTTTTATGAAGCATTTCTACCGATCACTTGAATCAAGCCTGGTGGAGGCATTACGAAATACGTACAGTAAAATAAATAGAGGATATTACACGGTGGCGAGAAGATATGAATTTTATGTTCGAGTGGTAAGAACAATATCTCACGAGTGAGCGAAGCGAACGAGTGAGATATTGTTCTTGCCACGAGAACGTAAAATTCATATCTTCGAGCTAACGTGTAATGTTCTTTTTATTATATGGAGAAACCAATTCAACAAAAGCAAAAGGCGGGAATCGTGACGTCATTGAACTATACGACACTAACAAAGGTGACATACGGAAAATACGCCACTCGGGTCCCGGATGAAGTGGCGTATGGAATCTACGAGTGGTTTAGTTCCCAGTAAAACACTCTCCTCCATATAATAATATATGGGATCACATGTCGCACGTGACATAATAATCCCTCGAACAGTTTGGATGGTCCGCCTGTGGTTAAAGCAAAATACTTTAGCATGATTTGTAGAAATACTTGGCATAAATACCACAAGTGATATTTCAAAATTCACTAACCATTGACCAAGTGAAATTTGAGACAATTTTGAAATAATTATGTGTGGTACACCAAAAATCACTTACAACTTATGCTATTATTTGTGTATACTACTACCCACAACAAGTTTGTAATTTTCACATTTAGGTATTTCGAATTAAACTGAAATACCACTGCTCTATACTGAGGGTAGGTAAGTTATTTTCTTGGGGGTGGGGGAAGGGCTGGGGTCCAAGAGGGGGGGTCATCAGTGAAAGTGAGCACCACGTACCTCTTTGTGAGCTATTCAAGGGGAGAATCATACATCTTTTCCGAATTTTTTAACGAGGATTTTTTTTCTGTCACTTTCCATTTTTCTTTTGACCTTCTTTGATTTAATTTGGTGATTATTTATTATTATAGGTACTTCCATACTCAAACTTCTGCTATAAAAGGTAAATATCCCATGCAGATTGTTTGCATTTTATTGTTTTGATAGAGCGCGAGATATATTCATATTCAAACATTCTGCATTCCCAAGTGAAACAGTCTGGGTTTTTATGGCATGGAACATACACTGTATGTAGCAGTGAGGTGAGGGTTGCACTTTTGTCAGTGACCTAAAGCTGGGGGGGGGGGGGGGGTCAGGAATTTTGTAAAATAAACTCGTGGGAGGGCCAACACTTTTTGTTGGAAAAGAAATACCAAAATCCCCTAGTCCTTCCCCCGCCCAAGAAAAAACATACCTTCCCTAAGCCAATCAAATTGCAGAAATTTCTGTTGTAGTAGTATAAAAGTTGTTACAGTGTGACTACTGTAGCAGGGGCCACTTAGAATAAGGTTGACCAATCGGATTACAGGGAAATAACAATACATTCAAAGAGAGTTGGTTGTCGGCCAAACAGCAGCTCATAAAAGAACAAAAAGTACCTCAAAGCCCAAAATATAATATTGATAGCAAACGTTTTTCCGGAAAGCAAAATGTTTAACCAGACAATGTTTTTCCATTCGAAACTTTGCATGCAACACGGTACACCCAGGAGACAATTATTTCTTTGACACAAGCTGTTATTTTGTTTTCTACCAGCAATTTGCTCCTATTGCCACAATTTGCAATAACCTGTGACTGCAGTCAAAAATATATCTACGGTTTATGTTTTTCACCTCCATCACTCACTCTAATGGACCTCTCCAGAAACACACGCTTTCTTCAGCAGGTTCAAAAGTTCATGTCTGTAGGTTGTAATATTTTTGGTTGATTTCGATCCATGTTGTTCATTTCTTTTCATGATAATTATGATTGACAACCAACTTTCTCAGGATGTATTGTACGATAGTGTTGCAGGAACACACGGTGTAGACAACAATGAGACTTGAATACTGAGAGGTATTTATTGAATCTACAATGTAGCCATGCAGAATAAATGTTACAAACATAACCAGACAGTTTTGCAACATTTGCCATTGGTACCTGTCTGTACCATTGCTCCGCTCATAACAATGACAATCCCTGGGAGCTCTGGCGCATCATGTTCCATTAACTGCGGTTTACTGTTTCACTGTAAATCTTTATTTATCGGTTCAAAGGATTTCTTCACATCTACAGGATTTCAGATCACCCATCAGTCTGATTGCTTTCTGTAACATTGTGGCTTTGTACAGCAACAAAAGGGTTCTTGCAAACATAAACAAATGATAATTTTAATCCATAAGTCGGTTCACTGAAGACTCCTGTACAAGATTGTGAGCACATGTAAAATCTGGCATCCTATTAGATAACAACTGTCACGTGACGTTACACTTTCATCACTTACACCGCTTATTTTGTCATCTACTTGCCATTTCTTCGCTACCATTGCCGTGCTTTGCAATACCGTGCAATCTGAAGTCAGAAATATAACAAATGTTTACATTTTAACCCTCCATCTGGGACCATGACTGTCCATTTGGGAAAGACATGAAAAAAAAAAGAGAGAGGGAGAAAAAAACACTTTTATTTTCTCGCAGATAAAGATCTATTTTCAACATGATTCCAATATTTTAACTTTGATATTTGATTTGTATTCTAATTGATGTGAGGTTTCTAATGTACATGTAAGGTTTTCATCTGTTATTGTACCCAAAAACTTGCATTCGTTAACTCTGCTAACAATGCTTTCATCTATCTTAAGATATCTATGGTCTTGCTTTTAATTTTTTTTTCTGTTTGAGAATAACAATATAATTTGTTTTAGAAATATGCAAGTGAGCAAGCTGTGCTTTGAACCATAATGAAAGCTTTGTTAATTCATTATTAGTTATTGTGACCAACTGATTTGGACTTGTATTTAGTTTGTGTCATCAGCAAATAATGTGAAAGAGAACATTTTGGTTGAAGCAGTTACCGTATATTAATAAGAAAAGTGGACCAAGAACAGACCCCTGTGGGACCCTACATGTTAATTATGTTCATCAATAGAGTCTATCACATTGTATTGTACATATTGTTTCCTGTTGGATAAAATTCGTAAACCATAAGGGTGGTATTCCTCATTTATTTTTTGCAGTAGTTTCTGAGAGATTACCAAACATTTACAGCTACAAACATCTGACTTAAGCTTTGGTTGATTTTTGCTTCAGCAGAATGTCTAGACTCTTTGAGGTTGCTTTTTATGTCCCGGACAGTTCGGGTGAAACAGGAGATGTACTTTCTGAGATTGAGCACAAATTCGCCGAAATGTGTTCAACAGAAGGTTGGATTTTAGATGGGGTAGGAATAAGCGATAAACCAAGAGGACAAGGACAAAAAGCTCCAGTAGAGAGGGAAGAGCAAACTTTGGATTTAACACAGTTGAGTTCTTCATGGAACAAGATGCAACCTGCATCAGTAACCCTATTAGAAAAGACAAGCCCGATGACAAAGCAGCCTGCAGTTCGTCAGGCAAAAGAAAACAATTGCGAACAATCGGTGCAGCGGCCCCATATCGCCTTTGTTTATACAGAAATGGAAAATTGTCAGCTGCCCTCATTAATAACTGAAATTTCAGAGAAACTGAAAATTAGTGAAGCTAGGTTACGGGCAATTGAAGAAGTGCTGGTGTGCAGTATTTGTAGAGAAGTAGTGCAAAGGCCACATACTCTGGTTTGTGGCCATTCCTTTTGCACACACTGCATAAGGGAATGGAAAAAGAAACAAAAATGCAATAGAAGAAAGCCATTTTGCCCAGATTGTTTTATATGCTTCCCTTCAACCAGACTAATACTGGAGAATGCAAGGGGGGCTAAAAGTAAGCTGCAATATCCAAAAAATTGGATGTTAGGAAAAGTGGCGCAAGTTTTTATTGTTGATGAGGTCTCCACCAATAAAGAACAGAGGTTCGAAGTATTGGAGAGAGAGGCACAGACAGACTCATCCTCCAGTGGTGTTGAAGACAACAATGATAACTTCCACGATGAGATGGAGCAAACTGGCAGTATACAAGATGTACTCTGCACTTTGCTGGTTTCCATGGTTTTAATTTGTATATTTATGTTGATATGTCACTGGGCTGACATCAAGATGCAGGGGCCAGGGACTTCCCCCAGCCGTCAATTCAAAGGAAAATAGAAGAAAAAAAACCTAGCTGTTTGATTCTCTGCCCACTTGTTGGGAACTTTAAATCTTAGTGACAGCCCTCTGTTAGAGGTCAAATTTCTTTTTAGGATTTTCAGCATAGCGTATTTTTCAACTTAGTCTATTTTTATAAACCTAGTTTATTTTCCTCTTTTGTTAAAACTAGTTTATTTTAAACCTAAATAATTTTTTTAATATCAATGTTTTTGGTAAAAAGATTTTAGAATCAATTCATTATTTCGAATGTTAACTTTTTGTGTAAGGTTGGGGCTTTGGCTTGTATATAAGTTATTAGGGTTAAGCAATTGGGTTTTTTTTAGTGATTAGGGTTAAGCACTTGTTTCAAATGGTCAGCTTTCATGTAAGGTTAGGGCCACTGCACACATTTGAGGGGCCGTCGATAAAACCCGGAACATTCCGGAACATGCCGGAACATGAAAAAATAAAAATAATTTTCATGAAAAAAAATAAAATAAAATAATAATAATAAAATAATTTTTGTAAAAATTAATAATGTCGTAAAATAACAAAAAAAAACGAAAAATAATGAAATAAGCAAGGAAAAGAAACTGGTAAAAAAAAACAAAATTTTGTCGCAACAATTAAAATTTGTTGGGCAAGTGAGGGTTCATGCAAATGACAGTGATGAGTGAAGGCTTGCTTCTAAATTCAAACCGCGAGGAGGGAGGTTTTTTAAGCTTTCCTCGCACAGCCACCCCTTTTAATTGTTGGCATGAGTTAATCATTTGGCAGTTATCCATTTACGGTTCTGCGATGGTCTGAAATGTCGGTGCAGTATATGTCATGTCAAGCCAAGTCGGTAAGTAGCTCATTTCAAGCCAACATATAGTCTCCTTATATATAACCGACATTTGCTTACTTGAGGTGCTTTGCTTCGTCTTGAGGTTGACATGAATTACTTGCAGACTAGGCGGCTCTGTGAACTTAAGAAGACTATAGGGGCTCCTGTCTTTGGATTTTAGTGGACAATACTCACATTCGTAGTAGTTTCTATACTGTTTACAGTCGGCATGATGTTTCAGACGTCTCCTCGAGTCGCAAGAGGAGTTTGCGGGGAGACGGCTACAATTCAGGCTAACTGATAACAGTTAGCAACTACCGCTGCACTACCACTGCCACCGCAACTATTCACGGCGAATGTGAATCTTTAATTTAGTTATCCAAGTCCAAAGCTGTAAATTGATAACCGTTAAGCTGCATGGCAACCATTTACAAGAGGTAGCTGTGTGAGGAAAGCTTGAAAACCCCCTCCTCGCGACCCATTTTAATATATTTTGAATTTAGAAGCAAGCCTTCACTCATTACTGTCATTTGAATGGACCCTCACTCGGCCAAAAAAATTCATTGCGACAAAATATTGTTTTCTCATACTCGGAGATGATACCAGTTTCTTTTTCTTTGTTTCTTTCTTTGTTTCTTTCTTTATTTTTCGTTTTTATGTTATGTTATGCTATGTTATTTATTTTGTTATTATAAATTTTTGCAAAAATTGTTTTCTATCTATTGTTCTTTTTATTATTTATTATTATTTTTATTATTAATATTATTATTTAATTAATTAATTATTTTTCATAAAAACATATTTTAATTTTTTCATGTTCCGGGATGTTCCGGGATGTTCCATGTTCCGGGTTTTATCGACGCCCCATTTAAGGATGGCTGAATCGCGTGGGTAGGTGGGTCGTGGGTAGTGCGTCATGGGTCGTGCGTTTTGGGTTGTGGGTCATGGGTCGTGGGTCGCACGCGAGTACTGCGTCTTACGTGTTTTAACACTTAAAAGTCCACATGTAATTTTTGAATAAAGTGAGACCGGTGAATCTCTTTTCTTCCGAATATCAAAACAGCTTGATGTCTGTGAAAAGTAAGTCAGAGAGTATCCAGAATGTAAAGATGTTTTGTTTTGTTTTTTGTGCAAATTATTAACATTAAAGGTGAAAAACCGGGTACGCGTGTTGGGTGGAAAGGTATCAAAAAACAAACCAAAAAAGCATATTTTCATGACTTCAATTTTATAACGGTGTGCGACAAACGTAGCCTGTGTACAGCCGCCCCTCACGTCAAAAAAATTTTTGAGGTGAGGGGCGGCTGTACACAGGCTACGACAAACGCAGACGTCTGCAGACTACAGCTGAGACTAACAGGTACACGAGGTAAACATTGCAGAAAAACACCTCATCAAGACAGAATAAATCTGAAAACTGGCATATTTAGTTACAACACCTGTACTAAACACAATATTTCAAAATCGAAACCCATACAAACCTTTTTCGGCTTGATAATCAGGCATGTTTTGCGAAGATTTCTACTTAGCGTGGATGAAACAGCTTGTGAAGCTTCTTGTAACATGTGACAAATTTGGCGCGAAAAGTCTAATGTCGTATTGAATTGTGGGTGTTTTGGGACTTGGCAGTGGTTACAACTTCATGTAAGCTTTTAGTTTAAGTGCCCACCCAAAAACTGCGACCAGTCTTGAGTTGTCGTCTTGAGTTTGTTGATCTCCAGGAAACCGTCCTTCCAGACATTAAAATAAGAGCAGACTTCGACATTTGCACTTGGAAGGTAAGAGTTATACGACTTTTCAACGTCAGACAAATCATTTATGGTTCAAAGTTATCTGGTGGGTCGTTTCTGGGAGCAAATTGTTCTTAACAAGGGCCCTGTTTGAGCGGCCTCTACTAGCAGGGAATGTTTGATCAGCTGTTTTCATCAGCTGGATGATACACTACAGTAAGTCTTATATTCTGCTGAAATATTGGCTATAACTCCTTTAAGTGCTTCTCGGAAAAGGTCACCTATACCGTTGTTGTAACGATACAAGCTTATCAGACTTTTCGCAGCAGTCGACTGTTTTCTCTGGGGAAAGGGAACATTGAACTGAACCGGAAGATCGAGGTGGTTACTCTCCATAATGGGACACATGAGATAATGTGAGGCCCTGAAGTACCATCCTCAGGCTTCAGGTTTATACCTGTATGAAAGGGTAGGAAAGAAAATAGTAGGGTAGGGAAAATGACAATAATATTATAGGTATTTCAAAAAGGTCTGTCAAAGCTTGCTTGAAATATGACCATCTTTATTGCTGCGTGACTTTCAAACTATAGAGATTTGTAACTGTGGGAATGAAAAGAAAATTTTTTGCATTTATGTATTTATTAATTAATTCATTCATTTATTTATTTTTATGGCAATCTTTACAAACAGGCATTTAGAAACACAAAACAGATTGTACATACAAAACAATAATATTGCAGTAAGTTCAACTTAAGACGTTAAAAAATGCTAGCTGTTGTTCATCGTGCTTTGCTTGACTTTGAGTACAGCTCAGGCAGTGAAGGGAGGGGTGCGTACCATTTACACAACCCATCCGGGTGGAAATCTTGTGCATAAACATAAAACTATAGAATTTGGCGTGTTGGGAGAACAACCCACTACAAAGTATCCAAATCAGTTGATGAAGTAGAAAAATTGCATTGCCTGCCAACCAGAGCCCCCCTTCCCCAACAGTCAGCCTACTTTTAATGTCATGAGGTGTTGTGAGTAGTTCTTCTGTGCAACTCTGCTTACAGATAATAACTCAATATTATGTTTGTAATTTATTTTGGTTGGCCCTTTCAACTCAGCCTGGGGATGAAAATAAATGGATTGAAATAGGTGAGTGTTTTTATTTTCATCACTGATGACAAAGCAATCAAACAGCTGTACCGCATAATAAGAATATTTCTCTAAACAATCTCCCACTGTAAAAGCCATGCTTTCCTTTATGGATATCCATATTCCCTTAATTTGAAAAAGGCACCTGCCTCAGTGGCTAACATTTTAATATCTCAGGAATGGCTTTTTCAGAGAAATAAAAGATATTTTAAATTCTTTATTGAGAATGCTGGCATCAGTTATGCAAAGTTTTTTCCAGTAGGGAGGGTCCTTGATTGAAAATTACAAAATAGAGTAATAATGAGAAACAATGGAAACTCTGAAGTGCCCAGAAAATAATATGACTAAATAAAGAAAACATGTTAGCCTAACATATGAGCCCTTCGGCACTGTAAAGGATTGACCAGGCTACACACTATAAGTTTGTGACATGACTGTTTCTTTTCATACTCCACAAAATTGTTATCTGATTGTTATTGATCTCTGTTACTCTGTAATTTGTACCTCATTTCTTCTAATAGTGCAACAAGCATTTGGTGATTTTGCTGCTTCTTGGAATGCAGAGCGATTTGTGGAAAGGTCAATATGATTACAATGTTCTTTTTTTGTTTTCAGTTGTTGGTTATTGTTAAATGTACACCAACTCAATTGGGGTTAAATAGGTCATTATTGCCTAAGACCAAACGTGATGCTCCCTGAACGGAGATAGATACTTGTAAAGAGAAAAAAAAATTTACTGAATTGCTAGGTACACTAACAACGTAGAACGTTCACTGATTGCAAAGAGAATGATACTATAATGTGGAAAGTTCACTTATAATAAAGTGCGGGCGTTGCTTGGAATTTCCACTGCTATATTTAATTCACTCACTTTAAGGCTTTGTAAGTTACTGCCAAGTTGTGATAGTAATGGGGCAGTGTAAATGGAGACTGCAGACTGACTGCGGACTATTGTTTTGAGGGTTAGAAAACAAACGTGCTATTGTCGTCATATACAGTGTACTCATTTGCGTGGTGAAAACAACAGTCCGCAGTCTGCGTTTTACACTGACCGGATAGTAACAGACCACCCAGGATAGTATGCGTAATCTAGTGTACATTGTATCATTTAACAGGGCTTGAAAAAGACTTGAATTCCAGCTTGTCCTTTGGGCAAGCAGCTGTCATATTTTGCTTGCCTAGGGCCACTTCTTGCTGGTCTTAGTTTATGATTTGTTAGAGGATGACTTGCTTTGTCTCTTGCCCATTGGACCAGTAAGCTTTTACTGTGAAACTCACAAAACCATGAACACCAGAAATATTAATGGAATGTTACTGTGTAGCGAGGAGGTAGCCAATAAGGCGTGAGAAAACTAAACCGCAAAAAGCAAAGGTAATTAGTTTGTGGTTTGGAGGTTTTCTCGCATGTCATATGTATACTTTATTGTGATTGGTCAAGACACAACCAACATTCCTGAAATTTTTCTGGTTTTCACAGTTGTCTGAGTTTGACAGTAAAGGTACTTACCCAGCAAGAAAATTTACTTGTCCCAGACTACTAGGCAGGACGTTTTTTGAAACCTGCTTAAAAGTAACAGTGATGCAATGAGGTTCATAATAATTATATTTTTATTAGTATAGTTCACTCAACACATACCAATACTAATACCACCCTTGAATAATGCTGGTTGCCCAAAATTGTAGTGGTTATTATTTTTATTCAATACAAATTTAGGAATCTTGATTTTAGTCAACTTCTCTATCTTTTTAACCTCCTTGTTAAAACTGTTATAAAAGTCGTTTATCTTGGATTATGTAGATTCCATTATTGTAAGTCTCATTTTAGACCCCTCAATATAGTTAACTTGGTTTTTTTCCCACATTCATCACCTATTTACCTGTTTTGTTGATAGCTATATATACACATTGTTGGTGCACCAGTATTATTGTTATGGCATTGTAAAAAAGACTTTCTGCATTTAAATGAGTAATAGTTTACCACACATCCTTATAACTTTTCTGTCTTTTTTCGTGTTTTATACTGCCAGAAGTTACAAGTTATAAGTGATTGAATTGGTAAAATTTAAGCAATAATTTTTAAATGGATTTTTCAAGGTTGAAAGTTAAGCTACAATTAATATTCCCTCTCTATGTTCTCTGGTTTTGCACCTTTTAACAGGGAATTTGATTTAGTTTAACTTGCCTTGTTCAATTACTAACTTTGTTTTGGCCATCCGTGAAAATGTGAAAGAAAAAACTTCTAAGTTCAATATTTAGCATCTTGAACCTATGCATGTGAATAATATATTGTTTTTACCCTCTGATAACCAGCTGTTTTTTGATTTATGACATTCCAAAACAACTTTGTAGTATTTATGTGAGCGTTAAATTATGTGCATTTCTTAACAAAAAAACTGATTTAACTTATTCTAGAATTATTGGCATCATTGTCAAATCAAAAGTGCATTAGACGCTCATGAAAAATTTCCTAAGAAACAGACAAGTGCCAACATCTTTCCTGATTGGGCAATATATTTTACAATACCTTAAACACCAACATCATCAACGCCTCCTCACCTTTTCTTTTAAAAGAGCACTGAAGGCATTTATTTGTAATAATATTTTATTATTAGTATACTCCAACAAAAATCTTGGCAAAAAGCCTTTTAATTCTCAACATTTATAAACTTCCGTAATATTGATTGTTATTTTAATTTTCCACCTGATATTATTTTGTATCCGTCACCGTAATTTTTATGCCATCTTCGAAAAATTGTAATTGAGGAGGTCTAATTAATTAGTTTCCCTTAGGCCTCCTCGCCATTTCTTCCTACAATTTTTTTTGGCATCTTTTTGTAATTGTAATTGTGTGGCAATTAAATAAATACAAATACAAATACAAATATAGTGTCAGAAGTATAAAACACAATGCAAATGAGTTGTCGTCTTTTGATTGCCTATATTAAAAGCTACTGTTATTGGGTATAAATGAGGTAATAGAAAAGCATTTATTTTATAAATTACAGTCGACTCCCGATAACTAGAACCTTCAAGGGAAATGGAAAAAGGTTTGAGTTATCGGGAGTTCGAGTTACCGGGAGTTCGAAGAAAATAACCGAGAGAAAGGTAAAAAACAGTTTTGACTGCACAGTGAACATTTTAATCACATTTAATAGTAGAAATGTCAAGTGAAAATTAAAAGATACTTTTAGATTATAGATCAGAATGTAACGTAACGAAACATAGCCTAAATAGAGCATGCGTTTTACTGTTTTGAGAAGAAAAGCTGCTTCACGTTAGCCTGTGGCAATCAACATTAGCCTCCACTAGTAAACTACACTCCTACAACACGTCAATAGGAAATCCAAAATTCAATGTTTCGGATGCCAGTAGATGACTTTTTTCCCGACTTTTTAAGGGCTCAAAACATGATTCGAGTTATCGAGGGTAAAATTATATAGAAAATGACCTGAAGGGAAACGAAAATTGGTTCAAGTTACCGGGAGTTCGAGTTATCGAGGGTTCGAGTTACCGAGGGTAAAATTACAGTGAATGTATGACGGAAATCCAGGGGAAATCGATTTTGGTTCGAGTTAGCGTGAGGTTCGAGTTAGCGAGGGTTCAAGTTATCGGGAGTCGACTGTATTTACATAGTCATATTAAAGGCTACACTTACGTGAAAGCATTCACAATTACATGTACTGCATCAGGGATCAGTCCAAGTAAATTCTGCCATGCCGAAAAGGTGGAAATCAAAATTTAAAATACTATTTTTGTTTGCTTCACTAGGTATGCATCAAATCCAGCTCTTTTCAGGGAAGATGGCTTTTTCTTCATTAGACATGGAGAGAGATATGTAGCAACTGCATTTGCCTGGCAAGATGAGCTTGATACCTCTGTTGGCCATTTACATTGGTTAGCAGTCATACCCAAGTACCAAAGGTGTGGGCTGGGCAGGGTGCTTACTCTTCATGTTCTCAAATACCATAAAGAACATGGAAAAAAATCAGTGTATCTTATTACTGAGGTTTATAGAAATGCTGCTATTAAACTGTACGAGAACCTTGGCTTTGTTCTCTGTGATACTGATTCCAGACAGTAGGCAGGTCAGTGAGAGATGATTTTCAACCTAGTGGACCACAGCTCCTAGACACTAAACCAAGAGGAATACTGCTCACTATTGGAAATATGGTAGGAAGAGTACTATGTAAGGGTAGGAGTGGGCTGACAAGAGGGATGTGTAAACTGTGAAAGAAGAGGTGGAAGTTGGGAGAAGGGAAATGGGAAGTTAGAAAGAGGGAATGGTAACTCAGAAAAACATTGAATGTATAAGAGTAAATTATGTGTACCATGCATGTGCCCCACTGTGTTTGTAAAAAGGGACGATAATTGATGTATTAAGGCTGAAAATTTGATAGGAAGAGTTTTATGTAATCACGAGGGGCTGAGAAGAGGGATGTGTAAACTGTGAAGGGAGAGGTGGAAGTTGGGAGAGGAGAAATAAAAAAAGTAGAAAGAGGAAATGGTAACTCAGAAAACCATCATATAAAAGTGAATTACGTGTATATAATGTACTCCGTGGTGTTTGTTAAAAGGGATGATAACTGATGTATTAAGGCAGGAAATTTGATTGGAAGAGTATTATTTAAAGTGGGGCTTGGAATAAAAAGGGATATGTAAACTGTGAAAGAAGAGGTGGAAGAGGAGAAATGGGAACGAGAGAATGGGAACTCAGGAAACAGAACACCATCAGATTTGTGAAAAGTGAGGATAAGGGTTGAAAGACAAGAAATTTAATACCATTAATGAATTACTAAGTGTTGTAGGTAAGAACCCCAAGGGGTACTCTCTATAATGGCCTATATGAGGAGGCTATGCCAAAAAGAGGTACATTTTCAGGGTCCAGGCATATGAAACCCGTGAAGGTGATGTGAACTTGCTGAAATGAGAATTGGTATTTTATTTTTTTAATCCAGAATTGGAATTTGTAGTTTCTTCCCAAAACAACACATGCTCATGATCAGTTTCAGGTCAAGTATTTTTAATGCAATTAACTGATAAAATTGTTCTTACATCCCAGCATGCACACATAATGTCAATAAAGTATTTACACTGTATTCTTGAGCATGTAAATTCATATTTATAAAATTACAAAGATCCCGTATACACATGTACCAGTACATACCGAGGTAATGTATAAAATAAATATCTTAAAATTAACCTCACTATCTGCAAATTGAGAACTGATTTTTCTTGCATATTTCCAGTTCATTTCATGTTGTTTAGTTGCTCTAAAACAGAAGAGCTTTATCAAGCCTTAGAAAAATTTGAAAGGTGCCTTTGAAGGTTTTTTGCACAACTTTCCATGCCCAAGATCAATTTTCTTCTAATAATTTCAATACACAATCAAGAGAAAATGTTATGAGAAATAACGAAATGATCATTAAAGGGGAAATGCTTTTGGTCTTTTGTCAAATTCTCTTAACTAATTCCTTAAGGAAATGTATGGTGATCAGTCTTGAGAATGTGTATGTGGATATTGGGACTCGAAGTGTAACCTTTTTTCTTGACATATAACTAAGCCTAATTTTTCCCAGTTAAAAAGTCACAGATGGGTTGTCAACCCATCAACGTCCAGCTGGAGTCAATCATTGAAAGGCACTTAGAAACTTGCTGTGATGTAGTTAGTTCACTATTATTGCGTTCTGCATGGCGCCATGGGTTTGGCTATCCTATTCTAACTTGTCAATCTGTTGATGAAATCCTGGTGTTACCATTTAAATGAAACCTCTTCCATAGATCTTTTGCGTGGTAGGATTTATTTCCTTTGATATCACGAAAAGAATCGAAATTTCGATTTTTGGGAGAAGTCTCACTTTGAACTCCTCTAAGAGTTAATAAAGAGCAATTCCATTATGAACCTCGTTTGCGTGTTCAAACCCTTTGTTGTTGTCTCCAATGGTTACAGCTCTCCCGTTGGATGATATGTTTGATCTATGGACATAATTTCCGCTGTTTCTCCTTTGTCATGCTCTTGAATTGTCTCTTAGCTTTTTTATTGTGCGGTATAATAAAATGTTACTAAAGTGACAATGAGTAAGGATCCCACAACTGCTGTTGCCAGTATTCCGCTGGAAATGCCAAATTTCTTTTCTGATTTCTTGACTGAAGGTGTTGGCGTGGTGGTAACGCCTAGGAAAGAAATAGTAATTTTAATCATTTAACCGGTTTTTTTTTTAAACTTAGCACAATTGTTAGCCACATATTAAAACTGCAATAAAAAGATGGGCGCTGCCGAGCTTGTTTTCGCTCTGTGTGCCCATAATTATGAGTATATTTTCCTAATTGCACCCAAAAAATAAGCTTGCTGTTCCCTTGTTATGAACCAATTACTGTAGAAATAGCTTCTGCTACAGTGGGGCTGTTCTTTGGAACAATTTACCCTCTGATATGAGACAAGCAAAATCTTCGACTCGCTTTCGAAACCTGTTAACTTCTAACTCGAACACGGCATTCATGGAAAACAAGCTTTAATTTAATTTGATTTTTCTATTTATCTCTCCTACATTACATTATTGCAGTTTGTAATATTTTAGGAGTTAATTGAACACTTTGTATTATTCTAGGATTTGAAAGTACATATGCATTTAGCTAGTGATGATGATGATGATGATTTCCGAGTTCCAAAAACTCTCCCTTTCAAAACGCAGCTAAGTGCAAAGCCTTTCCGGTGAAAATGAGTTTTATTTGCATAGGAATTAAAATTCATTTTCATATCAGTAGCTTTGCACTTTCCCTCGCTTGGAAACAGAGGATTGGGGCACCTCGAAAATGACCTATTCGCCAACCCTCGGGGGGGGGGGGGGGGGGGGGGGCGCCGGGGTGGGGGACCCTCTCCCTATTGGCCTATTATTGGGATGCTCCGCCCAAAAGGGGTACCTTTTTCAGCCTTCAGGTACATAGAAGGGTAGGGATTGCACTAGTTGAGGTATATGAAAGGGTAGCAAAATCTGTCAGATGCATTTTGTGGCTATGAAAAATTCGAGAAAACCTTCTGGTTTTGTGATTTATTAATATTTAGGACAGTGCGTTTTCAGCAGTTGAAGGAGCTGCAAAGGTCAAAACTAGATATATGTGAAAGGGATACCATTTGTTATATGAAAGAGGTACCTTTTTAAAAAAAAGATGGTATATAAAAAGGGTACGAGGCTCCCGTATAAAACTCTGTTTAGTACCCGCCCGCCCTAGGGGCCAACCCATCTATTACTAATAATGCCACTGTTTCATGTTTTGTTCATAACATTAATTTTTTTATACCTGGAGGGTTTTTCTTTTTCTTCTTCACTCTGTCTTTCTCTCTGTTCTCTGTTAATGTGTAACAAAGAATTTAATGTTATTGAGGGGGGTCCGGTGATGTAATCTTATGGCTTTACGGTGTTGGTGTACCTAAAGATCCAGTATCTAAAACCCTTCTAACCTTATCTTTACACCCTCAGTTGCACCTGCCATAAAATCGGTGCTCCAATTTTGGGGGAGCGAAAATTTAGTTGTCGAGGGATCATAAACAAACAAACAAACCTGATTTGGGCCGCGGAACAGGCCAACGTGACAGATAACACAAACAATCACCAGCGCTCACTTCAGGGTAGTTTGGAACGTACAGTGGGAGAGAGATGTTGTGTCTCTGCAATTCGTCTTTACAGCTATCTCTGACTTCCTTACGCAGTGATTGACACGTGTCCAGGGTGTGGCCTTTATTGGTAACACACGGTCCCGTTTGGAGAAAGCAGGCTAGTCTAGTTAAGTCCGATGAACAAGAACTGTTTGAGACTGGGGCTAGCCTGTTGATTAAGTTCTGGAGCCGGGCTTAGGTCTCATTTCCCAGGCCGCTGAGATTGCTGGTTAGGCAAGCAGGCTTGGCTACTGCCTCACAACTTGGTACTGAGCGATCTGTGGCAACAACACAGTCAGTATTAGTCAGCAAAAATGAATTCAGTAGATATTTCCAGTGATTCTCACCATGCGGTCAATAACCCTTTCATTTCTTAGAGTTGCCAATGTAAAAGATGCCAAATCCTAAGAAACCTAGAGTACTTGCAGAAGTTTCCTTCTGGATTTTGTCCACAATCTTAAAAGGTGACAAATCACTTCACCATTACTTGGTCAAGAAACGAAAGGAAACTGGCCAAGCCTTAGAAATCATAAGATTTCCATTGAGATCCCAAAGTTCCTAACCATTATAATGAGTCACTATCATATAAAAGACATATCTTATCTACAAAGCTAGAATCCTAACCCGTCCTGAATTATACAAACGTGACGAAATCTAATCTGTATTTGCTATCTTTAGAATTAAATTACTGTTACTATTAATGAAATTGCACATCTTAGTTGTATATTGAGACATTCCCCATTGACATAATTAATGAACATAGTTTTACTATTATGTTTGGTAACATCTCAACTTGAAGAGGACTTGTTTTGCTAGCCGAAAAGTTGTTTCCAATTGTGTACATTGTTTTATCAATATAATGACCTTCATTTTTGCTGTCTTTCCTATTCTTTTTGTCTTAACTTTTGAGTTGTTTGCAGATCGCTCTGTGACGTTCTGGATGCATGCTGTTAGCTAGCTGCGGGCATGTCGAACATTGTAAATTTTTGTGGAAAGTTATCACTAAAATGTGCGTGTGAGGTGTGTGCGCCGATTACTTCTGCTGTATTTTTTCGTCCATATATTATATTTGGATATCAGTAGTCTGATTAACCCATTCGCCCCTGAACCGCCCGTAACCGCCTGTGCGGATCCAGGTCCTTTCTACCCTTTGTGACGTCATCAGTTTCAACGGTCAAGGACAACTTTCTTCGCTAACTTGTGCAGAGTGAAGAGATCTTTCAAACCATACCAGAATGAGCACAATTCAGTCAAGGACACCGGAGAAAGAAGCAAAAAACCACGTGACATTGACCTGAAAATCTCCATGAAAATCTTGTTCCATTACCCACCTACCTTTCCTTTCACCTAATCCTAAGATCCTAAAAGCTTTCCTAAAAACTCTTCCCACCAAAATGAAGCCTACTAAATGCCCAGCAAGAGAAAAAAAAAATGAGGCAAGAAAAGCGAAAAAAGAAGGGAGGAGAGAAAGCGAAAAGTAAAAGTCAAGACTGCTGTGTCACTTTTAAACCCAAAAACCTCAAAATCTCGAAATTTTGCTTTCTGCGCATGCCTGAACTTCGCAAGCTGATATTTTGCATCTGGATCAGAAGGCCGCCAAGTGTACGACCTGTAAACCGGTTTGTGGTAAGTTTTAGCTCTTTATAGCACGACAGTGACCAGAAAACCACTCGACTAGCTTCAAAACACGTTTTTCGGCAAAATCTCTAGGAGCGAATGGGTTAAATTCTGAACTAACAGGATCATCGTTACACAAGGCTTTTGCTCCATGTCAATGTATTTATATCAATGTAACAGGCCCTTTCTAAAAGGTGGTCAAAAGTAAGTCATCAAATGCAATTCAAACTTTTCAAGGATTGTTTTAATTATCTCTTCTCTTTTTATTATTATATTTCTTTGTTTATTGACACTTGACTGTTGTTTGCACATGTCTGAGGATCTTAGGATAAATGGAGGGGCAGTCCCAAACTCCTTTCTCCTTTTTCAAAAGTTACCACTGGATAGCAAAATATAAACAGTGAAATACTTATCCATTGGTACTTGAAAGATAAACCCCTCGCATTCTGTGGAAATTTTCAAGTTAAAGAGCCAAAATAACTGTTTGAAAACTTTTGAATGGAGAGGTAGGTCACTTGACAGGATCACTAGATGAAACACAAGTCATGTCCACCTGCCTCACGACCACTGTTTTTAATCACCAATCACCCTTTTCTCTCTCTTTCCTTTATCCCTTTTTTTTTGGGGCGGGGGGATTTTATTGGACCACCTACACTGACTCCCTCCTTGGCTAAGTTAACCTAAAAGTTGGTGAGATACTAATGAGGAAAATGACCCCCCTAGGTATAAAAACATCTTTCCTTATTAGCATCATGAGAAGTAAGGGTAATATGTATCAAAATGATAAAGCTAAAAACATTACAGGGTAAACACTAGTTCTGCTTCTTACAACCTTGTTGTGGTCTACCTTTGCAATGGAGACAGTCTGTTCTTCCATAACTTCATGAATTGAAGTTCTGTCGCTGTCCATCATCTTGTCAAACTCCTTTGTTGGCCAGTACAAGGGCACCACCCTCTGAAAGGACCATAAAAGGTAAAACAACATGAATACTCTTCATGATGAATACAGAAGTCCTCGAAAAAACAACACTTTAGAAAACCAGTAACCTTCACCGTAAATCCTCCAAACACGTTACCTAAGATCTTTTCTCCCGTGAGAGGATCTTTCATAACTGCTGCCGTTAGGCCAACACCCAAACTTCCTCTTCCTGTGGTATACTGACCTACATGCCAAAGAACAGAAAAATTAACTTGATTCCCTATTTAAGCAATATAATATTATACGTGCAACTCAGGTGCACAGGGCTGCCATTAAGATTTCAAGCTGCTGGGACAAGCAATAGTCAGGGAATTAAACAGCCAGGAACTTCGTTTGGTTCTATTTCACTTCCTATGAGAGTAACTACACTGTAGGGGTAATCAGGGTGCAAAGAAAGTCAAAGAAATCCTCTTTCCCTTCACAATCTCTCGATTTTATATCTTAAAGCACTAATTTGTATTAATTATAATTATTCTGTGTGAGTTTAAATAAAAATTGACTTGACTTGACTTGAATAAGTAGCCTACATGTTCTATAGTAATAAATAAATGACTTACTTTGAGGTGCATTAAGTCTGTCAATGTAGCCAAGCATTTGACTTTTTGCAACACCTGGGTCACCCATCAATAAAATATTGATATTTCCTGAAGTTCAAAACAAAAACAAGCAATTAACACAGATAGTACAATCAGGCAAATCCTATTCGATCTTGTAATAAATAACTTATTCTTGAACATGTAAAATAATTACCTCTAATTTTCATTCCCTGCGGTGTGCAGTCCACACCACCCACTAAAAGTAGCAACGGTGCTTTCTTGATGTCTTCATGGCCATAAATTTCAGGAGCAAGTGAAGATGATCGTTTATCATAGGCGTCTGGTTCTGTAATTTAATAAATTACCACAAAGGTGAGGTCTATACAAATCTAAAATATGTAACTGCCGAAAAAGTGAAACATACTTTGTCATTACGATACAGTTAAAAAAATTTTGGTAACAACAAGATATTTTTGCATTTTTAAAATACATGTATTAGTGCAACTCATTTAACTGTTATTTAGTATTACTTTGGCATTAAATATCTCAAGAGAGAGAAAAGTTTAGAAAAGGCCAAAAAATAGGGAGTACATTCTTTGGAAGGGAAAAAACTAGTGACTGGCTGACTACCCATTAGTGTTTTTCTGTCATTCACAACAAAAAAACACAACAACAAACAAACAAAGGGTGTGTGAGGACAAACCATCAGACAGAGCTCTAATTTCTTTATCAGTAAGTTCTTCATCTCCCATCTCATCATCTTCTGTTTTGTTCATTTTTACTATTCTCTATAGGAAAAAAGGCAGGCAAACAATCATGAACAATCAAAAACAGTATCAATAAATCTCATTATTATACCACACTTGAATATTTCAGTAGACAGCTACTTTGAGAATACAAAATAAAGGCATTCTTCTTTTGCTTAATATCATATTTTCACCTCTTTTATAATACTGAGCTGAGTTTTCAAAGACTTAAGCACTGATAACCTGTATACATGTGGGAACAAGGGAATGCTAAATGCTCCTAAGAAAGTGAGTAAACCACTAAACAATGTGGTCTTAAATGGAGACCAAATTTGTGGGATGATTTCATACTTTTATGGGCATACAGGTTTCCAATTTGGTCCTAATCATTGCCTATAATCCTTGAAAACTTTCAGACAAACGGACAACTCTCTCTATGACAAACACCTTGGGGAGTGGCACTTAGTTTCCATCAGTGATACATGTATCTCTTTCATAATATAGAGAGAGTCAAACAAGGCAGGAACCAAATCTAGGTGTTCGTTTTACCAAGGTGTTCATCTACATTGTAATAGAGGTGTCCATTAAAAGAGAGTTAACTTTATTCATTAATTTTTGTTTAAAAGAGTCTCTCATGAGGATTTTGTAACTTGCTTACATGGGCTTCCAAAAATGTCGCTGACAATAATCCCTGAGTAAGTTGCCTGAATCCAGTTTTCATCATTGGAAGGAACACACCCGTGATCGCCACATGATCCCCCAGAACCACCAGTCTTGTGGTTTCACCTTTAGCAATCACTGTCATTGACTGAGGAATATTTCCTACAGGCACTTGATCACTGTGTTCTTGTATTTTTAGTTCCCGGAATTTGATGAACTTGGAACCTCTGGTTTGAAGATATAGACGACCACCAGCCCTGGATAAAAAATTGAAGGTCCTCGTTGTTAGTATAAAAATCAACTGGTTAAGAATTTTTACAGGGGGCAATAACTCATAACTGAGTGCTAACAAAGTCAACCCTTTTACAGCCCTAAGAGTGATTAGCATTAAATATCTCCTTGTAATACAACCTTCCAAGTTGCAACCATTTTGGTTGCCATGGCACCTAAAATTTTGGAGCTGGCAACTTGATTTGTAAAAAAGTCTCCCAAAACCAAAAGAGTTGGTTGCCATATGGCAACCAAGCAAAAACTTTAACTTTTGTAATATCAATGCTTGTAAAATGGAGTGATAGGATATTTAAGGCCCTCACAAGATGAATATTTTATTAGCTTCTCCTCACTTCTTCAACAGGACATGAATGGGGGAAACGCATGAGAATCTAAATTTTGATCGTATGCCTTTAGGTGTTAAATATGACTTACTTGTTTACTTTGCACTCTTCACTTGGGCACATTAATAGCGGCATAAAAGTCTGTGAGATAATCTAAAATTGATGGACAAACTTTAATACTAGTCAGTGCCGTAGCCAGACCAAACGGCCAACCGAGGCAGGCGGGAGTTGCTAGGGGGGTTCGGGGGCATGCCGGGGGGCATGCCCCCGAGAAATTTTGAACTTTAGTCTCTCGAAATGCGATTTGCAGCGTTTTCTGGGCCTTTCGGTAACTTTTTTTCGAGTTAATTTAAGTGGAATTTAAAAAGCAATAATCAGAAACAAGCTACATAATCTGGGTGACCGTTAACCTCGCCAATGGTTTTGATCAGTATTTGTTAAAAAAAAATTTGAGTTAACGTACGTAGCCCCTTGAGATCGATGATATGGTAATTTTTTCATAGTATATTGACTGAATTGCTGAATTCTTTGTAATATCATGATGCGTTAAAAATATCCGATGATCGCTTATGTAAAATAAAAATGATCGGCGAAATGCGTCAAAATTTTACCGAGGCGAGTGCCTCGGTTGGCCTCATACTAGCTACGGCGCTGCTAGTCGACATGAAGTTGCTTCAGCGTAGATATGTTACAGGTAAAAATTATATTTAGGTTGAAATTTTTTAAACTATGCCGATTGTCTATTTCTGTTATCTCCTAGCCTGATTATTCATGAATTAGGGCTAGGGGTACAAAAAGGTTTGGCATACAAACTGCTGGCAGCCAGAATTCACACATTTTGGTGCTAACAAAATGTTTTCATTGAACAAACACAATATATGAGCTGACAAAAAATTCGCAACAGTCTCCCTTCTCAATAAAAGTAAGAGACAAAGTTGTCTACAGCACCACAGATCTACGCATCTTGTAACAATATTTATTCCCCTCACAACAGCAAGTTTACCAATACTGTCAGCTTTCACTTCACAGACTTCACTAGCCCTATGGTTGCTAAGATGTTTGAAGTACACCTCACTGAAAATAAATGTACAAATTTGCGTCACCTTCTAAAAACGTTTTGGGTGCGGAATTACAATGATGGAAGTGGATGACAGTTTATCCAATCCCTGCAATATTTTGCATTCTGTAGCATGTGATGGTTAAACTTGAGTTTTTAAGTGAAAATTCTATTTGCTGAGTTTATGCATTTTTTTCTCAATAAAAAAGAAGAAAATTACACCATGTGGCCCTTAATGACTAAAATAGTTTCTGACCTTACTCAATTTCAGAGCTTGAAGAATATTAAAAGAAAGGATGATCAAAGATATCCTGTCTTAGCTATGGAGGCTTCTTTGCATTTCTCTGTATTTATTGTACACTAAACAGAGCAAAATCACAGATTCCACTTGAACCTTTCACCTTCCCTGTTATGGTTTTGCTGTACAAAAAGGTGCCCTGTAGTGACAGCACAGAGGATTAAAACTCAATGGGCTCCACAGGTGTTGCATCATAACATTTTGGGAACTGCTTTGATTTACACCACCTCCATTACTATCATCTAAACCTACAAACATTATCAAGAAATTATGTGTGGAGAATATGCACTTTGAAACTCATGAATTTAAAACAGCTGATGGCATATTATTAACTGGGTGCAGCTTCCTTTTTAAAAACCTCATCAATGACAACTGATTATAATTGATAACACATGCAATCACACAGCTTTACTTACTATCGCCGAAGAAGTTCTGGTGGATACTTGTTTCTAGGGTCTCTTGTTTCTGTATCATTTCTGTTTCTTTGCTCCAATAAGAGACAATGCTCAATGTAAACATCTAAGGCATCCTTTACTTGAACCTTTTGAGGAATAATGCATATCAATATTCAATATGTACTTTTTACAGTCAAACCGGGAAAACCATGAATGCCAGAAATATTTCTGGAGTGTCATTGTGTTGCAAGAAAAAAGCCAATTAGGCGTGAGAAAACTGAAACGCAAACAAGAATGTTAATTAGTTTGTGGTTTTGTAGCTAGTTCGCATGTCCTGATCTTTGCTGTGATTGGTCATAACACAATAAACATTCCTGAGATATTTCAAGTGTTCACGGTTTTCCCGGGCACACTGTACAGGGGCACCCAACGACTGTTTTCTGCAAAAGATCTGTTCAGAGAAGCAAATATTAGCTAGAATTTTTTTTTGCTTGAGGACGGCTAAAAATTTCTAGATGAACGTTCCATTTATGTTCAGTTTTCGAAGCTTATCTAATAAATTCCCTACGATTTTCTGAAATTTAATTTTTCATATTTTACTACCCAGGTTACACATTTTTCTTAGAAAAAGGAAACCTAAAATTTTCGGATTCTAAAATGTGATGGAGAGAAGGATCAGAAAAATTCTCACTTTCGTAAAACGTTAAATTGCACCTAAACTTTTCGAGAAAATAATACTAAAGCCCTTCTCAGGGCTGTCATTAAGAGGTGGGGGCCGGGGATTTCCCCCGAGTACTATGAACGTGGCCCCCGCTACTTTCATAGAAAAATAGAGGAAAAATGGAACCAAAAGAAATCCCTAGCTGTTTGATTCCCCACCTACTTGTTGTATTTACCCGGCAACTTGAAATCTTAGTGACATCCCTGCCTTCTAATTTCGAAAAGACTGAAGTTCCCCTAGAATGACCAAACAGATTAAAATTTTGTAGGGCTGCTTAGAATGCATTTCTAGAGTCTAAAACTACTCTAGATAGCCTAAAAAGTGTTTTCAACGTATTTTGGAGGAAACCGTCGTTGGGTGCCCCTGACTGTAAAAGCAACATGTAGAGAGCTATTCATCAGTCTATAACCAGCTCTTCTACTGAACAGCACCTTAAAAATGACCCATTTCTTTCTTTCCAGTAAAATTTGAGCTGTTGGTTACACAGCTCTATTGCTACCAGGCATCTCTCAACTGAATGCTTGTTGGCCCTTTAACAAAAGCAGCCATAGGCTTAGTAGTTTTGACAGTAACCCTTATTTTGTGCTTTTCACATAAAATTGAGATAATAAATTTCAAGTAAACATAAACTACTGGTATATTATACACAGCTCATACCTCTCCTTCTTTATAATCTGGTAACATTTCAAAAATGGCATCCTCAAACAGCTGCTTGTAACGTTGGGAATTTTGTACAATGTTTTCGGCCAACTCAGGGTCAACCTAGTCAAAAATAAGACAATAACAAGAAAATGAAGATCAATCATATTATCACGAGGATCTACACTTATGATAATATCAACGCACACTCCCATAAGCAGACAACTCTACTTACAGGCTCCTTCACAAAACCCCATTCCAACTCTCATACAAACTTTATATTTTCACACGTAATTTCTATAGAACTAATTAACATTAAGCCTAAGTCTATATATAATCTTAGATCAAATCAAAGTTTATTGCTAGACCCTCCTAAAGGGAAAATGCTTGTCACGTTAGGTGACAGATCTTTCTCTGCTGCTGCCCCATTTTATGGAATAGTTTGCCGGCTGAATTATGTGATATTCAATCATTAGCTATTTTTAAATGTAAGCTGAAAACTAATTTATTTTGTGCAGCTTTTACAACATAACCTGTTTGACATTCACTTTTATTTGTATTACTAATTAAGTTTATTATCATTATTATAAATATTCTATATTATTAATATACATTGTTAATATTCATGTACATGTAATTAGTTTTACAACTTTGAATTTTATTGTAGTATTTTAAGTTGTTAAGTGATGTTGATCAGTGAATGTAAATAGCGCTCTAGAAGTTATTAAATTATTATTATCATAAGCGGACATTCCCATAAGCAGCCGTGGATACTTTCAGGGTTTATGAGTTATGGACACCTTTTTATCGACTGAGGGTGTCCACTTTCTAGAGCTTCCACTGTATTACTGTGTTTTTCTGTGAAGAAATGGAAGGCTCATTTCACCAACCATCATTTTTCAAGCGCAAAGGCAAAACCATTTTAATTGGCAAGACATGACTAAGGCTGCCACTTTTGAATAAGGCACAGTAGGCTCCACTTTAATATTATAAGGCTCACTTCCACATGATGAGCCTCTGGATGGGTATTTCTGATGAAGTCTAAGTCGAGATGATCACCATTGATGAAGTGAAATTAAAGAGAGACAATTATATTACCATTTCAATCAAGGTCGACATCGTTAGTCATGCAATGATGGTAAAGAAACCTGCCAAAAAGTGTGCTGTATGCACGTTCAGAGATTTTTTTTTCATTTTTATTACCGTTGTGGTTGCACTGATCTCACAAGTAGCACTACCATGCAAGACAATTCTTAATATATGATGATTTTGCCTGAAAAACTGACGATTTGATGGAAAAAGTCTGATAAGATCGAAATCCACAGATACAGATACACGAGGCTCACATGATTAATGTGAAGGGTGAGGTTGCTTCAATTGCTGGACTTTCATCAGTGATGGCACAGATAAAGTGGAAACCAGCCTTGAATTTAAATGACAGGATAATGTCCATCCCTACTAAGGGGCCGTCAACATTTCACTTTTTTCCACTGGACATTTAGGTCAGAACCCCCTCCCTCCTCCTTAACATCCACCTGAAATTTTGCTTCCCCAACAGTCACTGCACCAAAGAAGGAATACTGACAAAAAAGAAGGCTGACATTGAAAGTACGTATTGAAAAAAGACACTCCTTGTGTTCACAAATGAACCTACAATATCAGCAAACTAACCATAATTTTTGGTGTTGTAAAAATTCATTGGTGATTTAGGATAGGGTTCAAAAGATCACAATGTAAAATTTGCTAGTAGTTAAGAGAAGAGTTTAAAAGACCACAATATACACTCACTTCTGTGATTGGTCCTGCTTTCTCTCAAATTATGTCACGTGTGCCGTTCCACACATGATATAAAATTTATGAACATACATCAGTTTAATTTACTTTTGTCCAAAACATTTCCCGCACTAACGTCCAATGCCTTACCCCCCAACCCCACCCCACCCCGCTAAACATCTATCAAAAATTGATACCGGTGCAACAGATTGTAAATTGCATTAATATTAAGGTTGATGATGTTTGCATAAATATCTGTTCTTTACCTCCGCGATATCACCAAGTTCTAGCAACAGCTCAACTTGCTCGCGATGGGCGATTTTGACCTACAAGAGTAAACAAATATGCTCAGTAATAATAAACTGTTAAGATCAACAACACATGCAAATCCTTCGAGTTGATGCCTCGTGAGTGAACTTAAAAAGACATTTTTGCAACGAAAGGAAAAGAAGGCAACATAATTTGAAGAATTACAACTAAAACCACTCGCAAATTTGCAACTCACCAACTGCTCTCCATATTTGAAGATTTTTCCTTCGTCGCCATCGACGTAAAATTCGGCGAGAAACCGCTTGGCTATGTCTGCAAAAGATCACCGCATTTAGGGGGAATAAATTTGGAAAATGGCATCTTTACTTGCTACACCTGTACTTTATAAACAATATTTCAAAATCGAAACGCATACAAACCTTTTTCGGCTTGATAATCAGGAATGTTTTGCGAAGATTTCTACTAAGCGTGGGTAACCAGGCAGAGAAGCTTCTTGAAATAGTATCATGTGACAAATATTTGGCGCGAAATATTGCATTGGGGGGCCCATTGGGGGTGTGTTTGGACTATTACATCATATACCCCAACTGCACATCGTTCGACATTTGCACGTGCAACGTGAAGGTAAGAGCTAGTATACTTGTTTACAACTTTACGCCCTTTTTTATCCCAAATGTTGATATAATGTAAGAAAAGTGAATCAAGATAACTATCGTATGTTTTTAGTGTCGTGTTCGGCGTTTTTGTTGCGTTTTCAGTCGCTTGAAACTGACATCATCTCGTTTAATTCGTGAAACCAGTGGTGAAACGTTGGCAAATCTTGTGGAGTTGAATACTAAAAGACTGTATCGAAGTTGAGGAAAAGAAAAAGAAAGTCGTTGCCTTGTGCCTCTACCCCGATAAAACGTAAAGAACAGACCCCACATGTTAATTACGTTCATCAATTCTGAGTTCTAAGTCTGTCGCATTGTATTGTACATACTGTTTCCTGTTGGATAAATAATTCTTAAACCATAACAGTGGTATTTCCTCATTTATTTCTTGCAGTAGCTGCTGAGAGATTACCAAACATTTACAGCTACAAACATCTGACTTAAGCTGATTTTTGCTACATCAGAAGTCTATTCCTTCATATTACTGGCCAGCAGAATGTTTACAATTGAGGTTGCTTTTCGTGACCCGGGAAGTTCGAGCGAGACGGAAGATGAACTTCGCTCTAAGATTAAGCAAAAATTCACCGAAATGGGATGGATCCTCGATAGCATAGTAATAAGATCTAAGCCAAGAAGACAAGGACAAGAAGCTTCAGTAGAGGAGAAAGAGCAAACTTTGCATTCAACACAGAGAAAATGTCCTAAATGTGGTAAACTCTGGGGAAAACGTATGTTCAACAGACATGATTGCAACCCACAAACAGTTCCAGATGAGTTGAATTCTGCAAGGTGCAGCAATCAACCCATTACTGAACAAACATCAGGCCTTGTGTCAAAGACCCCAGGTCCTCAGCCAAGCACAAACGAGTGCCAAAAATCAGTACAGCATCCAAATATGACCTACACGCATGTTGAACTAGAAACATCAACAACTGAGATTTCAGAGAAACTGAAAATTTATGAAGAAAGGTTGCGGGCAATTGAAGAAATGCTGGTGTGCAGCATTTGTTGGGAAGTGGTGCAACGGCCACATACTCTGGTTTGTGGCCATACCTATTGTACACACTGCATATGGAAATGGGAACAGCGTCAAAAACACGTTGGAAGAGAGCCATGGTGCCCACAATGTTTGATATGCTTTAATTCAACCAGGCTGCTACTTGATAATTCAAGAGGGACTAAAAGTGAAGTGAAACCCTATCCACAAAATGTGATGTTAGGACAAGTTACACAAGTTGTTTTTTCTGATAAGCTCTCCACCAGTGAAGAACCAGGTGGAGATTCCAGGTTCAAGGTATTGGACGGAGATCAGGCAGCCTCATCCTCCAGTGGTGTCATAGACGATGAGATCGAGGAAACTGAAAGTATACTCGGGCCTTTGCTGGGTTCCATTGTGTTTCTTTATGTATCTATATCAATATTTACATATATGTTTTCCTCATGGCAGCGGCCAGGGACTTCCCCCAGCAAGTAAGAATGCGGTCCTTGGTTACTGAACTAAATAAAATAATAATACGCAAAGATCTTTATTAAACACTCCAGACAACAGATGTGTCTAGTTACAAGGATATAAATTTAGTTGTACAGATAACCACTTAAATTACTGACTTTAAATTTGGACAAGACTAAATGCATGCTTATCGGTAGTAATAGGAAACGCGAAAGCAAAGTAGATTTGACTGTTTCAATTTTAGATCATAGTATAAGACAGTAATGTTCGCAGCTTTAAATACCTCGGTATACATATATCTTCGGATTTCACATGGACTGATCATATTGAACACCTAACTGGGAAAATCAATCAGAGGCTTGGGCTTCTCAAGCGTATAAAGCATTTATTGCCTTTCAGGGCGCGTCTACTTTTCTATAACAGTCTTGTTATACCCCTTTTTGAATATGCTGATCTAGTATGGGGCGATAAACATAATATTACCCTTATGTCTAGTTTGCAAGTTTTGCAAAATAAGGCCGCTAAAGTTATTTTAAATAGACCATTGTACTCATCCTCCACTGAGGCATTAGCCGTTCTCAAGTGGCTGCCTCTAGAGAAAAGGCGATTTCAAAGAAGGTGTGTACACGTATACAAATGCATCAATGGCCTAATTAATCACAATATGGACTTGATTAGACAAGACGTACTTCATAGGCATAATACATGTAACAAAGGCAATTTTAGATTACCACATGTCAAAAGAAATTGGGGGAAGCAAAGAACACAATATCATGCCGTTTCCGATTTTAACTCCCTCAGTCAGACGATCAAAGACTCGAGGAATGTAAATACCGGTAGTTTTAAACGTAATGTTTTTAAGTTTTTAATATAGCTACTTACGTTTAATTTTTACTCATACTTATTTTTAATTTTTTATGCATTTTTTGTATCTTTGTAATCCCTTTGCAATTTTATTGCTTTTTTTGTTTTTATAATATATATCTAGTTTTGAGGTCCTTTTTGAAAACCATATCTTTTATGAAAAAGTTTCCTCAATAAAGATGATTATTATTATAACCAATTAACTAACTAGGTAACTAACTAACTAGAGAACAAACATCTGTTTAAAAAAAAGTTCTCTTGAAACGCTCGGTTCTGACAGGCGGGAGAATATAGTTATGACGCCTCTTACGTAACGTAACCATAGTTCGCTCTGGTGGCAGAAGGTCATCCAAAGCTGTTGTTGAATTGCTGTCGGTGATCTTGTCTCATAACTTCTTATCTTTCAGGGCAATAATATTTTCGATTAACAAAGTTCTTTACAGTAACCAAGCTCAAAAGCTCTCTTGAACATCCTGTTTATATGACTTAAGTACTTATGATAATATGCCCAGCCCCATACTTCCACGGCATATGTAAATATAGGTAGAATAAGACTAGTAAAAAGAAGATGAAGATGATCCAACGGCAACTTGAACTGTCAATTCAAAGAAAAATAGAAGAAAAATAGAACCAAAAGAAACCCCTAGCTGTTTGATTCTCTGTCTACTTGTTGTATTTACTTGGGAACTTGTAATCTTAGTGACAGCCCTGTGTTAGAGGTCAAATTTATTTTTAGGATTTTTAACGTAGGGTATTTTTCAACCTAGTTTATTTTTTTAACCCTACAGTAGTTGATTTTCCCCTTTTGTTAAAACTAGTTAATTTTAAACCTAAATAATTTTTTTAACGTCAATGTTTTTGGAAATAAGATTTTAGAATCAATTCATTATTTCAAATGTTAACCTTTTATGTAAGGTTAGGGCTTTGGCACATATATAAGTTATTATGGTTAAGCAATTAGGTTTAGTGATTAGGGTTAAGCACTTGTTTCAAATGGTCAGCTTTCATGTAAGGTTAGGGCCACTGCGCTCATTTTAGTGATTAGGATTAAGCAGGCTAGTTCTGTATTTCCCGACAGCCATGGGACGAGCCCTTGTTTTGCACGAAAGCGAGGCTATAATGCAGGTAACTTTTCACCAAGAAGACAAACAAACATATGAAAACTGCGGCTGAGTTGGCGAAAAAAAGGAACATTTGAAATGCTAGAAGGTTTTGGAGGTCTCAAAACTTACCTACAGGATTGAGAAATCATTGTTTCAAACAGCAAAAGGAAAATCAGTTCGTCATCACTAAGAAACACAACGAGCATGACCATAAATTGATCAAAATAGATATCATTTGACATTAGATTCTCATACATTGTAATTTCTCACGTGTTTGCCCACTCGTCAAGATGGCGTCGTGACAAGGTCTATTGCCTATGTTTGTTTTTGTTTTTGTAAAGAAGTTGACCCGCATTAACCTCGCAATTGTGCTCGTCCCAGGGCCATCGGGGAATATGAAACTTGCCTAATTAGGGTTATAAGCAATCATTTTAAAGGTTAGCTTTCATAAGGTTAAGAACACTGCACAAGATGAGGTTTCACAAAAAAACATCGTTGAAATATTGATATTTGCTCTCAAATTGTAATACTTTTCTGCATAAAACATACCGTTCATAAGTACGAAGGAAGAAAGATGAAAACTTTCTACAAATGCTTTCCAACTTATTTTAGTGCATGGAACTGACATGCTTTCGATATAGCTTAATACCCTATTGTTCAGCAGCGTTTATGCAGGCAGCAGAAAATGTAAAAAAAAATCTTTGTCGGTCCTTGAAAATCATGGAAAATTTTAGTTTTGTAATAATAATAATACAATAATTTATTATTTATAAGGTGCAAAATGGCATTTAAATATATGATCTAATGCGCTCTAATCATTTAGTAGATTAGTTACTGCAGATGACAAAGCAAGGACAATGTAAGATAGAGAGAAGTTATTGAACAGTCTGAACGGCACACACTTAGGTGGACACCAGAGTTGTTGTCTGTTAATTAAAGTGTTTAAGGTCAAAAATATCCTAAAACACAGAATCCTTAAAAATTTGTAAAAAGTGGCAGCTAAACCCAAGGTCATGGAAAACTTAAACAGGTCATCAAAAAAGGTGCGGAAACTCCTCGAATTTGAAGAGTTTATAAGAGTCAAATTCTGACTCTTTGCTATAGTCAAAATTAATGTTTGTTGTTGTACACTTATTTAATCTGTCAACAGGCATGTATGTCTTCACTCTTCCAAACTTTGTAACTTTCTTGGCATCATCATTTTCTAGACAGAAATGATTTTTCCACTCAGAACATGTGGGTGTAATATCCCTTTATCTACACAGGTGGATTCTGCCATGCATTCTCAAGAACAAAATCTTGACCTCAATAAAAGTCGTTTGAACGAGCAAGTGGATGAAGTGCCCGTTTGGTTCATGCACAGCAGGTAGCCCCAGCTCAAAATATGAGCAGGGGAATCTTTGCATAAAATTCAAAACATAAGGATTTGTATAGGAAAAAATCTATCATTTCTGTAGACCTGTGAAAATGAGAGGATTTCAATTTTAAAAAAAACAGCTTACCTTACTTAAATGTGTGTTTTATACACATCTCTCCTGTGTAAGGTAAGCTGCTTTTTTTAAATTTTTTTTTAAAATCGAAATCCTTTAATTTTTCCATTTTCTTAGGTTACAGAAACCCCGGGGGATGGGGTTACTCTGGATTTCAAGTGACAAGGATGATTGCAGGATTTTTTTGGGTTAGAAATTTTATTAATTTCGGGTTTTTTTTTGGGTGGAAAAATTTGGTGATGGCAAGTAATTTTTTGGGCAGCTTGATTTAAGAAGTGATTTTTTTGGGTATTCAAAACAATCTGAAGATTTGTGACAGTTACATCATTTAATGCTTTTGGAAATTTTATGTCTCGGAAATTCAGCATGGTATTTTTTGGGGAGTTTAATCAGTGGTCCAGGATTTTGGGGGGGTTTGATTTTTGCCCCCATTCGATCATTTCTGTCACTTAAAATCCGGAGTAGTCCCCTGGGACAGAAATGATAGGTTTTTTAACCTATGCATACAAATCCTTATATTTTGAATGTTATGCAACAATGCTGTTGCTCATATTTTGAGCTTGGGCTAATTGTTGTTGTTTCTTACACATCTCAGGTCGATATAGCTGTTTCTATCAATAATTAATTTTGAGGTTGGTCTTTGTTTTTGGGTCTTAGGTCTTAGGTCTTTGTTTTCTCTCATGTTCTAATACCATAAAGAGCAATGGGAAAATATCTGTATATCTTATTACTGCAGAGGTTTACAGGTATGCTGTCATTAAATAGTGCAAGGACATTGGCTTTGTTCTAATAGTCTAATGCCATAGAGTAGGCAGGTCGGTGAGGCATGTTTTTGAACTTAGAAGACCATAATTCCCAGACAATTAGACCAATTTTAGGGAAATAACACTGCTCACCCTTGGAAATATGGTAGGAAGAGTACTACAAAAGGGTAGGATGGGGCTGAAAAAAGGGATGTGAAAATGTGAAAGAAGATATGGAAGTTGGGAGATGGAAAATGGGAAATAAAGAGGAGGAATGATAACTCAGAAGAACATTGAATGTATAAAATAAATTATGTGTTATGGTGTACACCCTACCCCTGAGTGTGTTTGTAAAGAGGGATGATAATTAATGTGAGGCTGAAAATTTCATAAGAGGAGTTTTATGTAAGTCGTAAGGGGCTAAGAAGAGGGATCAAAGTGACTGTGAAAGCTAGAAGAGGTGGAAATTAGAGAGAGGGGATGGTATCTCAGAAAATCATTGAATGTATAAAAGTAAATTATGTCTATAATGTACCCACTGCGTTTGTTATAAGGGATGATTATTGATGTACTAAGGCTACACATTTGATAGGAAGTTTTTTACGTAAGTCTTGAGGGGCCGAGAAGTGGGATGTGTAAACTGTGAAAGAATAGGTGGAAGTTGGAAGAGGCAAAATGAAAAAAGTAGAAAGAGGAAATGGTAACTCAGAAAATTATCATGTAGAAGAGATCATACGTGCATATGTACTCCGCTGTGTTCATTAAAAGGGATGATAATTGACGTATTCAGGCTGGAAATTTGATCGGAAGAATATTATTAAAAGTGGCACTTAGAATTAAAAGGGATGTGTAAACTCTGTGAAAGAAGATGTGGAAGAGGAGAAATGGAACGAGAGAATGGGAACTCGGGAAACAGAACACCGTCAGAATTGTGAAAAATGAGGATAAGGGTTGAAAGACAAGAAATTTAATACTACTAATTAATTACTAAGTTTTGTAGTTAAGAACCCCAAGGGGTACGTCCCCTCTATAATGGCCTATATGGGGAGGCTATGCCAAAAAGAGGTACATTTTCAGGGTCCAGGTGTGTGAAACCCTTAGGGGTGATGTGAACTTGCTGAAATGAGAATTGGCATTTTATTTTTTTAATCCAGAATTAGAATTTGCCGTTTCTTCCCAAAACAACACATGCTCATGCTCAGTTTCAGGTCAAGTATTTTTAATGCAATTAACTGGTAAAATTGTACTTACATCCCCGCATGCACACATAATGTTAATATTGAAACATAATCATAAAAGTATTTACACTGTTTTCTTGAGCATGTAAATTCATATTTATAAAATTACAAAGATCCCGTGTACACATGTACCAGTACATAATGTACAAAATAAATATCTAATTAACCTCACGATCTGCAAATTGAGAACTGATTGTTCTTGCATATTTCCAGTTCATTTCACGTTCTTTAGTTGTTCTAAGACAGAAGAGCTTTATCAAGCCTGAGAAAAATTTAAAAGGTTGCGTTTGAGGGTTTTTTGCACAATTTTCCATGCCCAACATCAATTTTATTCTAATAATTTCAATACACAATCAAGAGTGAACGTTATGAGAAATAACGAAATGATCACCAAAGGGCAAATGCTTTTGATCTTTTGTCGAAGTCTCTTAACTAATTCCTTAAGGAAATGTATGGTGATCAGTCTTGAGAATGTGTATGTGGATATTGGGACTCGAAGTGTAACCTTTTTTCTTGACATATAACTAAGCCTAATTTTTCCCCGTAAAAAGTCACATATGGGTTGTTAACCCATCAACGTCCAGCTGGAGTCAATCATAGAAAGGCACTTAGAATCTTGCTGTGATGTAGTTAGTTCACTCTTATTGCGTTCTACATGGCGCCATGGGTTTGGCTTTCCTATTCTAACTTGTCAATCTGTTGATGAAATCCTGGTGTTACCATTTAAATGAAACCTCTTCGATAGATCTTTTGCGTGGTAGGATTTATTTCCTTTGATATTACGAAAAGAAATTTCGATTTTTGGGGGGAATTCTCACTTTGAACTCCTCTAAGAGTTAATAAAGAGCAATTCCATTGTGAACCTCGTTTGCGTGTTCAAACCCTTTGTTGTTGTCTCCAATGGTTACAGCTCTCCCATTGGATGATATGTTTGATCTATGGACATAATTTCCGCTGTTTCTCCTTTGTCGTGCTCTTGAATTGTCTCTTAGCTTTTTTATTGTGCGGTATAATAAAAATGTTACTAAAGTGACAATGAGTAAGGATCCCACAACTGCTGTTGCCAGTATTCCGCTGGAAATGCCAAATTTCTTTTCTGATTTCTTGACTGAAGGTGTTGGCGTGGTGGTAACGCCTAGGAAAGAAATAATAAAGTTAATCATTTAACCAGATTTTTTTCAAACTTAGCACAATTGTTGGCCACATATTAAAACTGCAATAAAAAGATGGGCGCTGCTGTGCTTGTTTTCGCTCTGTGTGCCCGTAATTATGAGTGTATTTTCCTAATTGCGCACAAAAAATAAGCTTGCTGTTCCCTTGTTATGAACCAATTACTGTAGAAATAGTTTCTGCTACAGTGGGGCTGTTCTTTGGAACAATTTACCCTCTGATATGAGACAAGCAAAATCTTCGACTCGCTTTCGAAACCTGTTAACTTCTAACTCGAACACGGCATTCGTGGAAAAAAAGCTTTAATTTAATTTGATTTTTCTATTTATCTCTCCTACATTACATTATTGCAATTTGTAATATTTTAAGAGTTAATTCAATACTTTGTATTATTCTAGAATTTGAAAGTACATATGCATTTAGCTAGTGATGATGATGATGATGATTTCCGAGTTCCAAAAACTCTCCCTTTCAAAACGCGGCTAAGTGCAAAGCCTTTCCGGTGAAAAGAGTTTTATTTGCGTAGGAATTAAAATTCATTTTCATATCAGTAGCTTTTCACTTTCCCTCGCTTGGAAACAGAGGATTGGTGCAACTCGAAAATGACCTATTCGCCAACCCTCGGGGCGGGGGGCACCGGGGTGGGGGACCTTCTCCCTATTGGCCTATTATGGGGAGGCTCCGCCCGAAAGGGGTACCTTTTTCAGCCTTCAGGTACATAGAAGGGTAGGGATTGCACTAGTTGAGGTATATGAAAGGGTAGCAAAATCTGTCAGATGCATTTTGTGGCTATGAAAAATTCGAGAAAACCTTCTGGTTTTGTGATTTATTAATATTTAGGACAGTGCGTTTTCAGCAGTTGAAGGGGCTGCAAAGGTCAAAACTAGATATATGTGAAAGGGATACCATTTGTTATATGAAAGAGGTACCTTTTTAAAAAAAGATGGTATATAAAGGGGTACGAGGCTCCCCGTATAAAACTCTGTTTAGTACCCGCCCGCCCTAGGGGCCAACCCATCTATTACTAATAATGCCACTGTTTCATGTTTTGTTCATAACATTAATTTTTTTATACCTGGAGGGTTTTTCTTTTTCTTCTTCACTCTGCCTTTCTCTCTGTTCTCTGTTAATGTGTAACAAAGAATTTAATGTTATTGAGGGGGTCCGGTGATGTAATCTTATGGCTTTACGGTCATTTCCGGCGCCCCGGTTACTCAGCCCCCTAAGTAACCTTTAACATCGCTAAAAGAACGAGATATATTGCATATTTAAATGACTCGAAAATATGGGGCTAAGTAACCGGGACGAAAAGACCTGGGGGCGAAATGATCGGTTACCATCTCATAAGAGAACTCAATTAAAGTTTTCTAGAAAGCTCTTTCTAACAACTGGTTTTGCTACTTTTCATGGGAGATCTTTAAACATTTCGTCGTTACATTATTTATCAATTCATGACCTACAATTGTGGGTTTGAAACAATCTATAAGCAGCTGATGCTTTTGAAATGTCTCTGCTTTAAATCCAACCTTAAAAGCGGTTTATAACCAATTTGTATCTTATGTAGGGTGGGATGATTGAATCTCCAAATTACCGCATAAAACTCCGATGATAAGCCCGGCCCTTATTATTTTTACCAAAGGCCTCTTACATACGCTGGGGCTTATTACATCTGCATTGGAAAATAATTTGCATTTCATAAAAGGCTGGGCATTTAACTGGAGGGAAGGTTTTGTTGGAACCTTTTCACTCAGGCAGTGCTAACGGTTGTTAAATATTGGGGCATTGACTTCAAACGCAGAGGTCACAGAGCCTCCGTATGGGCTACCTGCAGACGCCGATTTCGACGTATGTTTTCCATCAAATCAGGCGTCGGTTTTTCAGGCAAGATCGTTATGCACCAAAAATTGTTTTGCGTGGTAATGCTACTAGCGAGCTCAGCGCAACCACCTCGACGACGAAAACGCCAAAAAAAAAACCATCAAGTTAACACGCTGATATCTTACCAGGTACGAGTCTACGATTGCAGAAGTCTGTTTCGCAGCATCTAACGTCCTCTTTGTGTGGCAGAACATTGCTGCAAATCAAATCTCTATCCTCACCATCAACAATGCATCTTTTGACATGTTTCCCATCTTCTGGGTTGCGATAGATAAGGCATGAGCCATCCGTCGTGCATGTCTTGTTTTCACATGTAGTGCATAGGCACTGTAACCTCTTATGTCTGCTTTTGATTTCTAATATGTAAAAAAAGAAAGCAAACTTCAAGTTCAGTCTTTAAACAGGGGCACCCAACGGCAATTTTCGGGAAAATATCTGTTCGGAAGACGATTTGAGAACTAGAATTTTCGGAACATTTGTTGTAAAATTTCTTGCTTGCCTGCCTCTCCTAGGATTTTCGAACATCTACAGAATGGTATAATTACCCATTTTAAACGGATATTTACCCTAAGAAAGGCCACCTAGAATTTTCGGGAGCCTTTTCCTGACTGAAATTTTCGAAAAGGTAAGTTTTGATCCCTATAATTTTCGAATCACTAGACTTTCAGCTAAGAAATCCGAACAGATGAAAAGTTTTTAGGGGATAAAAATATGCCTATAACTACCGTTTAAATACTAAAATGCGTTGAACAATGTTATGTTTCAGTGGTTTTGAACTATATCCTCGTTGGGTGCCCCTGTTTAAAAACGGTTATACTCTATCATTTGCAGCAATCTTGTTTGTAGATATAGTTATGCGAAGATGTACCACAAATCTCCACTCTCCTCCACTCTTGGAAATGACAACTAGTTTGGGCAATTAATGAACTGCCTTGGTGACCCTCAAACTCCTTTTTTCCGCCTTTTTTTGTCGTTTATTGTACTTTACATCACCTTCACTATCCTCTCTTCTTGCCGTGCATTGTTAGTACTCAAATAGAAAATTATGAGCTGGCTGAGCGTAACACTTTGCTCTAACTTTTAAACGCCGAAGTAAACAATAAAAAAGGTGAAGATTATGAACCAGAAAGCCTTTAAGTAATGATTGCATCGCTTGATAGACAAAGGCTGCACCCTGTCCATTGTACGTGACCGAGAATTTAGTTCGTCCAAACTGGTGTTGGAGGACAAAGCGAAACAGCTGGCTGGCCGTGGTAAGCGCCCAAACAAAGCTCGGCAAGTATCAGAGGAGGAAGAAGAGGTAATAACCCAGAATCTTTAATTCAAACATTTTCAACAATTCCATGAACCGATCAGCCCGTTTCTGCGGCTTGCAACCTTTAAAAACATCGAGAAAAATGTTGTTTTGGCTGCAGTGATGATATTGTCCCTGTTAGGGATGAAAGGCTTACTGATATTTACACATATTTGAATTCACACTTTTTAAGAAAGAATTTATTTTGCCTCACAGTTGAGTGAAGAGCTTTCGCAAACAATACGAAGACCAATCACAACGCCAAAAAAATTAATTGACAAAGGTGAAATAATAGCGGCTGACTATTGGTTGGCTAAGGTCTTATATTTAATTTTTTCTCGGCAAAAGTGTTGGCGATAAAGCCGCCCCGGTTCCGCCTTGCCTGTAATTGCCTCGAAATGCATGGAGAACAGTGAAAGAATTTGCTTATTGACTTTTGAACAACGTGAGCCTCACTTCGGAGTTTCGGGTTTTCGGTTTTTGGTGATTTGTTGGTGTACCTAAAGATCCAGTAACTAAAACCCTTATAACCTTGTCTTTACACCCTCAGTTGCACCTGCCATAAAATCGGTGCTTCAATTTTGGGGGAGCGAAAATTTAGTTGTCGACGGATCATAAACAAACAAACCTGATTTGGGCCTCGGAACAGGCCAACGTGACAGGTAACACAAACCATCACCAGCGCTCACTTCAGGGTAGTTTGGAACGTACAAAGGGAGGGAGATGTTGTATCTCTGCAATTCGTCTTTACAGCTATCTCTGACTTCCTTACGCAGTGATTGGCACGTGTCTAGGGTGTGGCCTTTATTGGTAACACACGGTCCCGTTTGGAGAAAGCAGGCTAGTCTAGTTAAGTCCGATGAACAAGAACTGTTTGAGACTGGGGCTAGCCTGTTGATCAAGTTCTGGAGCCGGGCTTTGGTCTCATTTCCCAGGCCGCTGAGATTGCTGGTTACGCAAGCGGGCTTGGTTACTGCCTCACAACTTGGTAGTGAGCGATCTGTGGTAACAACACAGTCAGTATTAGTCAGCAAAAATGAATTCAGTAGAAATTTCTAGTGGTTCTCAGCATGCGCTCACTAACCCTTTCATTTCTTAGAGTTGCCAATGTAAAAGATGCAGAATCCTAAGAAACATAGAGTACGTGCAAAAGTTTTCTTCTGCATTTCGTCCACAATCTTAAAAGGTGACAAATCACTTCACCATTACTTGGTCAAGAAACGAAAGGAAACTGGCCACGCCTTAGAAATCATACGATTTCCATTGAGATCCCAAAGTTCCTAACCATTATAATGAGTCATTATCATATAAAAGACACATCTTACCTACAAAGCTAGAATCCTAACTCGTACTGAAGTATACAAACGTGACAAAAAGTAATCTGTATTTGCTATCTTTAGAATTAAATTACTGTTACTTGAGACATTCCCTATTGACATAATTTGAACATTTTACGATTGTGTTTGGTAACATCTCAACCTGAAGAGGACTTGTTTCGCTAGTATAGCCGAAAAGTTGTTTCCAATTTTGTACGTTGTTTTATCAATATAATGACTTTCATTTTTGCCGTTCTTTCCTACTTTTTTCGTCTTAACTTATAAATTTTTTGTAATTCGCTGTGTGACGTTCTGGACGCATGCTGTTAGCTAGCTGCGGGCATGTCGAACTTTGAAAATTTTTATGGAAAGTTACCACTGAAATGTGCGTGTAAGGTGTGTGCGCCGATTAATTCTGCCGTATTTTTTCGTCTAATATATTATATTTGGATATCAGTAGTCTGATCAAATTCCGAACTAACAGGATCATCGTTACGCACGGCTTTTGCTTCATGTCAATGTATTTATATCAATGCAACAAGCCCTTTCTAAGGGGTGGTGTATCATTTAGAAGTTGTCTATTACTATCAGCTAAACTTTCCCATTTAGGTTAGGAGCACAGCTTGCTGTTGTTAGTTATGTCGTGGGAATATACCTTGACCAAGCGTCAGTTATAGGCAAGTTATTTTGTGGCAGTAAGCTGTCATTTTACCAAATTGTCAGCTACAATCAAGCCCGAACAGGGTGTTTGCGCCGTAAGCCATTCCGAATGGCTAAGTCAATGGGTCTTTAGGTTGTTCTCACCTTCCTTTCTCAGTATCGACTGCATGCGAAAGGATTGTGAACGCACGAAATTGTTCCTGGCTAGCTTTGGTCGGAAATAAAATATCTTTCATTTTTGCCTTTTGTGAGTTTCCATTCCCTTCAAACTACTTCTGTATTTGTTACTGAACCGATTTTTTCAAGAACACCCGCTACCTTGATTCATGGCAAGACATATGAAGGATGAAGTAACATTTATATTCGTCCTCATTTTGTCGTCTGTTTATGTAGACAAAAAGCAAATACACAATGCATATTAATTTATTCTTCATATTACAAAACGGCAAGAAAACTACTAACCAATTATCATTATTTGAAGTCGCTTTACTTTTCTTTCCATTTTGTTCTACTTTACCTTCTGAATTCTTAAAACAAGCATCGGATGAAACCTCCTAATCCTTGGCATTTCCTATTTTTAAACTGACTTTCCTGAGTAAACCAAGAGAGAAAGCGCGAACAAAAATGTGTCGCTTCCCAAGGCTGTTCTAATTTTTTATATGTTTATGTATTTTTTAACTGTGATATGCGGAAATTTCTGTGCGTCACTGAGAAAAAGGAAATTATTTTGGCAGGCTTCTCGCCTACTTTCTAAAAAGGTTCCGTTCACCACACGTTTTCTATAAAACTGCTGACTTAATATAACCAGTATTGTGTCTGGACATATTTCCAAAGAAAGATTAGATTCACATGATAATCGTATCAGTCAGCCCGCGTTTGAAACCTATGGTCTATAGTGTCTCCAGTTAAGTACTTCCTCGCAGTGTCATAGTCGAAAAAATACCGAAAAAATATTTATAGCAATGATGGGCATTGTTCTAATCCACAGGAGTTGTTTCAGTGATCGCTGAAAAACGGATATTTAGATATTTAGCCGAAGTTTCATTATTAATTGTAGTATATATTTGCTTACTTTTATTTTCTGTTTGAGTTGGTTGCTATGAGTGAAACATCGAGAAGCTAATATATATACCATACGCGTACAAATTTCTCAAAGACAAAAGTTACCATAACTCCTGTGTCTAATATAAATGCGTGGGGGTTCCAGTTTTTCGACCCTGAGCAATTCTTTTAAAGACAAACGTGATGTAATTTACTAATTTACAAATGCATTGAATAAAGCTAATTTTGTAATTGTTTCTCTGGAGATAACAAAGACTGAATGATTTTAATTGAAAATAATGTTTTTTTATTTACTTAATATTCGGAATATTGGCCGTGTTAACAAGCAAGTTTAACACGCTGTGTCGCGCGACTTAATTCCTAAAGGCGGAAGAGTACATGTTTGGCGCCTTTTCGAAAATCAAGTAATGGTAGAAAAAATGCTGTCACAGAAAAGTTGTTTTCCAAGACAGTGAACGATAAGAGAAAACTAACTTTCTTAAAATAGTTGAAGAATTGACTGTCTCTTCCATTAATTAAGTTTGAACTGAGTGGTTATTGGGAAACTTGATTTTGAGAGTATCCTATTGTTTTCTAACCACTTCCCTTAGAGCCGGATCAAGACGACCATTATCTATCATCCTGAAAAAGGAAGAATTCCCTCAGCTTAGGAAGAACTTTCCCACGATACTTGGTTTTTCACGAAGTCGAGTGAATATGTATTTCGTTCGAAAGGCCTTCGTCGCGAAATAAATTTGGTCAGAGCCTTGTTGTCAAAAAAAAGAAAAGGCGGTTATCAAACTTTTCCAACTAAAAAGGATTAAAGTCAGATCTTTTTTCTCTTCACTAGGTAATACAGTCTATATTCTAAATAAATAAGGTTTGATATAAACACAAATTTGAAAAGGCTAAAATGCCCTAGCATAAACGCATATTCTCGATTAAAATTCCTATTTATAGAAATATCAGAAAATAGAATATTACATTCTAAAATTTTTGCTTGACCTTGTTATGTGGATGCCATGAAAAATGCTCTGAGTAGTTAGTTCAAACTTACCTCTCGTCATGTTTGCCCGGGGAATGAATCCTTTGGGTTTAAAACATTGCGTTGAATTTAAAAGCCCACAGTAGGCAACATAGCGATTATACAGAGCACGTTCCCTTAACGCTGTTTCGCAATCGTCGACAAATTGATCGCAAACTTCTCTGCAAGGCAATACAAGTCCTTTGGCGACACTGTCAGAACATTTTGGAACATAACGTGCACACATAAAAGCTTCTGAATGCGACGAACAACTTTTGAAGTGTTTCGCAAAAAAATTGAGTTCCGACGACACGAACTCTTGATATCTCTGTTGTCCAACGTTGGAAAAATTCGCCGTGAAACTGTAGCCTGCTTTTGTGCAGGCTGGTAGAACTGAAGTGTCAATTCTTTCACATTTTCTGGCGAGCGTTAAGTCAAAATGCGCCGTAAGCGCACTGCAGAAAATAGCAATCAGTAACAACATCGGGGCTCGCAGACTACTTGGTTCTTAACGCGAGAGAGACGGCAAATGATTTAATTACAATAGCCCGTCATTAAAAGAGAAACATAGCGTGCTTGATTGCTATATTAGTCGAGTGGGTTTCAGAACATCGAGTGACTCAAAAGGACCAATACTGGAAGTAGTGCTTACAAAAAGGCAATTTAGGAAATGCCATTTAATATGTTTTTCATTGGAAATCATCTGTGCTTAGTGTACCGGTCGTAAGCGACAAGTAAACTCCTCGTGTAAGCTTCTTCTTTGTGTTATTTGTTGTTCAACAAGAATTTTGAGTCGACTTATCTCGCGGAAAATTTCTGAGAAGGTGGCGTGCGGATTTCGTCGATTTTTTTTCTGACGAACAATTAAGGAGGGGAAAATGTTTTAGTGCTGATCAAAACCAAAAAAACTCAGTTTACGAGAATGTTTTTAAAATTATTGAGTAAAAAGTAGTTTTCAACTCTGAAAAGAAAGAGAAGTCACGTTTATTGTGCGCTGGGAAATTTTTTTTTTAGTACAAAAGCTCTTTAGATGTCGCACCAAATACTCGGTTTTTTAACGTCATTAAGCAAAAACGACGGTCCAGTATGGGAAACGGTCAAAATCTGCGTGCATTTACTCAGTAATGCTATCAAGAGCACGTGGATAATCAAATGTCAGTCCACTTTTTACACTAGCCGAGTCTATGTAAAAATCGTTTAACCTTTCAAACGAAGCGAAGCGATTCTCTCTTGAAGAGCTGTTCCGGCTTTTGCAACATTTTTAACTCTTTTGTTTATGACATTGGCCGTCATGGCTGTTTTTAAGTCTGTAAACGGGTTAAGGTTCAAGTGCGTGATAAGGCCGAACTATTTCAAGCGACTTGTTTGAAAACAGGAAACGTCTTAAAATAGAGGCACTACTTAAAATAACGGGCTGGCGGTATAGACCTGGTGTCGTTGGACGTTTTGAAAAAAGATATTGCCAGTTTCCCTGAAGCGGGGAGGGGAAGATGGCAAGGCTTTAGACTGAGAGGCACCGCCTCGAGAGATCCAAAGATTTATCCTTTTAATATCTACCTTTTTTTATTTCCGGCAGTAAACTCTTTCATACATCTTCGACATCCTATACAGAAAATCAGAGATCTTTTTACTCGGCCACAAATGCAAATGGTCTCCCTTTTATAAATGCTTGACGAAACTGGTCCCTATCGAGTTACTTTGATTGAATTTTTCACTCAGACAACCCGAAGATCAGGAGTTTACTCGGGGTGGCTGTAATGTTCTAGAGCCTTTGCCAATTGGACCTTCCAAATGTCACTAAAGAACAGTTTTCTATACTTAAAACCGTGAAATCCCTCTATTCACCTTCCTGCAGACTAAAGTTAAAGATAGCCTTTTCGTGCAGAGACTTCTCTTATACTCCGTTATAAGACCCTCCAGGGAAATTTACTTTAGGAAATCAGTTTTCCCCTCCCAAGTTAGTTTATGCGGGTATCATGGTTAGCAAATATTTTTTCAAACGTGCTTTATATTTATTTTGGGTACACATTTTTTAGTCGCTGCGCAGTTTTTTAATGGGGTCAAAGATCGAACGTGAGATCGGCATTTCTAGCTTGTAAACTTCGACTATGGGGTGTCAGCATTCCCAACAATATTAAACTATAGAATAATGGCATTTATCTTTGCATAGTAATTGTTTGGGTTAGAGCGGTTTTCACTTGACTGTCGAAAGGGATTGGTTTTGGTTTTGGTTTTGGTTTTACTACGCCCTTTGGTTGGCTAGTGTATTTACTTTGGTTTTGGTTTTACGACAGTCAAGTGAAAACCGCTCTAAAGATGAAAGCAGTTGTAAAGATGTGCAGTACGTTTTAGTCTCGGTCGACGCGCCCTATTTACAAGACATCTGTTAATTTCCTTTCCTCTGAACTCTCGTTTTCCCAGGTACGAACTGTTACGTCGGAGAGAAGCAATAACATGTTCTTCGTATTCAGGTGAAAACCATATTATGGAAAGTATTTAATATATACATTCAGGCAAGCCTTAAATTTAGTTGCGGTTTGAAAGGGGTCTGTTTTTAAGTTCATGTAAAATTAACAAATCTGACATCTTGAAGGTAACGGTTTGCAAGCAAGGAAAGTCACAGCGGGATCAAGAAATCTTCATAGACCGTTACCTGATTCCTGGGTCTACCCGTGCAATGCCTTGCTACTTGCAAAGGATAAGGCTCCGCCGTTTGCCCGCAATTTTCGTGCTCGTGGGATTAACCCTTTGTTTCTTAGACAGAGGGCGTTACTCACGTTAAGCGGGCGGTGGAGCTCCGCTTTTATTTTCCCTTTTGATTAGTGTATAAAATGGGTTTTACGTTCTGTATAAGGCTATGGGATTTTTAAGGTTCCTCACAATGATTTTGCGTCAAAAAATTGCAAATTATTTCATCGGTTCAGGCTTTGCGCAGATGTGACACAACACTGCTCGTTGTTTTCCCACGCACAGTGCAACACATGGATTGTGTTAATATCGTATTTCCGTGTTCCCGGCCTTAGATCATAATATGAGCAAATTGGTACGCATTTCTCAATTGTCTTAAATCAGCGATATTTTCCAAATCTGTGAAAGTACAGTTGTTTGGCATGATCATTCAGTCTTCACTCAATGAACTCGTTTTAAAGTGTCCAGACAATTCAGGTAACGCTGAGTGTCTGTGCCATTTCTTACAAAGCGTTTCCTTACTCACGTCCCAACCGTGTGGTAATTACATACAAAAATGTCCTGCATAAAAGACATTTTATTTTGTAAGTGTTTTTCTCTCGGCTTCTTTCAAGGAATGTTGTACAGTTTTTCAAAGAAATTCCTTGACGTACGGAATACCCACCTTGTACGTGCCCTGATGCACGTAACCGCGCGCTCCACTGGTTCCTTGGAACACGGGGGCAATATGTTACTATATTCTAAAATCTCTTCTTGTCAAAGAGATTTTTTTGGCCTCGATATTATACCTCGGTTTGAAAACAACTTTTTACATCAGCATTTGTTTATTTCCCGTTACTTTTCAACAGTTGTTTTTCCCTTTACGTAAGCTGAGTTGGCGCGCGATCAATTCGCCCACCACAGTCGTTCGCTTCCGTTGGTACTGGTCATGCATACTTGCCTACATTCTCGCTGTAAATTACCTCATGCATGGACGCCCTTGTCCGTCCTACGGCCCGTACTACGTTTTTAAGTTCGTAATAAACGGCCCTCTCTAATAAACGACCCCTGCCTAATAGACGCCCCGCATGACAATTGCTCCAAAATACTAGGAAGCAGAGAAATTCAGCAAAATCATTCAATGTATTCAGTTTCTTGGTTGATTAATAAAAGTATGCACATTGCATTTTGTTCACTGTCCAGTTCAAAGTAAGGAAACTGACATTGAAGTTGAGCGAGTGGGAAGTAACACTCCAGATGGACTTCGTAGTCTGCTACTTATGAATTGTTCTGATATATTCGCCGAAAGCAAATTAGTTTTGTGGAGTTTGTTTCAGTTAAGGGAATAAACTCATCCTATCTATTAAATGCCCACGCGCTTGGGCTCCCAAAATAAGACAGACGCTCGGGCGTTTTTTCATTTTTTTTTCATTCAAAGAGTTTTAACCTTAAAATATCTCTCTTAATAGTTAACTCTAGCCAAGCCAACGCCATCACTTTCCTTGTACTGCCCGTTTACAGTTGGGCATTGAATAGGCCGGGCACCTAAAATAGGTTAATGTGGCGCACGGCTTGGAACAGGATTTGGAAGGAGTCGTGTGTAGTTAATAGGGAGCTCTAGAAGCAAAGCTGGGACGGCACCGGAACCTCTCAATCAGAGTCGCGTTTTTTAAAAGTTGCGATTATTCCGGGGGGGATACTCCCTTATGTAAGCTGTATAGTTATGTGCCGCCCCAAAGGGTATGGTTTTTGGGCCTTTTGGTCTGAAAACGGGCATGGATTTTAGAGGTCACTGCACGAGGTCTGAAAATGGGTTTGGAAAATGACATGTTTTGGTCTGAAATAGGGTCAGGATTTGGTGAACCAGGCGGCACAACCCAACCAAGAATTCCCAGGAGTAACCCCCCCCCCCCCGCCCCCGAGCAATTATTCCAACTTGCGTAAAATGTCATGCAAGCCATTTCCAAGTTGCTCCGTCCGAGCCTTTGTTTCAAAGCGAGGCTAAGTGGGAGGCCATTCATGTTTTTTTTTTCATTCTAATGCAAATAAATCTCATTTTGACCAGAAAGGTTTTGCAATTACGCTTGTTCTGAAAGTGAGGGTTTTGGAAGTCGGAAATGGCCAAAATCACCTGGAGTGGAATTCTTGGAGACCACACCTAAGTTTAGAAAGTGAAAGAAAATTTCGTCGTCCTGTTTATATTTCCTCCATACAACGTCTTATCATCTCTAAACTTCACTCTCGCCTTTTTCAGTTACTGAATTCATTTCTTCTAGCGTTGCTACTAAAATAAATATTTTTTACTGAAATCTTTTTAATTTGTATTAAATTTATCATCATCTCTATTGTTTTGTTGTTAGTCTTTATTATTTATTGTTGAATTTAGGTCATATCGTAAAACTTCCAAAATATCGTCTTTGACTCTAAAACAGCTTTAGACGAGTTTATAGTTTACTACATTTTAAGAGTTCAAGTAGCATACTTGCTACTAGAGGAGGGGACAGAAAGTCTCTCAGACTATTGCCGTAAAACTCTGTGTAACGATTAAGATTGTTGTTGTTGAACATGCTTGATGATGAGGGAATGTTTCGACCAAGCGGGGGAGGTATCTTTTCTCAATTACTGAATAATCTCAACGTGTTTCAACCGATTTCGACCTGACTCAACAATATCCGCTTTCAAGGCATTTTTCGGCTGTTTTGTGCAAAGCTGACAGTAATGATCAACATAACGGAGACAAGAAAGAGATAACTATCTATTTTCCTTTTTTTTCCTTTTGAACTTGACATAAAACCCTTTTTGTTATTTCCCATCGTAACAGTTTAAGTATTTATCAGTGATATCAGCATTTTTTTCATAATGAACGATGGATAACATGACAAAAATGCCAGATACGGATCTGAATTAACTTGCTAAGTACGTATTTCAAGCACTTATTAAAAAGACGTTTTTTAGGTGAAGGTGTCTGCGTAAATCCGGTGACCGATATTAAACTCTGGCAAAACTATTCGACCATGCACGTGTTTTGCCATTTCAAAACAAATAGAAGCATGCCAAAACATTCGATGTAATTTTCAACTGAGCTGCTTATAAGAGACGTTAAACTCAGGTCAATAAAATATTGCTGACAGATCGGCGAAAGAAAGGTCTTTCAAGAAACTGGATAAGCAAAGAGAAACAATAAGATGTATGAACCCGGAAAGTTAACAACATGCACAATAACTCCTAAACCTTCCATGGTATTTGTAAAAACGGCTTTAAATTAGAATATTTTGCTCCTTTCCCAGGCCCAAAATGTATTTACCTTGATGAGTAAAATAGACCGTCTTACGGTACACAGCTGTTATTTGCTGCGTTTGCACCATTTCCGCCATTTCTGTTGAAATATTAACTCGGATCGGGGTCTGGAAGGGAGGGAGGAAGGGGGGGGAAGGAGAGGGTGCTGATCCCGCATTCCCGCTCCTTTTTCACGAAAATCCCGCATCGATCCCGCACTTTTTTCATCGCTTTTCCGAATCCTGTTTTTTGTTTCCAAAAAAAAACGACTAATTTCTGCAAAAGCTAATAAAATAGTGTAAGATGTAGATTGGCTCTTTCGATTGATACATTGAATTTACGCGTGTTTTAAGGCCATTGCAAAAACGAAATAGCCATTCATACCTCAGTATACCAAAGCGGAGGGGAAAAGCCTAGAAAAAAACGAAGAGGGAGACAAGATAGGATAGGAAACACCACTGAACTTTCGCCTGTTTGATTCGCAGCTACCGCTGGAACGTAGGACTTCTCGAATTCCCGACAGACAAGCAAAAAAAATCCCGCATCCTGTGCCTAAATTTTGATGAATCCTGCTTCCCAGCCGCGCGGGTAGTAGTCAAATCCCGTTTCCCGTCAAAATATTTTGCGTTTTCCCGAATCCCGCACCGTATTTTAATGAAATCCCGGATCCCGAAAATACCCTTCCTTATGGAGATGTGTAATGTGACCGGTGCTACACGTGGATTAGTACCTTGATACTCTATATACACGAACACGTGTTCCTATATTTATGGCCTAAAGTATATTTTTGGAGGGGACGTATCAATGGGCCGCTGAATAAGCGTGCATACCAATTGGCCGGCTCGACGTTGCGGTGCTACAATAGACGGGAAAAGACAAAGTCTAGAATCGGGAAAGTCTATCAGAGTGAGGCCTTTAGTTCAAAATTTAAATTTAAGGGATCGTTAATAAGATTTCATGGAGGGTTTGATTAAGAGAGTTAGCGTTTATAGTGGGCGGATTAGGTCGTTTACGCGGGAGTTTGAAATGCTGTTCAAAGACTTTTTTCTCAGTTTGCTTGAGTTTTCTTTATTTACTTTAACACTTGCTAAAGCTCAAAAAGCGTTGAAAGAGTTCTATTATTGACCAGCTTCAGATTATTTTCTTTCATTTTAAAGACGTATGGTGATAGGGCTTTTTTCGCAGCTGCTCCCAGGTTATGGAATCAATTGCCTCCTGAACTCAGAGGTGTTACATCTGCCGACCAGTTCAGGACACAGTTGAAGAGGTACTTATTTAAATTAGCCAACGATGTTTGATTTTAGTAGCTTTATTTAATCTTATTTTATCTTATAATAGTTTTTAACTCTAGTTTCTTACCATATTATTGTACAGCGCTTTGAGCAATTAGTAAATACTGCGCTGTATAAGTGTCTATTATTATTATTATTATTATATTGTTACAGAGATTGTTATTTCAGAAAAGGAAAATAGTTTAGAAGACAGTGACGTGAATACAGAAATAGACCCGGGAGATAAGATCTCACGAAACGATAAATTTCATCATGATTACTATTTCCCCGAAAGACTGGAATGTTAGAGATCATAAAGATCAAGAACCTTTTTAATTTTACCTTGCTGCCTTCCACAAGAACTCAGTTCAATCACTTTTAGTTTAATGTTTTATTTTAAATTATTTTACTAAATTGTTTCAACTTTACAAATGTGTCCTGGAGTTGTCACATGATCCTTACTTTTTATTATGTATACAAGTTACCTGCCTCTTCAACTCCTAAGGGACGGACCATTAGAAAAGTTATGGGGGGGGAGGGGAATTTTCGAGCCGCAGGAATTTTTTTTCGTTATCAAATTCCTTGTATGAATTTTTTTTAGCCCATAGCATGAATATTTTTTAGGGTTAATTGGCGTGCACGAATTTTTTTTCATTTCATTTTCCCTTGCACGAATATTTTTTTTGTACTTCGCCCGCCCCCCCCCATAAGTTTTCTAATGGTCCGTCCCTAAATTTTGCTCTATAGACTGAGTCTTGGACTGGACTTCCTTCGCTAATGACACGGACCAGTCACGCTAATCAATATTTTAACCCCTCAGCCTGCCCCGTTTCTTCGAATCTCCCCGATTCCTATAAACAAATTTCCGGCTTTCCCAGAAGGTTAAAAAACTGTGTATGTCCCAATTATACCCGCGCAAAGTACGAAAGGACTAGTCTTTTTGAAGCCCTCGTTCATAATAATTTGAGTTGGAACATTCGTGATTTAGTGCATCTTCTTCGAACATTTTATTAATTCCATACTATCTCTCAAGATCGTCATTAGAGACATCAAGTGATTGCACGCCGATTGTAAGTTAGCTAAGAACGTCTCTGTGCGTCAGCACTTAGATTCTTTTTTAAGAGGCACTGCTGGAAAAATTTATCTTGCACTAATGACTCATTCAGCCAGACAAAAATGCTGAAGTGTGCAATTGTTGTTCAGATTACTCCGGCGATAAGGTAAGACGTAAAAACTTAAGGCAATATATTTGTATTTGATGACGAAGAGGAACCATAGAGGTTACGAGTGTGTCAATATATACTTAAGTGTATGGAGTAATCTGTGGACTGAGATATCTCTATTTTAAACGTACCGTAAGTGGAAGTGCATTGACAAAGTGATTATAATAAAGATAATAATAAATAAGTAAAATAGTCAGACACTTTACGTTTATATTACAATCCTAAACTTTCGGATACTAATGGCTCTTGAGTACTACGTCATGTTTGCAGACATTTCGTGATAAAGTAACGTTTTTAATTTTTTTTTTCTGTCGGTATTTTCTTCATGGCGTTTCAAATTATTGAGTATACAGCAGTACTACCTCGCAAGTAAGAATCTAGTTTTTTTTATTAGAACCTGTTAAGCTAAAATTTGCCAGTTAGACCCGTCTACTGCGTCTATACAAGAACCTGTTTAGCCTAAAGTTTGAAACACCGAGAAACAGGTACTTATTTTCTAAAATCTATTTTAAATTATGTGTGCTCCAAAGGAGGACTTCAAAATTCATGAGATCAGTTTTGGACATTTTTAATGGCAAGCAAATTTTCTGTAAGGAGTAGGCTGGATATCACTACATTCTGTTAACTACAACTGTTGATGTTTTTTCTTCAAAAATAAGAACCTCCCCCAAATAACATAAATTTGTGCTAATTACCATTTTTGTAATAACCTATCTAAGCTAACTTAGGAAATTTAAAACGTAGGTTTTTTACCATATTCGCGGGGTAGTGCTGTATGGCCGCCTTGTTTCTCAGTAGTAAGTTATGTAAGGGTTTTTTTTATAACTTCCAATCTTAATCAGTACTTTGAGATAGATTGCTACGGTTAAATACTGAAGTGATTGCTCCTGAGCAATACTTTCCTTTCGTACCGTTTACGATCATGATTTGCTTTCTAACCTGTTTCTCATTTTAGAGTATAAGGGTAAGCCCAGCTGTTGAGCCAATGAGCCGAACTTAGAACTCCTGTCAGGAAGTTGCAAAGACGTTTTTGAGCGACACACGTCAACCGGAAGTGAGGCCTTCTCACTATATATATGCCTTGATGCTAACAAATTTGTATTGCTTAGTTTCTTTTCTCTTATAAAGACGATTTACTCGAGAGTTTGGTCCAAACCACTGCCCTGTGATGCAAAAAGTCCACTTTCGGTTGACGCCCGTCGCTTAAAAGCGCTGCTGACAAAGCTGACGCCGAGGCTTTTCCCGTCGCAGGGAACAGCACTATTTAGTTCTTGGCCGAATCATTACGCTGCTAATTTCTTGTCCGAGTCAGCAGTCTCTGTTTGCAGCTCAGTGTACGTTAACAGCTCTTGGACGTAACCACTTCTCTTCTGCTCATAGCGCCTGCGCAGTACTACGGCGAAGTATATGAAGCAGAATACAGAGAGTGGCACCAAAACGAGGGCAGCAATGAGGCCTGCTGGGAAGGAAGTTGGTCTGACTGTGTGCGGACGCTTTCCTGGAAAGAGAAATAGAAACAGTTTTTAGAGGAATCAAGAGAGCTCAGAATTAATGGACCTCTTGGCTATCTCTAGTCTATTTAGAAATGGTTCCTTATTTGCTTGCCTCTCTACCACGTGGAGAGGCGACATGCATGTGGCGATTCTCACGCGCACTCGCGTATTTTACTTGATTCCCTTGACCCTGAGGAAACTTAGGGACTACGCGTGGTTTTTTTAATGCACTCCTAGCAAAAAAAACAAACTAAAAAGGAAGGTAAAGACGGTGAAAGTAAGGCAAAAACAAAAACGACAGGCGCCAGTATTTTAGCAGTCATTCAGCCTAGTCCCTGGGCGTACTCGGCTCTGTCAACCCTGTACTCTTCCGTGGGCTGTGACGTCACCGAGTCTCGCCTGCTTAGTTCCCAGAACTCACGCGGACAACAGGGCAAGAGAGAACGCCTGGGGACTAGGCTGGCAGTAATTATAAGTACAGCGAACATTAGTAAGCCCTAAAACTTCACTGAGATTTGAAGAGAAGCGCACGAACCTTTATCCCAATGCCTCGCACTAGGCCACCTCGTCAACTCACAGAAACCGCTGGTTGTGTCACCTTGAGCAGGCTCAGCGCAATAGCTGCTTACTTCAGTGAAGTTGAAAGCCTCTGGGCAGTCGTCAAACAACAACGAGCATCTGTACTTACACAATGTCTTCATCTTAGTCCCATCGCACGGCGGTGTATACGATGCACACGCCAGTTTGTTTAAAGTCTCTTTACAGGAGTCGCTAAACACGCTGCTGGTCAGTTTGTTCATTAGTGTCGTCAGTTTGTCTTGGAGTTGTTTTTGCATTTTCCTTGAAATAAATGTCATTTTACATTCTTCTTTCTGACAATTCTCATTTGACACCGTTTCGCTGCATTGAAGGCCTGTTAAGTAATAACGAAACCGACAACATCAATATCAAATGATAACTCAACAAAACTGAGTACCTCTCTAACAAAGTCTTTGAAATTCGAAATTTCTTTCTTGGGCAGTCGGTGTGACTAATAAACGGAGCTGGGGCATGTTTCTCGAAAAACCAGGTGATTTTTCGAGCCCGGAAAGCTGTTTTGTGTTTGCCATGTTTGCGTGCATTCAAGACTAGTCAAAACTTCAGTAATTTTGAAAATGATACAATGAAACTATCAGTTAACCAAGCAAAATTGACTGGTTAGTGAGCTAGGAACTGTGCAACTGTGCAGCTGTTGAAAAATAAGATAAAATTCTTCCGATCAATTTCACTGGCTATTTACTTTAATTTGTAGATTATTACGGGCTTAATTTCGAACACCTCTACGGTCACCTGTTTTCCGTAGAGTGACCGTCTCTACTTGATACATAATTAAGCAACATACATACGTACTTGAAAGAGGCTTCTTCAGAGGTTTAAAGTCCGGTGGTATAAAACAAGTCGCACTTTTCCTCTTTGTAGGTAACAAGCTACACAGAGGCTTTAACCAATTTAAGCCATTGGAATTCATTTGATTGGAGCATCCGCGAGCAAACTCCTCGCACACCTCACGGCATGGAAGCAAAGGACCAGTCATGTTTTCTTTACATCGTGGTACGTAGAGTGAGCAGAGGATATAGCTGGTGTATTTTGAACAACCGTTGAGCTTCGCTGTCATGTTGTTGATGATCTTTGAATAAGTCTCGGTGTAGAATTTACTTGCGAGATGTTCGCTTGTCATTGTGAAGCCATGTGTTACGCAGTTTGGGAACTTGTTTTCATCTATTTTGCGACATTCCGATGTGCTCTCGGATCTTGCCAGTTTTGCGACTAAAAGCACATTTGCTAATTGTAGCAAAAAGTTCAAATTCATTTTCTCTTCAGCCCTCAAAGCCCGTTTATCCAAGGGATGTAAAAATGTCCCAATTTAGTACTAGCCAAGACTGGATTATTTTTTTTTCTTAGTAACTGCCCATTAAATTTCGAAACAAAGTAAATAAACTTAGCAATACAACATTGTTCAGTTCATTGTTATGACAATGCAGAAATGATAATTGAAGAAAATAAACGAGGTCTTTTGAATATTCGTTCAGGTGGATGATTCTTTAAAAACATAGGCATGCAATGTGTGCTTAGGTCTTGCGTTCATGTCATACACGAACCTAAAGGCATCTCGCCAGAGATTGCTTTGAAGCTTTTACCCTACACGGCTAGGCAGTCAGTGGCTTTTCATGTGCTTATTCATTCTTAAACTCTCATAGCTGTTACATAACATTTAGGTTTTAGGAGTTTTCCAAATATGAGACACTCTAAGGTATTCAGAAGTTTTTACTGCCACAATACTAATGATAATAAAGGGTTTTTAAAAAGAAGAATTCTCAATGCCCTTAGAAAAAGGAAAAAAGAAAAGTTTTCAATCGTTGTTTTAAAGTGGAAACAGATTTGGAGTATCTCACATCACTAGTGTAAACTGTCCAGATATTCGGTGCATAATATGAAAATGAGCGGCGTCCATACGTAACGGTATTAACAGAGGGAACTTGAAAAATGTAGATGAGCGGAGTAAACGAACAGGTTGATATTTGAAGCTATTTGACAAGGAGTGAAGAAAAATAGTAAGGAGCTAAATCAAGCAAATTTTTAACAAATTTCAATAGCGTGAAACGTGTTTATCTTCAAATGTCAATAGAAATAATAGAGGTCTCTGTGTGAGCTCCGTTACGGGCAACTGTGGAAAATAGAAAAATGACAAGAGGTCTGGGAGGCAA